TTGAGCGGACAAACGGATAAGCGGCCCTGCGGACACCTAAGAAAACACTTAGGAAAACAGCTTAGAATATTTCTTGCAAAAATACCTTGACCTCTAATTCAACTATTATTTGACATTTTTAAAACTAAACTAAGAACTATATTTATAAGAAAATTCTTATACATATTCTCTGAAGTGAAAACACTTAAAAAATCAATAAGAATTGATTTTTTTATTAAAATAAATTTGCTTAAACCTTAAACTTTTATTTTATACTTTCCAACTAAAAGGGCCAAGAAAGTTCTTAAAAATATTATCTGAAGCGGATAATAAATAGTTACCCAGAGCATCAGTCCTAATCCCTATACCCTTTCCAAGTGTATTCCGAGTTTCACTCCTTGAAAAAAAAGGGGGTGTGGCTCCGAAGTGCTCCGGCTGGAGAAAGGCTCTCCCATGTAGCCGCTCGAATTAAAAGGGCGGCAAGTGGCTTTAACTGCGGATCCAGCCTCGTTAGCCTGGCTTAGTCTGTTGGCGGATTTGGGTTTGATTTTGATTGCCTACGTGAGGCGCAGCACCTAACACCTTGCCATCTATGACATAAGCAGGCGGCGGTCTGATATTTTTTTGGTGTTTGGCTTTATTTTTGTATTTTTTTTTGACAATGCCTCCGTGGATCTCCTCCACTCTGCCTCCTCCACCTCCACCTCCTTCTTTTTTCGGGCCAGTTTGCAATTGAAATTATATGCCTTGAACGATTTCGGGTTTCGGCTTTCTGCGGCTCTTGGCTGCAATTGCTTGCAACTTTGCCTGCGACTGAGGCACGGCATAATTGACCGAAATTAAACAGAGATTATCCAATCCCTCAACGCCCCCTCTGGCCTGCCGCACAGTTCGAGTACCCCCTCAAAAAAAAAATTACAGAAAAAAAATTTCCCCCAACCAGTCGGCTTGGATTCGTTTGGAGTTTTCCTGCGATTTGTCGCATGTGCTCGACATCACGTCGCTATCTTTGCTCTGCGAAAGGGAGCCAAAGCGGAGGAGAGATGATGGAGAAGCAGGAAAGAGAAGCAGACAGATAACGGTGCTGCATTCGAATATTATGATGAATTTCCATACAATGCGTATTCGAGCTCACGAAATGAATGCGAATGAATCGTTGAAATGAATCACTTTTGACGACCCAGTTGTTCAATCTACATACTAGGTATTCATTTGTATTTGAGTAGAGCAACTACTCGATCATGTCGATTCGGATACTCAATCATTTACAGAAATTAATAGCTCCGATTGATTAATTTCCCATTTATTGTCATCAATATCACTTCAATCAAACGATTATTGGAATGACCCGAAAATGAATCTCGTAACGAATCTGACAAATATAGCCAAAGAGGTAGAGGTATAAAGGAGAAGAAGACAAATAACGGTGCTGTATTCGAATATAAATACGAATGAATCTTAAAAATGATTCATTTATGGGTATTCATATTTGAAACTTGATCATATTAACTCAGATCCCTTACAGAAATGAATAGTTTCTACTGATCTACGATTCCACTTTTTATATCAACAATATCACTAAAACCAAACGATTATCGGAATGACCCCAAATCTCCTACCGAATCCACACCCACCACACAACCTTCCAAATGTATGCATTTCCTACCTTACTTCATCTCTATTATTACTATTTTTACTGTTTTACGTTTTTGTGTCGGATCGAACTCACTGTTTGTTGGTTTAATGACCCAATTCCGTGTGACCGACCCATCGTTTCACTGACCACAGACATGTGGTCCCCCATATATGGCCCTCTCCACCTCTCCGGTGGTGTCATCATCCTCCACGATCTTCGGCATAACACTTTCCATTTGTATGCTATATGTATGTGGTCGCTATGACTTGTCGTTTCGTTAAAATCAAATCAAATATTTGCCCGGTCTTTGTTTGCATTTATTTATTAGTTATTTCTCTCGCACATCTCTCTATCCCTGTCTCTCTAGGGGTCTTATGTAATAAATAGTCTACGTATCGCGAGGCGCCCCCCTGGGTGGCATATGTTTGTTTTGATCTTTTTGTTACAATATTATTTTGGTTTTTTTTTTTTTGCAATATGTACTGGGTTTTGTGGACATTTCTGGCAAGTAGCATGCGAAATTCGCAATTGTCCGGCATTAGCTGGATGTCGATAATTGCCGGACAGGCCATTGCCCAAATTTTCAAACCGACTGACTGACACCTACGAAATAAAACGTGCCCACTTGCGGTGTGGTTTGGCCAACAACTTCGTTAACCTTGGCACACTTGAAAGCCCGAATCGGAAACTTTTTTATTCGTTTTTTTTTTTCTCTTTTATTTCATTTGAAATGGAAAACACGGAAGCCTGACTCTGCCACCACCAAGCCACGCCCCCTCCTCCTAGGCAAAAAAAAAAGCTTCAAAAGAGGGTGGAGGGGGAAACACGGAAATCTTCAACCATCATAAGTGAAGAGTTTTGATTTAAACGGCTGGCGGCTGCCTGGCTGGGTAGCTGGCCATTTTTTTTTTTGACATTTGGCCAAAGCCAAAGGAAAGCGGAAGGCTCCGAGAAGAAACAGAGCTGGCCAAAAGGGGCGTGGCACCAACGCCCAGCACTTAAGGCAAATCGAAAGACGAAATTGAAAATTGTGGTTTGGCACTTTCACCAGGGTTGGTGTCTGGGCTGAGGGGGTTTCTCAGCTAAGTTCGATGTGGTTGGAAGCCACGCTAAAGGCTTTTTCTTTTATTTTATTTATATTTTATTTATTATCATTTAATTAGAAGATTTTTAAAATCTTTTTTTTTTGTTTTTATTTTTGCATATTTTATCTATTTTAAGTTTTCATTTAAAATTTATTAAAATATAATTATATTCATAAAAAAGTTACAAAATTTATAATTTAAAATATTGTTAAATGTTTTTAGTTTATTAATTTGTCTCACAATCCTGTTAAGTTTTGGATAATATCCTTCCTTACGTCGGAAAGTCAACGGCATATTACATTGCATACCCAAAAGGCGTTGTATGTAAAAAAAAAATTACAAGTAAATCAGAAATCCTTTGAAATGAAAATTTTAAATTCTAACAAAAATATTTTGTCCCAAGATATTGGTTAAAATTAATTAAGAATCAGTTTACCAGTTGTTTAAGGAATTTATTTTGTTTTTATTGTACGTAATGTATATACATATGTATACATATATAAAAATATAGCTAAACTATTGCTTTAAAATCCAATCCACGTCGAACCCATATATATAATATATGTGTGAGAAGTAAATTAAGATCGTTATGAAATCGACTCCCAAAGACCATTTAAAGTAATGGCATTGAGATCAGATATTGACCGATTTAAAAATTTTTAAGGCATCTTGAAGATCCTGAAGTATTTTATTCGTTAAAGCGACTTAAAATCAAAAAGATAAAAAAAAATAAATAAATTAAAAATTAAGAAAAAAATAATGATGAACAGCTTTAAATAATGAATACAAAAAAATACTAAATACTTTTTTAAAAGAGGTAAAAAAAGGTCCATTAAAAGGAAATAAACTCTACCAGCTACAATATTAATATATAATATTAATAATACCGGGCTTTTCGGGCAAAGCGTACAAAGAACTAACTTCTTTTCAAAGTCCATAGAGTAGATTAAACATAAAAGGAAAACATAAACACAAATGGATGTTATATTAAACATATAATATAAAAAAAAACGGTGTTTCCAAAACGTACAAAGAAATAACATCCTTTAAAGTCCATAGAGTAGATTAAACATAAAAGGAAAACATAAACACAAATGGATGTTATATTAAACATATAATATAAAAAAAAACGGTGTTTCCAAAACGTACAAAGAAATAACATCCTTTAAAGTCCATAGAGTAGATTAAACATAAAAGGAAATAATAAACACAAATGGATGTTATATTAAACATATAATATTAAAAAAAAAAACGGTGTTTCCAAAACGTACAAAGAACTAAATTCAGCTAAAGTCCATTGAGGATGGATTTATACAAATGGATGTTAAAAAAATAAATAATTAAAAAAAGAAAAAAATAAAATGAAAACACAATAAAAATGAATAGATGTTGAGGGTTTGGAACCCGAACAGCAACTGACTTTTATACTGAAATCAATCCAGGTACTCCTAATTCTTTGAAAGTCTAAAAATGTCAAGGCCAATGTGATGACTTTTAAAAAAATCACTGAAAAAGTGTGAATTCCTTTAAAAAGGCCAAGAAAAGTGGGCTTTATAGACTTATGCTTTAGGATTTTTCCAAAAATGCCAAGAAATTTAAAAACCATTGTGTACGGTTTAAAAGAAAGGCGAAGAAATAGGTTGGGGGATGCCATATACGAGTATGATGAGAATATATGTTATTTTGATAGAGTTTTCATTACCGTTCTCTGGAAAATTGAAAAGAAGTCCAGGAGTCCAAAGTTTCTGAAGAATCTTTACAATCGGATGAAAATTGGAAGACATATACTCTGTTAATGGTCCATACATACAATATTATTAAGGGTTTGTGTATCAAAATAGTGTGTGATGGGTAATCGATCTAACAATAGTTTACAGTACTCTTCTTAAAAACCACATGAGAATAGAGATATAGAGACATTGTTCGTGGTCAAACATATAAGAAACAAACGATTTTTTGAGGGGTATATTATTATGATTTATTTTGGCATCTCATTATGAAGGTATATGATATTATTTTGGTATTCCCACATAAATAGGGTCATATAGGTTTGTTGGTTAATTTTTTAAAGTGCTTTTTGGTCCAGGATCTTAACTCCACTCTGAATGGGTAATCTTTCTAAAAATCCCTTTCTTTTAAAAAAGGGGAATCTCCTCCAAGGTATTCCACTTTAAAAAAGTATACGAAAATTCATATATATATACACACCATATGCCCAAAAATATGAAACACCTCCCCCCTTTTTACATAAATACATAAATATTTATTAAAATGCTGTTGATAAAATAACAAAAAAAAAGAGTGGAATGTGGGAAGTCGTACTCTTAACTATTCGTAACTAAGCATATCTTTAAGCTGCAAACAAAACGAGGAAGTCGCCGAACAGAACGCGAAGCAATAACATTAAATAACCGACATTTGACTAGTTGAGAATATAAATTAGTGATAGGCGAATACAGGGGGGGAATTGGGGGCTTGACACACTTAGGACTACGAGGGGTTTGGCCGGCGGGCGCCCCAGTCTTCCTTGATCAGGTCGGAGGCCTTCTCGCCGATGGCGATCACGGGGGCGTTGGGGTTCCCATTGACGATCGTCGGCATAATGCTGGCGTCCACCACGCGGACGCCGGACACGCCGTACACCCGCAGGCGGGGATCCACCACCGCGGTGACGTCCCAGCTGGGGCCCATGCGACAGGTGCCGGCCGGATGGTAGATGGTGAAGGTGAACTCCTTGATGCAGCAGGCCCAGTACTCGTCCGACTGGAAGGGCAGGTGCCGGCAGCCCGGCAGCGGGATGTTGTGCAGCCGGGAGCCGAAGCGCTGGAAGGCCTGGGTGTTGGACACGTTAATGGCCAGCTTAATGCCCTCGACCAGGACGTCGACGTCCTCCTGGTGGGCGAAGTAGTTGGGTATGATCTTCGGCTGCTGCTGGGGGTTGCGCGAGTTGAGGCGCACCCAGCCGGTGCTCTTGGGGCGCAGCAGGAGCGGCAGGATCGACCAGGTCTCGCTGTGCTGCAGCGGCTTGTAGACTGTGTTGTAGAAGCCGTCCCGCAGGTTGAGGATCTTGCGGATCTGCTCGCCGCCGTCCGAGTTTATGGAGCTCGGGCAGAAGTGGAACTGGACGTCGGGCCAGTCCACCGCGGGGTCTTGGTACTTGGTGTTCAGGAAGGCCACGCCCTCGACGCCCGAGAAGGTCATCGGGCCGCGCTCCCTCAGTATGTACTCCATGGAGACGGGAATGGTCTGGAAGCGGTTGCGGGTGACGGTCAGGGGGGCGTCCACAACGAAGGTGAGGCCGCCGAGGCCTACGTGGTCCTGCATATTGTTGCCCACCGGCAGGTCCGAGACGACCGGAATGTTGTGCTCCTGTAGGTGCTCCGCCGGCCCTACGCCCGAGAGCATCAGCAGCTTGGGAGAGTTGAGGGCTCCGGCACTCACGACCACTTCACGGCGGACGAAGACCAGCTGCTTCCGGCCGCCGCGCAGGTACTCCACTCCGATGGCCCGCTTCTGCTTGTCGAACAGCACCCTGGTGGCCTCCGCGTGGAGCAGGACGTCCAGGTTGGGTCGCTGGCGCACAGGCCGGATAAAGGCCTTGCCCGTGGAGCAGCGTGCCCCGCGCCGTATGGTGCTCTGGGTGAGCATGAAGCCCGTCTGCTGGGCGCCGTTGATGTCACGGTTCTCGTAGCCCATCTCCATACCGGCCTGCAGGAAGGCGATCGAGAGCGGGGTGCGCCAGGGCGCCTCCTGCACCGTCAGGTAGCCACCCGTCTCGTGGTAGGGCGTCTTGGCCAGGTAGGGGTTGCGCACGTCCTCCGACTTGAGGAAGTACTTGAGCATGTTGTCGTAGTCCCAGCCGGGATTGCCCAGCGAGGCCCAGTGGTTGTAGTCGTTCTTGGAGCCCCGAACGTACACCATGGCGTTGAGGACCGAGCTGCCGCCCAGGACCTTGCCCCGCGGCCAGAAGCAGCGGTCGCCCTTCATCGCCTGGCAGTACTGGCGGGTGGACGAGGGCGTGGTCTGGTACTTCCAGTCCAGCTCGGTCAGCTGCAGATAGCCGGCCAGGGCCGGCACGTCCGAGATTTCCGTCTCATCGCCGCCGGCCTCCAGGAGCAGAACCGTCCAGTTGCGCACTTCACTCAAGCGATTGGCCACCACGGCTCCGGCGGATCCTCCGCCAATCACCACGAAATCATATTGGCGACGTATCTGCAAGATGGAGGGCGTTAGCTCTAGTGTCTTATCACTAGGGTTCTAAGTGCTACTCACGACGGTTGGCTCCTGGACCTTGTTCTCGGGATCGACGCTTTGATAGCGATAGAAGTTCATGCCGATCGCCAGCAGCGGGATCATGCCAAGCAAAGACGTCATTGTGCCAAACGCCATGTTTCAGTAATTGTCAAATCCAGGGGTCCTCTTGGGAATGCTTGCCGGTGACGGATGATGCTCCGGAGCTCGTTCCGGATGTCCGCTTGCCAGGCCCGTAGCAGTGAGCCGGAGCACTGGAGGACAGTGACGCGTTGGTGGAGGTGGCCTCACCGCCGCTGGAGGCCAAGATCTTGGGGGTGTAGTTCCGGATGCCGCCCGGACGCGCCGACTTGAAGTGGGCCCGCGCTCGCTCGTCCTCCTCCAAGATATCCAAGTAGGACTTGATGTACAGGTGGTGGCTCAGGTAGTGCTTCTGCTTGTCCAGGGACTTATTGGACTTGCTGGAGAGCAGGGAGCTGGGACAGCCGCGACTGGAGTTGCTGCTGGTGCTGCTGCTGCGGCTGCTGTTGGTGCTGCTGCTCACCGCCGACAGCGAGGAGATGGAGCTGCAGTGGCAGGACGAGTTGTATATCCCGCTGTCCGAGCTCTGGGAGCTGCTGCGCTGAAGGTTCAACTTGGCGTAGTGCGAGTCCGTGTCCGACTGGCTCGTGTTCGAGGCCGTTCCCAGGATCTTGGTCCGCTCGTAGGTCTGCTTGCTGAGGTTGTACTTGTGCCGCAGTCGGTAGTTCTGGTTGTCGTTGGAAATGGACGAGTTGCTGGAGATGTTGCTGGTGGGCGTGTAGATGGGCTGGTTGTTGCTGGGGGTCACTGGTATGCTCTTGCGCTGATTCTGACGCTTCAGGTGGTGGGGCGTTGGCTGTTGGTGGTGGCTGTGGTTGTGGTTGTGGTGCTGTTGGTGTGGAGTTTGTTGCTGTTGCTGAGTTTGCTGTTGCGATATCTCCTGGCCCATATTTTGACAGAAATATGAACAGAACTGGAAGAGAAATGGGAGTAGAATAAGAGAATATAAGTAATTCTTCAAGGATAATAAGGATGAGAGTTCTTAATCTTATAAGTAGAGTTTGAAAAGGAAATAAAACTATTAGACAGGCTTAACTAAATTCATCTTAATCCTTTCTGTTTAGCCACTCTTAACAAACTCCCAACAAACTCAAGTTTCTTATCAAAACTGTTCAATCAAAAACCCCACATGATTATACCATTAATCCGCATGAGTGTCTGATTATTTCGATTAAAACTAAACTTGAATAAAGATATGCAGTTCCCAGCCTAATCCATCCGTAATCGGACGATGGAGCAACCATACAAGCGACTCTCGAGTGTTTCCAGATAACGACGACAATCGAAAAAGCGTGGGATCGGCCATCATTTTTCCCATTTATGGGTAATTGATGAGTTTTTGTTGTTGCTTTTGTTGTTGCTCTTGTTGTTGTTGGTGTTTTTTGTTAGGATTGTTGCATGACTTGGCTGGAATGAAAAGCAAAAGCTGGCCATATGCGTGATTGTCTAGCGGAAGCCAGTAGTCCACGGGTTTGGCAATCGTTGGCCAACAGATGGCGCTGTCGAACAAAAGACTTAGGCAACGAACTTGTTTACACTTTTTCGCAAGAAAGCAACAAAAAAAAAATGAGAAAAAAATATAAAGCACACACTCACATTAAAAAAACAGATAAAAAACAGAAATGTTATCAAATCGCTTAGAAAATTAAATTGTAAAATATTTAAACAAAAGTCGGGCTGCATCTCATTATTAATTTTTGTTTTTTATTTTCTTTCTTTTTTTTTGTTTTTGTTTTTCCACTTCATCTATTACTGTCTTGTTCGCTTTTTATACATATATTTTTTTTTGTCTTTTCTTGCACTGGCTAGTTTTTCAAGTTCAATGCCGCTTTAGTGGCAGGCGGAAAACAACAACAACCACTGAGTATATTTATTTAAAAAAAAAAAAAAAAAAAGAGTCCGTTTTGTCTTTGGATGTGAGACTCGGCCTGGCAAAATGCAATTTCGTTATTTTGTTTGTCCATTTGGACGGCATCTCGGCAGCTTTAATTGCTGTCCAGCCACCGCTCTGCGGATTTTCCAGTTTCCCAGTCCCCCCCCCAGTCGCCTAGCCCCTCGCGATGATGGTTGCTTTTTAGTGAAAGCCACTAGCGGCCACGGCGACATTGAAACTTCCTATGTAATCCCTGTCGAACATATACTGTTTACCTCCACGAGATAAATACGAAAAACACAACGGTTACTGGAACTGCTCTCGATTAATTAACTCGAACGAAAATAGTCGTCTATTTTTAGACGCAAAATATGGCCAAATAAACTACGCTCTTGGCCAAATAGTCGCGGTTTTATAATAAATATCGGGCTGTATATATTTTTTTATTTTCGCCAAAAAAACACAATTTCGCTTAGCGAATCGAAACGAAAAGCAAACGATAGTGAGGAATTCAACGATTTAAACGGCTCGACGGTTGCCATATAACTGAGCCACAAACCAAATCATCATCATCATCATCCTCTGGGGGCTGTTGCATTAAAGCCGAAATTCATTCATTCAGCCACTCGATTCCCCGTTAAGACGAGGACGCAACACCATCCATGGACCGTGTTTAGTTCGTGCAACAAGAAAACAATCAACACTGCCCGCTAATTTATGCAACGCCCTTGGGCGGAGTGACAAAGCCAGCCAGCAAGACAGCAAGCCCTATGGATGCTTGACGCAATCGGCCCCAAAGCTCATACTGAAGACTAGGTTTTCTCGAGCATTTCTGCTTTACATCACATTGATGTCCGATTTGTTCGTCATTATGCAATTCACACATTGTTAGGGAACTGGCCGCCAGTTTTCAGTTTTCAGTTTCTCAGCCTGTCAATTATGATTTGACGGCTTTTAATTATGGCCAAGACTTTTATGCCCCATAATTGATGACATTTACACGGCTAGCTGGCCGGGCTTGTTTGTTTTTTTTTTTTTGTTTTGTCCCTTTTGTGGGTCACTTGGGGTCTGGCCGTTGAGAGCTCGTAAACCTCTAGTACCGAAAGTGGCCAAGTAATTCCAGCTACTTCACTCCGGCTCAACGCTTTCTCGACAATCGGCTGAGTCACGCTACCGTGACACATTAAAGAAGCTCAACTTTGTCTAACACACATGCTTGTCTATCTTTTCCCTTCAAACATTATAAAGTAAAGAAATAGTTAAGGAAAATAGGTATATAATAATACAAGCCACATTTCCGTGGGGTTTCTTTGTAGGGAAAAAAGGAGCTTTTAAGGAAAAAACTAATAAGATTTTGTCTTCTGGGTGGCTTTGTACTTTTACATAACTTATTAAGGGGAAGATTGAGAGGTTTTTTGTTATAGAGTTTAATTGTAAAATTTATAAAACATGTGAGAGGTCTGTTTGCATTTTAACTTGTGGAATTTGTGACTATTTTGTAGATGGTTTTAGAAATCTATATTTATTTTTGAACATCATAGCTTGTTTTTCAACATATTGAGTAACTGGTTTTATAGCCTGTAATATAGAAACTATGGCTATGACAAAAATTGGTTTGCAATTAAAGATAGAATTCTGTAAATTGCCAGGCAACTTTTTCCAGATTTAAAATTAAGGTGTGCAGAAAGTAATTTGTTTTAACAACAAGCCTAATCGGCAAAAGTGTAGTGCACTTCAAAATTTAATAAATTTAATACAATGCTCTTGTTGTTGTTGAACATGAGCCTAAAGAGCCTAAAGCCTAATCTATGTTAATAAACTTAAATTAAAGGTCGATTTAGGTGTTAAAAATTAGTTTACTTTTCACATTACTTGAACAAGATAAGGCTCTCGTTTTCAAAAGATAAGGAGAAATATTAAAGGGACACTGGAAGCCCGATACTTTTACGTATTATCAGAAAACAGTAGTTAACTTGGAACAATAAACACTGAAACCTGCCTGAAATACTAAAGTTTATCTAAAATATACATATTAAAAATATAACTCGTTACCGATTGTTCTCATATTCTGTTGAAGTAATAGAATAGGGAAGTAATAGAACCGCTTGCTGGCCAAAATACTGCATCTACCCATGAAGCAATTATTTAATGATTTTATTACCTATTATTTCATTATTATTATTGTAATAATCCTGTTACTTATTCTGTAACTATATCTGTCAATAATACTTAAGACTTGTAGCTTTCGTTTGGTAAGAAAAATGATCTTTTTAGTAGCTTTTATGTTCCTCAACTAACTCACTGTAGCCCTTAACCTAATCTCCCCATTCCTAGGGTATCTACTAATCACTTCCTATTCCCTTTCAAAGAAAACTTGACCATCTCGGCGTTATATAGCCGTATAGCCTTACTTTCGTGGACGCTTTTAATTGCCCGACTCGTATGCAGATGCAGTGCCAGTGGCGATACACGCGCTCCCCGATTGCCTCTGTTTTTGTTATTTTTTTTTTCCAAGTTAAATTTTTTGTATTTTATGGCCGCGACGTGCACAAATTGATAATAATTCGCGCAGAGGTGCGAGGTGGTTTGGCTTTTGGCGGTGCGCGGTATTCGGTGGTTCGGTGGATCGGTGGAGTAATGCCACCGGCTTGTCGGTAGAAAGTGTGAATAGTCCACAAACCAACTAAATAACAAACAAGCCGCAGGGCGTGGCCGGGAGGAGTAGCCAGCCAGGCAGCCACTCAGACTGACTCTTACATAAGAATCTCAGCTCCTTGTTGTTTTTTTTCCCCCAACATTTCCACTTTTAAGGGTCAAAAATCGAAAGAAAACAGTAACAAAAAAAAAACAGTAACAACAACAAAATGTTACATAAAATAAAAGTGAAATTAACGCGAGTTGCAAACTACAAATGCAAATACATGTTGATGTGCGGAATAATGGATACTTTATGGTCTTTTATTGTTTACACACAGGTTGTTAACAAAAAAAAACCAAAAAAATTGTGAAAACAATTCACGGCTTGGCTATATTATGGTATTACGCTTAGGCTCATAACAAGAATCGTCATTTTTTCATTAGCGTATCGGTTAAAAAATGAATGTGATTATAATAATAGCATTTTTTGGGGGTTTCTTTGTTTTTGTTTGGATAAGGTTGGTTGGTTGAGTGATTTGAAGAGTTCTTTGTGCTCTCTGTTTGTTTTGGAATTACAATACTTCTTTCAATAAAGATTTATATAATTGGTAATGATTGGTTATGGATTATAGAGCCTATTAGTTACTTGAAAGAGTCCAGACTCTAGACCAAGTTATTGGCTTATGAATGGTTGTTTCTAGACTAGTTTTTGCTTAATTTTTCTGAAATATACTACTATGAAAAACACATAATTTTATTCCTAGTTTTCTTCCTTTATTCTTATTTATTATTTATTTAAAAAATATTTGTTTAAATACTTATTTTTAAACCCAATTTTTCGCCCTATGACTTGCCCTAACTTATCTTTAATATAATTTTTATTTCCTTAGTCCACTTGCCTCTGGTTTTGTTGTTGTTGTTGCAGTTACTGCCGCCTGAGGTTTAGTTGTTGTTGTTGTTTGATGAAGATTTGTTGTTGTTGTTGTTATTGTTGTTGCTTTTGTAGTGTGGCGGCTTCAACTGCCACTTTCCTTTGTCTCACACACGATTACCATGGCTGCTGCTCTCTTTTTCTTTTTTATTTTTTATATTTTATACATTAAAAAAAGAAAAAAAGTAAAAAAAAAATAAACAAAAAAAAAACTGAAGAAGAAAATTGTGGGGACACTCTTTTGTAGATTTGATTGCACTTCAGTTTCTTCGCTTCGGTTTCTTTGGATAATTGTTCGAACACGGCGCCTTCGTTTCACTCTCGATAGTTCGATATGTGGTTTATTTTTTTTAAGATTAAAACTATTATTTATTTATGTTTTTTTTTTTTTTGATTTTTTAAAACACCGCTCTCTGCCAAACGCACGCCACGAGCTCGTCTTGTTCAATGAGCATTTCGCTTTTGGCTTTGGGCCGCCTTGCACGAAGATGGCCAGCTTTCTGGACGGCCTTCGAAAGCTTTTCACTTGCACTGCCATCCACCACCACCACCACTACCACCACTACCCAAACACTGGCACTCTCACTCTAAAAACCAAATGGCTAAAAACCACAATGATCCGACGATCGGCCGAGTCAAAGAAAATAAAGAAAGAGTCCGAGCTTCGAGGCCTCCAAGAGACAGAGACTCGAAGAAACGGGCCACAAATATCCGCAACTTGGCCAAAGCTGCTACTTATTAAACACTTCAAAAAAAAATGCATTACTTAAAAATATATATTTTATAAATTTTATGTTATAGTATTGATCCATTTAACAAAAACTATCGATTATGTGAATGTTTAATTACCACTTTTCTGGGTTGTAGGAAATATTTATAAAGATTTGACTATAAAACTTAAGTTCGATCAAAAATGATATACGATACTTTCGAGAAAAAAATAACTGAAATTAAAAATTTTTAATAGAAGCTTATGTACAATAACTTCGAAAAAAACACTATTATTCGATACTGTCGATAACAACTGATATACGACACTTTTCGATACATTCAATAAAAGCTTATATACGATACTTTCGATAAAATAAATATTTGATACCTTCGATAACAAATAATACATATATGATTCCTTTGTTAACAACATATATATATAGTGTCCCGAAACTATATCGATATTGTAGGATTCAGGCAAAACAATTACTACCTAAAATATCAAGTTGTTAAGGATGTTTTTGAAACATTTTTATTTTCCAAAACATAATTACTTTGTTTTAAAATTAAAAAATACTCTAAAATCCTTAATTAAACCCATATATTTCTAAGAAAACCTTCATTAACCTGTTTAAAATTGAAAAACTTATACCAAAACCCTAAAGATTTTCTTGCAGTGCCTGTCTGCAAAGCGGAGCTGCACTTTCGATTTCATATCCATTTCTTCTGGCTTCGTCTTCGGTCTGTCTTCGGGCCTTTGTCACTGAGCTACGTGCTCGCCCCAGCGTGTGTTGCCAAGTTACCACATTACCATGGACTTTGAGTTTGATTTTTGATTTGATTGTGATTGTGATTGTGGCTGTATGTGACTTGCAGAGAAAAGGCAAAAAAAAAAAAAAGCGAAAAGCTTTTCGGGAATTTGCTGGTGCTGTAATGCTGGAAAAAGACGGGTAGATGGCTAAGGAAAGAGAGCGGCTGAGAGGCCGGTTTAGAGGCTTTCGATGGCTGATCCAAAACTGCCCGCCCGGTGCTGGCCGACGATTTACAAGTCTGGCCATCAACTTACCGTTTTATTATTCATGATCGCCCCCACCCCTTTGACAAAAAAAAAAAGCTCAGCGTTTAACAACAAGGCCATAAAGGTTGCTTTTGGCCAAACATTGAATTGTTGTTGTCGGTATCGATCAAGATCAAAATTTCCGGTTTGTTTGCTTGCACTCGGTACTCTGTACTCTCCGTTTGGCAACCAATTGGGCAACCGAAGGGTAAAAGTGGTCAATTGACTTTTGTTTTTGGTGGCAAATAAATCAATAAAGTCAATATTTAAAGGAGTTGAGACATTTTTTGAAGAAATTCAATGAATATTTAATGCTTAGGTCTTGAGAAACAGCTTGAGGAAATCTTTTCTTATCACAAGATATAAGTTATTTTGTTGGCAAGCTTTTACTCGGCTTTTAAGAGGTCTATTTTAAGAGATTTTTAATAAAATGTGATCTTGGTTTTAGTTTCCTTTTCATTTCAAAGAGAAATAGATCCAATATATCCAAACAACTACCCACTCTTATAGATCAACTGTCACTGTATCTAATAATCCCCTGATTGATAAGCATCTATATAAATATCGCATTACCTTTGGGGTTCACTCTCTCTCTGTATCTCTGTATCTGTGAAATGAGGACCATTAAATTCGCTACCCACTCGCGGAATAAATTCGCTTCATTCACAAAACCTCCGCATCATTTCCCTCCAAAAAAGCAAAAAACACTCCACTCATTCAGTGTTTCTGCGTTTTTTCGGTTCATTCATTAGAGGAATCAGCAAAGTTGAACAACTTTGTGAACTCTGTGAACCCTGGGAATAATATCAGGTGCACTCACAATGGATACTACCAATTGCCCCCCCATTGAACTCGAACTCTATGCAAACTACCACAAATAGTGGGAAGTGGGTATAAATTTCACAAAAAAAAAAAAAGGAAAAGAGTTGCGTTTGTTCCGCCATGATGGCAGGTATATATACCTATATATATCTAGTGTTGTGCCGGCTTCCGACAAGCGGGCCAAATCTTGGGCCAAAATGCAGATTTAAAGCTTGACATAGCACTGAGAGAAATGGGGTCTAGAGTATGAGGTTCTTTCTTAACAATTTCTAACTCTCTCGCATTTAGTCTTCAAGAACCATTTGAAAAAGTTGAAAATTCTTTTGAAAAGCAACCTTATTTTTCGTCAAGTGTCATAGTACAAGGGGGCAACTTTCATTTTCATTTTCGTTCAGATGGCCGCGAATTTTGGACGGTCATTGCTTCGTAGCATAAATATTTATGCGTTGCACTTGAGAGAGCTCTGGAATTGGAATTGGAATCGTAGTTGGATTAGGTTTTTATTTTTTTATTTTTTTTGGAATCTTGGATGGGTATACGGCATGCGGCTTAGATTTATGGCCCTCTTCCGCGACCCAACCGTGGCAAGGCAAGGCAACTGCAATTAGCCAAACACTAACACACACCGCCTGCATTTTGTTAACAAATTATTGGAGGCATCCAAAAATGCATTATTCAATGCGATTCCGAATCCGAATGCGAATCAGATTTATTATCCCTCTACGCACCGTTAACTGCCCGCATCGACTTTATGTCTAACATAATTGCAATTATCATCCCCGATGTCTGTAATTGTAATTGCAATCGAAACGGCCGGCTTGTAATTAATTTGCCAAAAGGAAAATTATCGCATTATGGCATTTAACAATTAAAGCACCTAACCGCATCGGGCTAGTTAGATCCGTTCAGGTGCGCTTCTGCGAAATGAGGAACTCCAGTGCCCAGGAATTACACAACAGTTTCCTAGAGTGTTTCCCAGAATTGCAATTGGTTTTTAGTTTATGATAATTGAAAATTCTTGCATGTCTTAGAAATAGGTAAAGGTTGATCCCAGTTGTCTTCAAACTTATAGTAAACGGTTGCCTTGGAGAGGAGAGACCCAGAGTTAAAATTACCAAAGAATTACTAAAGGATTTATAAAAGGTAATTATTTATTTTGACTAACGGACATGCATAGATATTCAGGATCCAACAACTTATATACGCAGGATAGAAATTTGAAATTTTTTGCTTGCTTTCCAAAGTATCTTTCCAAAGAGGGTTTTCTTATGTCCAGAAGTTGGGAACTCGGTCGGCACCACCTGGCCCTAAGCTCCTCTATAGAAGCGTTGTCGGTAGCAGTCGTGTACCCAAACACTTCCCAAGACCAGAGCCAGAAAAATGATGTAGCCACCAGCGACAGCCAGGTGGTTCCATAGCAGTTCGTACTTGAATTCCAGGCGGAATAGTCCGTTAATCACAGCCCCCACTTTGTCATCTAAATAGAGTTTTCTTGCAGTTATTAAAAATGATGCCCACATAATAAAAGTGAAAATTGCAACACGGTTGCGGTTCAGAAAATCAATAGCTCTACGGAGGCCTTCCATTTCGATCTTCCTCACAAGGAACTGCTCTAGAATTTCCAAAAGTCCTGATTATGATCCTTTCGTCACTTCCAATCAGAGCTTCTGATACGAAAAAATGTAGAGAGTTGATTTGCCTTGACGATTCAGCACTGGCTTCCTACTCGGTATCGGTATTTTTTGAATAATTTTCAATATTTTACAGCCAACTATGATAGAACAAGTTTTATACGAATCATCCCAAAGACATAAATAGTTTTTTTTTGGAATATTCATCTACAAAAAACTATATTTTAAAGATAAAATATGTTGAGTTATGAAAATAAATTAGGATTGCAAGCTTGAAACTTTTTTGGTAAATAGTTTGCTATGTGGAAAATGGTTCTGCCATCTCAAACCTTCTACTAAAGTTGGAAAGGACCGTCCAACAATATCCTATAGCTTCCATATAATTCAATACTCGGAAATAATACAACACCCAAATATCATACTCGGAAATGTTTTGGAAGATAGAAGCTTGTGACTTTGTTTAAAATTTGGAAATATAGAAGAAGGGCAAGAGAAGGGCAAGAGAAGGGCCAAGCGGACCAAGTATATAGGTATATGTATATCCTATATATCCTAGATATTTATACATACATACATATGTATGTATATCTTATTCCTTAAAGTGTCACATAACTCCAAGAGCGGCTTTTATTTCTTAACGCTTAAGGCGATTTTTCAAGAAAAATCTGCATGAGATTGAGATAGTTGATTTCAATCGTCTTCAATGGTCCTTGTCAATTCTGATACTACCAGTAGATATAGTTACATATATAACTGCTTTATTATGTAGGATATTCATTTAGAAAAAATTATTTTTTAAAATAATAAGTGTGTTGAAAGAATGTTGAAACATTGAACAGATTCTATTTTTGACCAAATAAAGCCGGTAAATCGGTACCCAAATATGAATTCCATGTACCTAACTATTTTTTTTTTTTTAAATACTCATTCTATAGCTAATTTGTATCTTGAAAAGAAGTTTCAGTTCAATCGACCGATTTGTAGGCGGTAGTACTAAAGAAGACTCTCAACTAAGTCTTTTTTTTTTTTGAGGTGTTAACTTAACTCTATATTTTTTACGCGGTATTTGGTTCTTGGTATTTCAGTCAGTAATGTAACTTATTAACAATAAGCTATTATACTCGAACCTTACAATATAAAAGCCTCTTAAATACTTCTTTGTAATTTGAAGATAAATATCAAATTATTAGCATCATACAATGACTATGTATGTACATAAAATATAGTTATTTTATCAAGATTACAAGTTTCCTCCTAAAGCCTAAAAGAATGCAACAAGCTATTGTCTCAAACAATTAAAATTTCTTCATTGGAAAGAAAAGAGTACCGGGTATCATATAATCAAGACTATTCTTGTGTTTTTTTTAGCAAGCTTCTAAATGGATTCATAAATTTTTAAGTGTTCTTGGTAGTTTGTTTTAACTATTGTTACTTTATTAAATATTAAATATTAAAACCTTTAAACTCCTTTCTCTAATATTAAGCTTTCTAATTTATAAGCACCAAGCTTTCGTTTAAGCTTTAAAGCCAGGCTTTAAATTTCCGTAAGCTTGAATAAAGCTTTTATTTGAAATTCGTCTCTTAACTAATCATTTTTGTCATTTATTTCATTTCAGGTAAGCTTTGTTTAAGCTTTTTTTGAGCCAAGTTTGCCGGGCTCTCTATAAACTGTGCTTGTAAAACTGTAGGCTTGAAAGAAAGTGTTTGTAAAAATTCAAACTGTAAGTAAAATACATACTTTTGAGAAAAGAAACGTAAAATAAAAGTTAAGTAGTGGTTAGGGACTCTATTTTACTTTAAATTACAATTTATTCTCCAGAGTCGAGACAGATATCCTCTAAATAAATTAATAATTAATCAGATACTCCATGGCTATAAAGACTTGAAAATTTCAAGTAAATAAATAACAAGAAAAACACAATATTTTATAATCATTAAAATTTATTCGCTTTTTGTATATGTGGTTTAGATTTAAGAGTTAAGAACTAATCAAAAACACTTGCATCGCAACGACAGACTCGACTTACAGACTAACTGAGGTACTCCACGTGTACGCGACATAAAACGAAGTTTAAACAGAAACTAAAGCTTAAGCTTTAAATACAAAAAAATAAACATTCTAGATTAGACACACACGATACTCGAACAAAAAAAATTACAAATGAACCTAAAAATTAGCATAAATGACTCGATATTTACATGAAGCGCTTAAGTGACTAAGTCCATGGGGGAGGAGGGGGCGGTGACCACAGGGGCATAGGATAAACGTTAATGGGGGTGCAGGGAGAGCAATGTATTGGAGGGGTGATGAGAAGCACACTAAAGCTTAATAAATTAAATTTGTCTCGAAGAGGATTTTTGTTCTAGAGGCTAGCCACCCAGGCCCAAGGCTAGGCCCCACCCCACGCCCACTACCGCCCCTGACCCTATGACCTTGGCAGAGGCCATTGATGAACGGGCGAGACTCCCGCATCCACCTCACTGTCCGTAAAGTTGAAGGCCCCCCCGAGGGAGCGTTTTCTTCGCCATTTCTGGGGGATCTGACCCTGACCCTGCTGCCCCTGCCCCTGCCCCTGACCTTGACCCAGGCCCTGCCCCTGCCCGTGCACAGGCGCCGTGGTGGGCGTCAGCCACAGCTGCTTGATAAGATCGGCGCCCTTCTCGCCAATCATCACCACCGGGGCGTGGATGTTGCCGTTGGTGATGGCCGGCATGATGCTGGCGTCGATGACCCTCAGCCCCGGTATTCCGTAGACCCGCAGCTGGGGGTCCACCACCGCCCAGGGATCCGAGGGCGGGCCCATCTTGGCCGTGCCGCTCATGTGGTAGATGGTCATCGTGTACTGCCGGATGAAGCAGTTCCAGTAGTCGTCCGTGAAGAGGGTCAGGTGGCGGCAGTTGGGCAGGGGCTTGCTCCAGAAGCGCGCCCCGAACCGCTTCATGGCCTGGGTCTCGCCCATGGCCACCGCGGCCTTCACTCCCTCCCGCAGCACGTTCACGTCGTCCGGATGGGTGAGGTAGTTGTGGTACAGGAGCGGATACCTCAGGGGGTTCTTCGAGGCCAGCTTGATGTAGCCCCGGCTCTTGGGGCGCAGCATCATGGGGAATACGCCGAAGACGTCCCGGTTGTTGACCTCCCCGAAGACCTCCTGGTAGAACTCGTCCGTCAGGCCGTGCGCCGTCTTGACCTGCGACCCGCCGTCGGACATGACGGAGGCGGAGGTCATCATGAAGTTCATGTCCGGCCAGTCGTCGCTGGCGTTAGCGTACTTGGTGTTGATGAAGGCCACCGCCTCCAGACCGATGCTGGAGGTCAGGGGGCCGTCCTCCGTGATGGCGTACCGCAGGGCGGTGTTGATGTTCACCATCCGCTTCATCACGATCGAAATGGGGTAGTCGATGAGAAAGGCGATCCCACCCACGGCGATGTGGTCCTGCAGGTTCTGCCCCACGCCCGGCAGGTGCTGCACGAGGGGTATACCCACGCGGCCCAGCTCCTCACCGTGCCCGATCCCGGAGAGCATCATGAGGTGCGGCGAGCCGATGGCTCCTGCCGAGAGGATCACCTCCCTGGTGGCATACACGTTCTGGAGGCGTCCGTCCCGAATGAACTGAACTCCCGTGGCCCGTTTGGTCTGGGGATCCGTTAGCACCTTGGTCACGTGGGAGAACAGGGCCACGTGAAGGTTGGGCCGCAGTCGGGCGGGACGCAGAAAGGACTTGGCCGTGGAGCTCCGAGAGCCTCGCCGCATGTTGAACTGATAGAACCCGAAGCCGGTCTGCTGCTCGCCGTTCACGTCCACGATGTCGTAGCCCATCTCCTCGCCGGCCTGCAGGAAAGCGGGTCCTATGGGGGTGTTGTAGGGGGCGTCCTGCACAGTCCAGAGGCCACCTACGAATTATAGATTTCGGATTAAGTTTTTTTTTTAATTTGATAGTGATTGGGTTTATATTTTGGCTAGCACTAGCAGTGAAATTTAGTTGTTAGAATGTTTTATGGGGTTTATGGTTCAAAGTTGAACTGAAGGCAGTTGAAATCAACTCTCCCAACCGAAATCAGCTCTATATATTTGTTTTAAAAAGCCACTTTAACCTAAAAAAGTTGGATAGATCTATAAATCAAAAGATTTGAATTATTAGAAGCAGCATAATCAAGACTTTTGGAAGTTGTACAGCAAAGAATCTATCGTGAGGAAGATACAAATGGAACGGTTCTATTTCGGTATCTTAAATATTGTTCTTGAATATGTCCCATAAATAAAGTAAATTGTTATCCGTTTGATATGTTGTAGTAATCCTTTGGTGAATCCTGCTTTGGGGCTTTCCGATCAGAAACATCAATACTTTATAGGTTCGTAGCTGAATCCTTTACTGGCTTCTCCCTTCTACTAATAGGCTTAGAACCACTGGTTAAGTGGTCAAGTTTTGTAGTTGTGCTAGTACTTTCTTAGTTAGAAAAGTAATAAGAAGTAGACACTTTGCCAAACAGTCATGGAAAGTTAAGCTCCAAAACCATATATGAGAATTCAAAAGGTTGGTTAGTTTTCTACTCAAGTTGTAACAATTTAATGGGAAATAAAAAAAATTGGGCTTGGTATTTCTTGGTAAGGATTATCACATTAAAAGAAGTACAAATTTTACCGATAAGTCTCGGAAAGTTAAGCTTTTAAGCCTTGTATTAACAGTTTAGTTAGTTATCTGCTTTAGTTGTGCTAATTTAATGGAAAAGTTGGCGCATCAACTTTCGCAAAACGAAAGATTTATGGGAAACGGCTTATGAGCTTATAGTCTTTTGTAGAGGCCTTTCATTCATAGGCCTTATAGAGAAACTATAGCTCTGAGAGAAAAAAGTTTACAATAATATTATAATGCCATCTAGAAACTTCCACAAACCTGTGCCGTGATAGCGCTTATTCCTGGCCAAGTAGGGATTCCGCTGGTCCTCCGACTTGCGGAAGTAGGGCAGTATCTCCTCGTAGGACCAGCCAGGATTGCCAAAGTCCGCCCACTGGTCAAAGTCCCTTTTGTTTCCTCGAATGTAGAGCATCGTGTTGAGCACGGAGCTGCCTCCCAGGACCTTGCCGCGCGTCCAGCAGCAGCGCTTGTCCTTCATGGCCTGACAGGCCGTCGGCTGGGGTTGAGTGCTTTAAATACAAGACATAATTATTATATAAAATTTCAAACAAAATAATTAAGACTTCAAGACAATTAGCAAATAAAAATGCCAAAAATCATCAGTCAAAAGCTAGCGAGGAAAGTGATTGAGAAAATCTCCGATAATTCGGCGGGCAGGCAAACAAAAGCGACAATGAAAGCCCATTAGCCAAGGGGGCCACGCCCACTGGGAGGAGGGTGGGGAGGCGTGGCTGGTTGCCCAGTGGCCGGCATAATTACAACACCACAAGAGCCGGTGTTAAACGTTCATTAGGCCAAGATCTCTGGGCTTGTTGGCCAAAAATAGCCGAGTCTGAGGCAATGAGTAAGCTGCGAGTACGGGTATCTGACAGTGCAAGTATCTATGTATCTGTGAGTGGCATTTAATGTATAATTTACTAGCCGCTAGCCCTGGTAACAAGCTCTTTCCCAAGAGCCAGCGTCTTAAATTTTAAAAATTAAACAAATAAGCCGGAAAGCCAACACCAACTCTTAAAATCTAACTAGCTCTCACTAGTTTCTCCTTAAATATTTCTTGAGATTTTAATCTCGCCTCCCAGGGTTAGGCGATTTCAAAAACATTCCCCAGCTCGAAAAACAAAATATTTCCCTGCCGTGAGTGCACTCAATGAAAAAAGCCAACAAATTAGCCAACAAAACGGTTTTGACAATTTCTTCTCTTTAGTTTTAATTTCTGCTTCAGTTTCAGTTACAGTTTCCACTCGTTTTTCTTTTATTTATTTTTTTATCCGCTGCTAAACATACAGGAAGACTATTGTTTTTTTGTTTAGTATCGGTAGTAGTTGTAGTATTTAATGAAATTAAAAATTACCAGTGACAGGCAACTAACAAAAGCCAGAGCCGAGAAAGCCAAAGCCAAAGCCAGGCAAGACACCAAACGGAAATCAAATGTCAATTGCGGAAAACTTGGTCAGCAATGATTTTGGTAACACGCCGTATGGCGGGGCTAAAAAGCGTGCCAAAAGCCAGCTCTTAAAAAATTGAAAACTAATCCATATAGATTTCTAAATGCTCTTGGAAAAACTATATATATTTTTTTAACAAATACTCTATCAAATACCCAGAAATAAACCCTTATAAATCCACAATATAAAGACAAAAGAGACTATATATTATATATACCCACTGCATCAACAAGTACAAGTGAAGACATTAATAGATGTCCCATCACTCTCTTGTCTCGAATGCATTTGCATCTTTAGGGCTTTGTGATTCACACCTGTCCCCTTGTCTTTATTGCTATTTTTCACCCAAACAGGTGGAGGTTGAGGGTAAGGTAGGAGTAATTAGCATAAAACACCGGCTCTATCTCTGTCTCTGCCTCTGTCTCTTTTTTTTTGTGATTTATGCTGTTCAGATATATATATTTTTTCCATTGCTTTAACCCACGGAGACCACGATGACGAGCCATTAATATCAATTCGCGCCACCGTAACCCCACTGTGGCACATTGTTTGGCTTACTGACTTATTGGCTACGTGCTGGCACTCTCACAGATACAAAGATACACCACAACACTGACACATTCCGAAGTAAGGTAAAAATAGTGAAAAAACTTTCGCCTTTACCTCGGCCTCGACTTCCATCTAACGCCCAACTGACGCAATTTGTTTGCCTTTTATTAGCCATTTAGCAGTTAACTCACATAAACGTAACAAATTATTATTAACTCATTTTGGGGAGTGTGCTTGCTTGTGTCTTTTTCCTCCTTGGTGGGCCAATAAATTGCAAATTAATGGAATAAACCAGCGGCGAAATGGACCTTCAAATTGGCTTTGAAAATTAAAGAAGATGGACCCGATTTTTGTATCGGGTTTCGGAAAGTGTGGCAGTTACAACTAATATTGGGCCTAAATTCTTTATATTTCTTTTTTTCAATAATAGCTATAATTTTGTTTTGGGAGGTAAATTATCATTAAAGTATCGGGTTTTTTATATTCATCATTTTAAGGAGTTATCATTTGTTGTCGTACAGGGTATCATATAAATAGTGTTGAATAAAAGTTGGAATATGATAATATTATATGATTATAAATATGATTATGATATTTTGAAGATAGAGGTATTGTTTTAAAACTCCATTTTGGTATTATATGATACGCGGTACTACAATTATAATTTAAATTTTTTTTAAAACCTCAATAATCAACAAAATCTATTGTATTATGATGTCTTTTCTATTTCTATATGTTTATATCTATTTAATCGAAGTTCGTTCATTATTTGTAGAAGAAGTTATATTTGTAGTATCGAGTTTTTTAATATAAAATCTTAGCTTAAAATATATTTTCAATTTATTTGGAAAATAACTGTCGTATCGGGTACTGGAGTACAAGGATGATTGTATGAGGCATCATATACATCGGTTCTTTTAATATCTTACAGACCTCTATTCTATCTTTCTTTATTTTTTATGTATTATAATTTATGAAATTCTTGAAAGCTTTTAAAATATTAAACACCCATTAGGGGCACTCACATTTGTCCAAAGCAAACAAAAGAAATAAAAAGATCCATAATTGCCGCTTATGAAATGAATATGCATGCCGAAAAACGCGAGTTGATTGCATTACTTTCGTAATTGTTTAATGCTCGTTAACTGAAAGTTGGTTAAGGCCTCGCCGCAGTTCCCCCGAAAATACAGAAAAATGTCTAAAGAAACAAATAAATAATGGGGCTAGCGCATTGGCTTGGAACAACTGTGCTGATTGCCATATAAAATCACTTAGCAGCCGAATTAAGCTGTAAAACGACGACGATTTATTAATTGCTGAACTCTCAGGCACTACTAGGTTCAGTGTCTGGCCAATTGTTTGGCCAACAAATCTTTGCCCAGTTCCAGTTTACATAATCTCCCAAAAAGCGCTGACCCATTGGCGATAATTAGATTAACATGTCGGGAGCCGAGAAGCTGTCACAACACGTATTTGTGCCACACATCCTATTCATTGGCCATCAGTTGATCAATAACTGTGCTCAATTTTCATTTATGGCCAAAAGGTAAGTAGATTTTTGTTTTATTGCCCGGTTGACACATATTTTCGGGATTTTTTTGAGGGTGCGGGGTGTATGACTGCAGCCACTGGTAGCCACCGAAGCCCGACCGCTCTCAACCGGCTATTTTGGATTGAGACTGTTGCTGTTGACTTTCGGCTATTGGCAATCACTATAGCCGGCATTCCCTCACTCATTCACTTGCTCACTCTGGCATTCCGACATTCAGGTGCAATTGCCAGCAAGTACAAGTACCAGCCTCGTTTCGTTTCATTTCATTTCATTTCTTGCGTTGCCTTTCATGGATATATTTGTAAATATATATATACACTGTGCTCTGCTATATAGTCCGATCTCAGCCTATGTAGATGCGTGTGTAGTTAGACCCAACCGCCTAACCCAAATCACCACTTGGAGCGCTCCAATGCGATCCGGTTTGGTCGCAGACCGATCCGACCGACCATGTTGGGAAACTCAACTGGACCGGCGTAGGATATCCCCATCTGGGAATGTGCACTGTGGGAATTTTGAGGGGCTTAGGGTTACATTTTAAATTTTTGGAACTTTGGAAAATATCTTAAAAAAGCCTGAAATAATATATTTTAAAATTTCTAAGGAAAATATCTTTAAGATACAGATAATAGTTACAGATACTATCTGAATTGTTTTCTATTTTTGTTTGTACTACAAACTTTATAGCTCCCCTGGAGTTTTAGAAATTTTAGAACTAAAAAATTTCCAAAAAAGGGTCTTAGGATTGAAACTTTTTCAAAAGTAACCTATAAGTTTGCTCTTCCAAAGCTATTCAAGTTTTTAACAAAAATATAATATTTAAAGTAGATATGACTATAATAATTTAGAAGGCATAATCTACATATCTGACTATCTTATTTATTGAATTAGTACCATTAGTACCTTAAGCATTATTTCTGCCAGTGTACAAGGTTCGTGTGGAGTGCCGGAATTGAATTCCCCTTGCAGCTTGCATTTAAATGCGAGCCCCCATCTGTCCGGGCGTGTCTCCATTGCGCCTGCCCGGCCAGATTCCCAAAATATTTCTGTGACTTTTAAACTTTAATGAGGCGGATAGGACCAGGCCAGACAGCTTGGGGGTCATCGCATCTTTCTTATATTATTTTTTGTCGTCGTTGCATAACGTCCCTTGGAAGAGCGGAATGCACCAGGGACAGGTTAGCAAGGCAAGTGGTATATCGACTCGATTTTTTTCCCTCGCGATTCGAAGTTCGGACGTGACTAATAATCGGAAATTATTGTTATCAACAGTAGGATGTGCCAAGTCACTTTATAGCCAGGGTCTACTGTAAAATTTGAATGCTTTCGAATGGCGAGCCGGCAAGACAACAACCAGTTGCTGCACTCGAAGCTGCAGTTATGAAATTTTATTTCGCGACGCAAAGTCGTAAAGTCTCGAAGCATTTATCCTGTAATCACACACGAAGCTGGCTCGATTGCCAATGCTTTATTATTCTTGAGTGGTGATGCAATTTTCTGGGAGATATCATGATAGAGACTACCAGCTCTGAGCGATACAATAGACTTCCCACGACCTTGAACCCCGATTTAAAACCGAAAAATCCCAAACATAAATATTTAAATCGATTTTGCCGACTTTCTCGGGTGAAACTTTTCGCCCATGAGTCAGTGTGTTTCAATCAAGATTTAACGATGATTGACGTGAGAGTGATTGCCGAGTGCTATTCGATTCAGTGTCTGCACTTTGTTGACTGAATTTCCCGTTTTTCTACAAAGCGGTTTTCTGTTTTCTGGGTGGCGTTGCACCCAGAAATCCAAAACAAACACAAAACACTCAACGCGTCGGGTATTAGGCACCTGAGCTGGTTAATCATTTGGTATTTTTTATGGTGTACACTGGGAATAATTAAGAGGGGTTTTCTAGAGAAAAAGTTTGACTCTAAAAGGGCTATTTAAGTCTCAAAGTTAGGGCTATTCTTTATTAAAAGTTATTCCGAACAGAAAAAAATTAAGAAAAAATATTAAACTCTAAAGCGGAGTCGAACCCGAGATCAAAGAACCCTGAAGAATCCCAAAAAGAGAAAATAAAGGGTCATACTTTAAAAGATTCATAATTTCTTTCTCTGCCAGACTGACGTTGAGAGGCACAGATACAGATAGCTAAAGTGCAGATTCAGATAGAGGCTCTCCCAAAAGTGATGCAACTCCATTGCCCCACTCGATGCACTTAAGGTTTTCCTGCGGTTTTTGTTCATTGTTTTACCGGCACCTGGCCTTTTCATAAAAATTAAAATTAAATTTTTAGGAGAATGCTCCACCGCAACGGAATCTGAATGAAAATGCTAATGAATGTGGAATTCTGAAAGTGAAATTCGAAGAAGACCTCGAAACAGAGACGAAAACGCCGCTAGGCCTACAAACCGAACCCAGCCCCTTGTCACATTAAACAGTTAAATGGATTACGGTATTGGTAACACGCTCGAACAAAATTCCAAAAAAAAAAAAACAGTCAAAACTCATGAATAATTAAGCATCTGTTGGATGTTAATTCGGTTCGCCATGCGGCAGCCACAGGTGGTGGCCTGTCTGTCGATCATCAGCTGTTATTAATGGGGAGTCGAACCCGAACCCTGAGAGCCCTGGGGGGCCACAGGAAGGGGCAGAGCAGCCTGCTTTTGTGGCCTAACGGTAGCCCGTTCTAATTTGTGGCAGTAGAAGCTTCAACAGTGTACCATTCTTCGTAACTAATGGAGGGCCCCGCCATACAAGGCAGCACTTAATTGCTGCTTGAACTCATCATCGAACCGCCAGACACAAAAGAAGATTATCCATCGGAATCGGAATAGGAATGGTAAATGTTTTCGGTTTGTCTTTATCGAATTGGAACATTCTGGAGAAGCGGCCGGTGGGTTTTACTTTTGGAAAAGTGAAAGACTCTTGGAGATGGGAGTGGGAAATGGGAACAGAAGCCTTATATCTTAATCGTTAAAATAATGGGATTTATAGGTGATCTATTAATAGATTGGATTTCCTTGAACTTAAGCCCTAATAATATCTCTGAACTTCTTAATAATACTATATTTGGATGTAGATTTCTTATGCTAGTCATCTATAGATCTTCTATTATATCTTTTATATCTGTTATATATATTATATCATCTCGTAGAGAAACAGAAGGTCTATATCTTAAGTGTTAAGCTAATAACTTTTAAAAGAATGGATTTTATTCAAAAATATTAATAGATTTGACTTTTTTGAACCTTAATCCCTACTAATCTGTCTGAATTTCATCATAATATTATATTAGTTTATGAATTCCCTATATTACTCCTCAATAGTTAATTTTCGGCTCTGTTTTATGTTTAATAGAGCTTTAAGATAGCTCTATATCTATTATATCTCTATAGAATATTTCTTAATTAGATGAAACTCCTTTAAACCCTAAGCTCTACTAAACTCCCTGGATGACCATTTACCAAATTATACATATTACTCATCTCCAGTAGATTTCCCTTTCTATTACATCTTCTCGGGAGATTGCTGAAATCGTTTGCTGTTTGCGTGTGAAAAGAGCTGGCAAATAGTCTGAAATTTGGCAGGCAGTTGCTAACTAAACGAATTCGGCCTTTAACACCGCCAGCGGCCTGAGTCAACGCTGTCAACTCGCTTTGGGCCAAGTTAAGTTGTCTGGGTCTATTCCAAATGCTAATGATGGCCGCAACTCATCGATGGTTGATGGCAAGCCCTCTGCGATTTGCGATTTGCATGCGATTCCCGGCAATAATCGCCGAGTCATGGCTTTCGTTCGTTGTTTTGGCCGAAAAGGGCGCAGACAAAGCTAACAAAATGCCGGCCAACAACAGGAAATTATTGTGAGTGCGTTTCGGCCCGAACTGGGCCACTGCTAAGGCCAAACGATGTTGACCCCACCCAGCCCCAACGCTGACCCGTTTGCTGGGCAATCAGGAAATGCTTTGTGTTCCGTACTTGGCTTAAACCAAGTGCAAGTTAGAGCGAACTAAATGGCTTAACAGATAATATATTTTATGGAGATTTTGGTTTAAACTTTCAATTATGGAAATAACTGGGAAGGAAATAAAATATTAAAAAAGTCAATAGTTTTCTTAGAAATTTCTTCTTAGAAAGAACAAGAATTCTAAGAGAGCCTATAAGTATTTGGTTCAAAAATGAATACATTTCCGGGAGATTATGTGTTTAAGCAATTCTGAGATGAACTGGGAAGAAACCATAATTTTAAGTTAAAAGATGAAGAAGAAGATTGAAGATTTTATGAAGATTTTGGTTTAAAACTTTCAATTCTCAATGGAAACTATAATGTTTAAGTTTAAAAATGGAGAGTTTATGAAAAGTTCAAATGGGTCTCAAAAGAAGAAATTATAGGTATCTTCATCTTCATCTTCATCTTCATCTTCATCTTAAACTATAAAAATAATTAGCTAACAAATAATTTATTTTTAAAATATTATGGCCTTACTATACCAATTCTACGAAGAACTACGAACAAACTATAATTTTTAGTTCGACAATGAATATATTTCACGAAGATTTGGGACTTAAGATTTCTATCCTTTGAAGAATTTGGAAAAAAACTAAGTTTTCTAAGCTTAAAAATGAGTATACATTTAAGGATATAATACTTAGTATTTCTAGGTCATATAATTCCAATTCTGTTAGAATATAATAATATTAAGGTCAAAAAACCATATATATTTTACCGAGATTCCGGTCCAAGTCCGATAGGTTCTCAGCATAACTCACCGGTACTTCCAGTCCATTTTGCTTTTGTGCAAGTAGAGCGAGAGGAGCGGGACATCAGAGATTTCGGTCTCGTGTCCGCCGGCCTCCAGGAGCAGGATCTTCCAGTGGGGCACCTCAGACAGCCGGGAGGCCAGCACAGTGCCCGCCGACCCGCCGCCAATGATGATAAAGTCGTAGGCCAGTTCCACTTGCTGGACGTTGAAAGGACGATTCTCGGGATCGAACAGATCATAGTTATAGTAAGCTATCGCCGCTATCAGGAAGGGCAGGATGGTGAGCTTCCCCACTCCGATCACGGCGGTGGCCAGCTTGATGGCGCCCGCAATGGCAAGGCCCAGCTTGGAGGCGCCCACAGCGGCCACGCCCGCGGTGGCGGCTGCCTTGGAGGCGGCACTGGCCTTGAAGAGTAGACCGCCCACCGAAACGGCGGCGGCTCCCAGAGCGGGAACCACAACCATGATTCCTTGGATATACAATCTTTTATTTCAAATATATATATTTCTATATATCTTCTGGGGTTTCTCGTTAGGGATTTTGGGAGCAGGTGACTGTTTCGTTGACTTTTTATTCCACTTTCGGATGTCACTTCATTGCATTGAATTATCTGGACACTTTCATTCGATTTGCTTTGGAATTTCTAAAGCGCGATGCACTGAGAAAAACATGTATGATGTATTTTAGTATAAATAAAGACTCAAGATTAAGATTTAATACTTTGAAGTATTTCTAGTCTTTTCTTTTAAATTTTTTCTTATCATAATTTGAAGAGACTCTTAATAGACTTTTTATAAAAATGTATTTTAAGATACATGAGTAATATTTAAAAAAAAAGTATTTTTGTAATTCTTATTTTAGAATATTTTTTTAAATTTTTTATGGAACATTTTTAACATCAAAGCAGTATCAAAGCAGCAGATTCTTTAAAAATGTAGATTTTTTAATAGTTTTTCGAATTAATAAAAACAAAAACTATCTTTATTAACTCAAAATAATTTTTTAAAATTACAATATAATTTTTAAGATATATTTCAAACAAAGAACTAACATTTCTGACAAAATCTTCAGGGCAACAACCGTTTCTCTCAGTGCAGTCACGTTCGCATTCACAATCACTTGCCTATCTGCACTTTCATTTAGGCCTCATTCACAATGCAGCAATGGAGCAGAAAACAAAAACAACAACAAAAGTAATAGTACAAAAAAAAAAACAAAAACAATTACAGAAGACACCAAAAACAAAACAAAAACAAATAAATTGTAATAGAAATGTTTGCTTCTTTTTTTCTCAATCGGAGTCCACGCGCGCGCTGTGAATCGGTAATTCAGGAAATCGGTTTGGTTTTTCGAATAAACGGAATCGGGCAGGCCTACAACCGCTCGCTTTAGGCCATCCGCCTCGTTTGGCAGTCACTGCGTTTCTGAGCCACAAAAGCCACTCGCCTGCGACGTCTTGGCTTGGCTTGACGTCTGCGGCTGCTTTCGCGCTTTCTTGCCGCCGACGTCGCCGCCGCAGCTGCTGTTGCTGGCTGCTAGCTGCTCGTGGTGCAGTGGCGCCGACGTCGCTGCCACCAAAAAGTTGCGCATGTGCTATTCGCAGCCACTGCACTCTCGCCGCCTCAGTGGCAGCGCAGTCGCAACTAAGCCTCGCTTCTGATTAGCTCTCTTTTGCTCTCTCTCTCTCTTTCTCTCTCTGGCTCCTGTCTGCCTCCATCTTCTGAAAATTGCAACACCGTTACTTCTTACAGCTCCTACTTAACCCTTAGTTTGTTCTGAAGGAACGAATACATGTCGTATACGTGATGTGAATTGAAAGAAATTACAAAAATATTTCATACGCACTGTGGTACGAAAAAATGTAAAAACGTTGAAACCTTGATGGAATTAATAAACTTTAGTGCTAAAGTTTTATTTTTTGATTCCCCTTAATAAAAAGAATCAAATATAAGATTATAATGGTTTCATGAAAGTTGAAATTATTCTTACGCACTGTGGTACACATAATAAATATTATATCAAAACTTAAAATAAAGCCTAAAAATAAATAAAACCTCAGCAAATAATCTTTGGGAATAATTTATAACGATTATTTTTTATCAAGGTATATCATGGCGTATACGTGTTAAAAATCTCATACGCACTGTTGTCTCTAAATGTCTTATATTTATGTTTTTTAATAAAAAGTTACCTTAATAAATTATTTAAAATATCAATAACACGGCGTATGAGAAATAGGGTTAAGCTTACTCTCCTTACATATTTCATGTAATATGGGTTACTCTTTCTCTCTTCTGAGCTCTCGCCTCATTAAGCTCCTTAAGTCTTGGCTCTTGCGGCTCCTGTTTGCTTCTCTCTATTTGCTTCTCTATTTATTTTATTATTGTAGTGGTTGCGATTGCGCTCATTTTGCAATGCGAAACGGTAACCGCTTCACGCTCCTCCTGTTCGCTGCCTCTCTTTCGCACTTCACCCACATGGTCTGCTGCTGCTGCTTTGACGGCTGCTGCGGTTGCGGTTGCGCTGGCTGCTGTGCATTGCGAAACGGTACTCGCATATAACCGCTTGCAGCCTCAGCTCCTTCTGCCGCCGCCTCCCGCTCTGCCACGCACTCTCGCATCTGACATTTGCGGTTTCTGCTTGTGGGCTTTTGTGCTGCTTCTTCCTCTTCAAGGGGCTCTCCTTGCAGACGTCAGACGACAGACGACCTTCATGCTCGCTTTACGGTTTACGGTTATGCGTGTGCTCTTCTCTCCCCATAGTTGAGTTGTTTTGGGGCTGTGGGATCGCTCACGTAAGCCATAAGATACATATAGTACGACCTCTATAGGAAATATTTTTAAGAAAAAATCTTCAAAATTTATTTTTAATCTATACTAGATGAGAAATTGTTTAAAATATGGAAACAGTCTAAAATTTTTTTGTTTGTATTTATCAAGTTCTTTTACTTAAGTTACCACTGTACTACCTCTTCAGCTTGTACATCCAAAAAAAATAAAATTAAAAACCAACAGAATCCGTAATCAATTGAAAAGTTTGGCATTGGAGGTCGAAAAAGGCAGAGATTTTTGATGAAATAATTTTTTTCCTTATTATGTCCATTGATTAACCGGTTTTTTTGGCCAACAAACAACACCTCATGGAATTTTTTCTGCCAAGTAATTGTCATTACATTGCACCTGAGCATCAAACGGATATTAAATAAAAAACAAGTTTTCAAATTCAATCGGAAATCGTCAACGACATTCCCCGAAATTGCTCTATTTTCTCTAGCCTATGGGGTGATAGTTTGGGGTCTTTGGGGATAGTGGATGTCTTGGGGGTTATCGATATGCACACAGATGTTTGTATTTCGCACTAATGGCTTCCCGGTTTGCATTGTTGCATGAAAGTTTCAGATACCGCTGGGTGAAAATCAATCTTGCATCCAATTTGTTACTTGAATTGAATGCTGATTGAAAAAAGAGCAATATATATTAAAGTTAAATGGAAATGGGAATGATTAAAGTTTATATTTTATTATAAAAAATTGATAATAATTGAAAGTGAAATTTAAGATTTTATGGAAATTGCTTTAAAAAATGGAACTTTATTATATAAGACCATTTTCTTATGGGATATAAGTTATGAAATACGAACCACAGTGCGTATGAGTTATATAATTTGGAAAATTATCCATTCTATCCATTTTAGAATGACATTTAGGCCATCTATCGCATCTACCGACCTATAGTAACTGGAGCATTTCCCAATCCAATCCCCAAACCCAAATGACGAAAGTCCCACACAATATAATGCCCGCAAATTAACGGAGTGACGATGTGACGATCGCTTGATATATATCGCCGTCTAATGGGGCAAGGTCGGGTCGAGCGACCTAAACTCAGTTTTTCCATGCGAATGTCTTTCGAGGAAACCCCCCCACTGCCCAATAAAACAAACCTCGACAATAAAAGCACAAATAAACTTGTCAAAACTTTTTGCGATGACAACTTGTGCCTCTATTTTTGTTTTCTTGCTTTAGCTTCTTTTTCTGTCTTGTGTCTTTTTTTTTTGTCAAATTCCAAGTCTTAGAGCCTCGGACGGTCAAGGGCCACACTTCAATGACCACAATTTGTTAGACCTTAAAATTTGGGCAAGGGCCTCCTTGCCTTTATGATGGATCTTGGGAATAATGATTCAAGTTTAATAAGTATTATGGCTTCTAGTTTAATAAATAATATAAATTATGAAATGAGCTTTCAAGAAACAATGTATATTTCTTATAATATTCTCCGCTAGTACGCTATTACACCTTTTGGTTTAGTTTAAAACAATCTTCTGTAAAGTTAGAATAAAAAATAAATAATAAAATAATAAAGAACAATAAAATGAATAAACAGAAAAAATAAAACTTAAAATCAGTACTAAAGAAACATTATTTTTTTCTAATACTTCCTAAAAATAACCTCCTTTTTTTAGTTTTCAAAGTCTTTTAATATTCCATCGTAACTTATTCCATCGTATCTTATCTTATGATATAATAAAATGGGAATAAATCTAGTGCTATAAAATATTCAGGTAATACAAATCTTAAGATGCGTTCTATAGAGACCATCATTCTCTCTAATATTTCCCTAAATAATCACCTCTATTAAACGTTAAACACTTGCATTCCTTTTCAATGTTATTCCCAAAACGATTACCTCTATTAGTCCCTAAAGTTTTAAAATATTGTGGTTTAATAGGAATAATAGCACTTATATAATATAATATAAAACAACGACCTTAAGAAGAGTTCTGAAGAAACCATATGTTTTATATAGAGATTACCCCTGTAATATCTTAATATAATTGTTTTGTAATATATTAGGTATTATTTATTTCTAATCCCCAAATTCTATTAAACCCTTTTGTCTTCTAAAATTTCCTTTCCAAAACAACTCTCCTTATGAATCATCTCTGTTTAAGCCTCAAGTCTTGTAATATCCCATCGTAACTTTAGGTTTAGTTCCCAGGCTTCTGTCTGTTTACATATTTAATCAGCGATTTCCGCCACAATTACACTTAGTGTAACACTCTGGGTTCCCACAAGTCGGCCATTTCCGGCAATACTTTCCTCAGAGTACTATATAGTACACACACGACTGCCAGCCCAAATATGTGGGCCATATTTCTTGCGGGCCAATTGCCCAATAAACAAACACACTTGGCTCGAGGGCAATTAAAAGTGAAAATAGAAGAGGCCCCGAAAATAATAATACAAGTTGGTTAGAGTGAAGAGGCGCCACAGTCGCCCCTTTCTGCGGCATTCCGCCCTCCCCCAAAGGAGGGGGTGACATAACATTTAGTGTCAGTTGCCCTCCGCGGCCCCTTTCTATTGTTTTTGATTTTTCAATGCCTGCCTAGCTTTATCTTTCTGCTGTGTCATTCGAATCTGTATCTTTGTATCTGGCTATCTTTATACTTGTGTATCTGTGAGTGTGCTTTTTGTGGCCGAAAATGAACTTCATTAAACGACAAATGCAAGAAACGAAGTCATAGGTATGTAGTAATGCCAACAAGTGCTTCGAGTACTTGCAACTCTGGTAGTAGCGATGGCAGCGTGAATCCTTGAAAAAGAGGTTTGAACCATATTTGTTCATATAACCCATAAGAGGGTCTATATCTCCAATGACTATTATTGAATTTTCTACAAAATACTTGAAAACCAGGCTTTATTTTTAGAGTTTCCTTAAAAATCCTGCATTTTTCATATACTACCTCTAATATTGTCTTTCTCAAAACAGCTTATATCTTTCATAATTCTTATTCAATTCTCAAGAAAAAGGTCTCAAAATGTAGATAAGATCGAACACTTTAACAAAAACTCACGCGTGACTTACGACCTACCTACCAACCTCACGCCCATCTCTAGTATCTTTGTATCTCGACTCGTGTATCTAACCGCAGTCGAGCATGGCCGACGTGCTTGACGCCAAAAACGCGGCCTGTACGTGTATGGGTAGTATGTAGGTTACCACGCACGCTGAGGGGCTGTAAAGAAAGGAGGCGTGGCTGGTGGAAGAGGGCTGGGGGGGGGGGGGGGGGGAGGGGCAAAACAGTGGGCAATTGGTAGCCAACAACTGACAACTGACACATCCAGCAGCCAACAAATGGCCACCGTAGCCACGCTCATCTCTCATCTAATCACTTTCCTAAACGCCTCAAATGGCTTGGCTTCTTGTTTTCTTTTTTAATGTTTTTTGTTTTTTTTTTTTTTTGTATTGTTTTTGGGAATTTCCGAAAGCGTCATGCCCACTTCCGAAACACTTATCCCCTTCCATTCCCAGGCATGCCATCCACTAACCCACAAAACCATTATCTGAGCAAGTATCGCGGGCGATTTCGTTTAATTGGATTCCATTTTGTTCGGTTTTTGGTCAAGTGCATGGCGAGAAGAGAGTCGCTTATTACGTCCACTCCTCTTGGCTAATTGAATTAAATAAAAAATGCCCGAAGAAGTGATAAAAAATAGGAGTGTTGCAAGTAATTACTTAGATGCAAGCCTGGTATTTTTTCATTTGCAAGATGGCTAGGAAAATGGCTTAAATTCCTGAAAAGGATAATAGTGAATATTAGCTTTCAATGATAAATGGGTTTAGTTAATTATAATTATAAGCATACTAGTTATTTTAGCCTTTTTTTAGAGGGAACTTGCTTACAAATTTTGTTCTATTTGGAAGATATGTGTAAGATATCCTAGCAGGGTTTATAAGAAATATTATAAACATATATGAATAAGATGTCATATAAGCTAGAATTTTACTTTTTTAATTGGGAATCATTATATCCTTATATTCCCTCTAATTCCACTACTTTAAACCTTTAAACTTGCTTATAAAAGATGCATTTTTAGGATGTCCAATCCTGACCCTATTGTATTTCCTATAAAATCTCCTTATTAAAGCCTTTAAACTTGATTTAAAAAAAAAAACCCCTAATTTCCTCTCCGATTATACGATTATTTAACAAACAACAGGCCACCTCCTCCAGGTGCGTGGAGCCAACTTGGCCAACAATTAATTGCGATTAGTCTTTGGTATGCACTGCCAGGCCATTAGATGATCGCCCAAAAATGTTCAAACAAAACCGAAAAGCTGGCACGCTTCGTGGCGTCTACAGAAAACAAAAAATTAAATATATGTACATATATTTCGATCATGGGGGGGCATGGATAATGAATAAGTCGAGTCCCCGGCCGTGCAATTTATTTACAAATATATTTAAAAATAAAAATAAAAGCAAAACCCCCCCAAAAAAAAAAAACACAAGATAAGGCAAAAAGTGAAAGCTGTCAATCAAAAATGAAACGAACCGAATTGCTGGTCAGTGGTCAACAAGTGTTAACCAGGCCGGGCATCGAAGTATCTCAGAGATACGAAATACAATTTGCCATTCAATGCTGATGGGGCAGTTTTTGGAGCCAATATTACACGAAATTAAGTGAAATTCACACCCAAAAATTAAGTTTTTAAGTTATTAATAGTGATTTCCCTTGTTTTTGTTTTTTAAATAGTTAAAAAATAAATCAAAAGTTTCCCTTTTAAAACCACTAGAAGATACTAACAATTAATTGCACAGAGACTTGCACAGCGGCTGTTGGCCAAACCAAGTCAGGGCCAGATAAATGGCCAAAAACTTTTCACCAAAATTATAATACAATTTATAATACAATATACCTGCAAGGGTATAAACAGCTTATGGATAAAGGGTAATAGTTGTTGGTATCAAAAGAGTAACTTGTTTGACCTTTATTCACCGTATTCTTGATTAAAAATTAACAATTGCAATTTAAGCTGGCGATGATTCGCTTTCGTTGAATGTGGAGGCTGCACGACGAGTTCTGGACCTGTTCTTCCGATAAAAGGGAGCATCGAACCCGTGCCAGTTCACATACTCGTCGCAGCTATCCTTTAGATGTTTGATGATCGGTATAAATCGGACGCGAAGAGCAGTATGAGATAACAATAACGCTTTTTTCTAAAATAAAGAAATATATAAAAATTAAGTATGAGTTTTTGAGGGAAAAACGTACATGATTGGCGTCTACAACTGATCCTCGGAGCTTGTGAAGGTTGGTGTTGTCCTCCTCCAGGTTACTCTCCATATCTTTCACTATTTCGGTGCCGTTCTCAATCGTTTGCGTTAAGAAACGCTTAACAATCTCTTTTCGCTCCTCGTAGGTTTGCGGTTGCTTCCAATTAAATATTTTGGTGACGACGGTGAAAATGGCGGTTAAATGGCGGTCCAGTGAAGAACTTTTTTCGGCATAGAAGCCCCATGGACCCAAATCGTCGTGGACATAGTTTAAAATATTATAAAACGCATTATTGAGCTCTCCCATTCTGTTTCGGAAATGGTTTTGACATTCCAAAGATTTTCCGGTTTCTGTGAGGCCCAATTCCAGAGTAGACACGGTCAGGTGCCTGATTATATTCCTATTCGTTTCCGACAAGTTGCTGTCGCCAATTTTATCGATGATGATATCAAAAATGCCGTTGAGGGATTGGCACCAGTCGAAGACTGGACCCACACAGTTCTTGTAGCTGAGACGGGCGTCATAGTTCAAAGAGCGAATCATTGGCAGCTTGTCCTTGGCTTTGCCGTCGTATCCCAGCATGACGTTACCAATCTCGTCGATGGCCTCCTGCAGCTCCACAAACTTCACCTTCCTGTCGAACTCGGTTTGATATTTCACCAGGACGTTCGACAAACTTGCTATGCCTTTTATGAAATTAATCTCGGTCTTATCGCACCTGGCAAAGAAAGGACAAAAGGCGCAAAATGCAAGTGCCGTTACCAAAACGACGGCAGAAGGATCCTTTCCCATAACTGATCAAGAAGGATTAATCCACTGGCGAGGAGCTGACTGGTGCTTCCCTGACGAGAGAAGATCCGCTATTCTTTTCGAAATGTACGATTTTCGGTCTTATATATACCCAAAAAGTAAATACACTAAAGAACACTTAACACTAATTCGGTTCTTGGGAACTGTTAATAATTCCTAAATCAAGAGATGTATCGTAGTTGCAAATAAAAGACTCAGATTTCGCGGAAGCTAATAGGCATTAATGAAGAAGTTCTTTAATATTCAATTTAGACATTCTCCTTATCTTTGAGGGAGGCGGAATCGGGGCCGGACCGTTGATCTGCCGGACCGCTTGTGTGGATTTGCCTCCGGAGGCTATACAACTACTTATTAACATTCCGAGCTTAATGCGGCAATGTGATAGCTGCGTCATTGGAAATGATTCGCATTCCAAAATTGATGAGCTGAATCATAAGGTTCTGGATCTGGAATCCCTTTTCGAAAGCCTAATGCCAAAGTGGATCATGCCCTGGTAAATGGAGCGGCTGGACCCGTGGGCCCGAGGTCTCTTCGGCTGGGGTCCATGCTGTTGCTCCCCCTTTTATGCCTACCATTTTTATTACCATAACATTTCCCTACAGTCTTCATTGATGACTTTTGGCCTATGTCGGTAAAAGTCAGCCGGTTTGTGCATGGAGAGCATGTTTTTTCAAAATTACCTTTGCGGTGGACACGACTATTATTCCGATCAACACCAAATTTTGACCACTTATTTATTATGATATTAGCTAGTCCGTGAATGAAGGGTTTTTTAATTTTTTTGAAAACTCCTTTTTAAAGCATAAAAATCGAAAATCTTCTACCTTGAAAAAGTACATTTTCTGTTAAAACCGTCGCCATTTTTTTTTTTATCAAAATTTTTACAAATCCCTCGTTCACGGACTAGACAATACAATATACTAACTAAATTTTTTTGAATTTTGGATTTCCGATGAACCGTTTTCGGGATATCATGTCCACCGCAAGATATCATCGAAAAAAGGCGATCCGGGAATTCGGCTATAACATTTTTATTATGTAATATTTTTTTATGAAAAAATTTAATTAAGTACCCAGAAACATGTACTAAACAACGTCGGTAAAACATTTTCAATAAAAATTTTTTTGTGCGGTACAACTGTATATAACCCCTTAAGAACTTTTATTCTAACTTGCCAAGGCTTTAAAACTGTACTACAGTTTGGGAGTGATTGTAAAATTGTTTAGCTTAGACACCCACCACTAGAGGGCTAGTTTTACATTTTGTGTAAAAAACTTTGTTTCTTTTTAAAAAAAATATGTTATTTATGAATTAAAAATTAAACAAAATTTTAAACTTTATGCATGTTTATTCGTTAAACACTTTCAAAAAAAAATTTGACCAAAAAAACCTACTTGCTAAGTGATAATCGTGTAATATCGCAAACTTTAGATTCAAAGCTCGGTGTGCTTGGCGCCAAGATAGTCCTCCTTGATCATATCGGCGCCCTTCTCGCCGATCATGATGCAGGCGGCGTTCGTGTTGGCGCCCACGATGTCCGGCATGATGCTGGCATCGATCACGCGAAGACCCTTGGCTCCATGGACCCGGAGGCGGGCGTCCACCACGGCGGTGGGGTCGTTCTTGGGACCCATCTTGGTGGTGCCCACCGGGTGGTAGACCGTGGTGGTCATGTGGCGGATGTAGCAGCGCCAGTAGTCGTCCGACTGGTACTCCAGGCCGTTGCAGGCCTCCAGGTCGACCTTGTGGAGGGCCGCCTCCCGCTGGCTGAAGGCCTTGGTCTTGGGCAGGTTCTTGTAGATGTTCAGGGCCCGGATGTAGGTGTCCACGTCCCGCTGGTCGGTCATGTAGCCGGGGTCGATGAGGGGCGACTCCAGGTAGTCACTGGACTGGAGTGTCAGCTGTCCGGCGGAGAAGGGCTTCAGGTGGAGCAGGTAGGTGATGTAGGTGTTGGAGTTCTGGTTGGCGGACAGGATGCTCTTGGCCACACGGTCGTTGAAGCCTGTGGCGGCCACATAGCCCTTCAGCTCGGGGCTCTGCATCAGGCTGAAGAAGTTGGTGGTCTGGATGTCGGGGTTGGGGCCCTCGATGGTGGTCGTGTTGATGAAACCGGTCAGGGCGGTGGCCTCGTGGTGGAGCAGCTTGCTGTAGCGGCCCATCAGCAGGTTGAACATGGCGTCCACCAGCTCCTCCTCGGTGGGCACACGGGCGGTGGACTTGTCGATCTGGAAGATGACGGGCAGGCTGGCATGATCCTTGAGGTTCTTTCCCACGGGCAGGTCCAGTTTCAGGGGGATACCCAGGCTCTTCAGGTGGTCAGCGGGTCCAACACCTGAAAAGTGGTATGTTTTTAGGGAACTATGTTTTTAAAAAAAACCTGTTCTTATATATTTTCTAGAACCTGTCTTTATGGAGTCAATAGGTAATCTTGGGGAAAAACTAGTTCCTCTCCAGTGATCTGTATGAGCTTTGGGTTCTATGATTTCTTGAATATAATACTGCATAACCCATTACCTATTATTATACTAATATATCTTTTATATTTCCATTTTCAGGTTCGTATGTGGTTTATACTAGAAGCTAAGAGCCATCTTCTGCCAAGTCATGCCTAGACAGGTAAAAATACTGTGCCCCTTTACCAAAAAGAAAATATTCCATCATAAAGTCGATGATATATTTTACAATCCCACACGATTGGTGTGACACCGAGGCACTTGACCTTGCTCATGACCTTGTGGGAGCACCTATCGACACTGGATTGTAGGATTGCCAGATTGCCGGAGGGAATCCCCTTGAGCTACCCATCTGATATCTTGATTCCGGCTATCTAATCGCTACTAACTGGCCGCAGCTGCCAATCCCCTACTTTATCACTAGAGCTCCCTGGCTTTATGCCTTTCTGGATGCAGAATATGGCCATAATCTTGGGCAAACTAACTTGGGCCCAAAGCCATCTGAGATTTGAGATTAATGCCACTGCATTGTGGACACAAGTACAAGGGCCAAGTATAAAGGCTCTCTGGAGGACTTCTCCGACACTCACCCGACAGCATCAGGATCTGGGGCGAGCCAATGGCTCCTGCCGACAGGACCACCTCCTTTCTGGCCTTCACCGTGTACTCCTTCTGGCCGCGATGCACGAAAGTCACGCTCTCGGCCCTGTTCTGGGCGTCCAGGTTGATCTTCTTGACGTGGGCGTGGCGCAGGATGTGCAGGTTGGGCGTGTCCTTGCGCAGGTGGGAGCGGGCGGTGGTGATGCGGCGACCGCCGTCCTGGGTGCCCAGGATGTCCATCTGGCCGACAAAGGAGCCCTCCGTGAAGTCGGGGGCACTGCCATAGCCCATCTCCTGCATTCCGGCGCGGATCGTCGACCGGAACTCGTTGTCCGAGACGTAGTTGTTGAGGCCCATGGGTCCGCCAACACCGTGGTCGCCGGGCTTGTAGTCCGGCCGGGTGGAGCGCAGGTCCTCCGCCTTGCGGAAGTGCTCGAGCACCTCGTCGTAGCCCCAGCCGGGGTTGCCGCGCCGCTCCCAGTCATCAAAGTCCTCACGGGTGCCGCGGGCGTAGATCATTGCGTTCATGCCGTTGGTGCCGCCCAGCATCTTGCCCCGCGGCCAGTGGCAGCTCTCGCCCAGCATCGCCATGCAGGCCCGACCGTTCGGCTCCGTGTGGTACTGCCAGTCCCACTCGGAGAACTGGGTCGCCATGTGCCAGGCCACGAACTCCGTCTCGATGGGGGGATCGCCTCCTGCCTCCAGGAGCAGCACCTTCCAGTTCGCTTCCTCCGCCAGTCGTCCCGCCACCACTGATCCCGAGCTTCCCGATCCAATCACTATGAAGTCGTAGTCGTCTGTGAAGCCCCCCGACTTCTCCAGCCAGTCGCCCTGGTCCGCCGGCCACTGCTGCTGGCCGCTCAGCTCACAGTACTTGGTTATCAGGGTGGTCAGCAGCAAGGACATCAGCGTGTTGGCAGGTCCTGCCGAACGGGCGGCGCACTGGGCACTCAGGAACTCCATTATAGTGGATTCCTCTTGGAGTTTCTCGCAAAAGATTCCTCAAGATCTGGAAAATAGACAAAGAATTAATGTTTTTGCAAGCTAAATAATTTTTAAAGTTTAATATTTGTCCTAAAAGAATAATTCTTTAAATAACATCGCCCCTCTCCTCGCTTTTCTTCTTAAAGAAGGTCTTTAAAACTAAAAGGTCCTTAAGCATAGCCTTAAAAAATAATTTCAAATGAAAAAATATCCAAAAACTTTCCAAATTGTTCCTCTAATTTAGAAAAAGACTAATAATTATTAGAAAAATCTAATGATTTAATAAAATGATTTAAATGATTTAATTTTCAAGAAATTGAAATTCTACGCTTCTTACAAAAAATAGCACCTTTCTCCTCGCTTCTCATAAGGTTTACTTAACCAACAAAATAAAATTAAATGAAAGAATATCTAAAATCTTCTATCTAAAATACTCATAATTCTCAAGAATTATAACAGACTACCACTTTTCACACTTCACATATGGGTTTAGTTATTAAGAAATATAAAAACCGAGAAACTTTAAGAAATTGAAACCCTTTAAAGTTTAAAAAAGTATCAGTTCAAAAGACAAGGCCTTTCCTCCTCGCTTCTCATAAGTTTACAATTATTAAAATTTAATACTTCAAAGTAGCCTAAAAACAGGACTCTTTTCCTCGCTTCAGTTAATAAATAATCTTAAGACTCAAAAATACTTAAAATGTTAAAATTTTAAGGCCTTTCTCCTAGATTCTTTTTGAGTTTCTTGAAACAACTAAGATCCTATGAAATAATAAAAAAAATATTTAAACATCAACGACCTTCTCATTGGGAGTTCCTAAGCCATAAAGTTTATTCAAGTTCACGGCACTTCCTAAGGCTTTCTAAAACTACTTCACAAATATATAATATTTAAATATTTTTATTTAAAGAATCTTTATGCTTATCCATATATTAAACCAATCTGTTGAACTTGAGTCATAATTTAATTTCAAAACACAACACTATTTACTTTTAAAATTCTAAACATTAAACCACTATCTATGGCTGAAGGCGGCTACAGTATAATACGAATAGGATAATAGTAGGCTGTGTAATATATTCAAAATTACCCTAAAAATATCGATAGCAGTAGAAAGCCAATGCTTAAACGTCAGGGCATTGAAGCGTTGACCTTTTCACTGAATTCAGTTCAATTTATAAAAATCTGCTAAAATCTGAGTAAGTTGAAAAAATCGACCAAAACCAAGACGTATCTGAAGCTCTGCTTGAAACCATTAGAAGCATCATAATCAAGACTTTTTCGAGGATCTAAAGCTGTGTGGTGGATCGAAATGGAACGCTTCCGCAAAGCTATTGATTTTATAAAGCACAACCGTTTTGAAATTCTCAATTTTACGTGTTGCACTATATTAATGATCGCAGCCGGAGTAGTATCATTAGACGACTATTTGGCGGCTGGGATTACAGGACTATTCCGCCTGCAACTACAAAACAAGTTGAAATGGAATTACCTCGCCGCCGCTGGTAGCTACACAATTTTTTTGGCGCTGGTCTTAGCAAGTATTTTGGTACAGCACCGCTTCCGACATCGCTTTTATAGAGTAGCTTAGAGTGGTCAGGTGGTACCGAACTCCAGCCTTATTTTGGAATTCAAAACACTCTCGGACTCGGACAATAGGACACCAACAAATGAGAAGAAACTTTGGAAAACGAGCCGAAAATTATAAATTTGCATCCTGTTAAGATTCCCGTTAAGATTCATTTCTGTATCCTGAAAACCTCTGTATGTCCTTTGGCAAAAATACATAGTTACCCTCTATTAGTCCTCTAGTAATCCTCTGGTAATCCTTTGGTAATCCTTGGCCGCAGACACGTTCGTCGGGTCTCTCCGCTCGACGGCAACTGAACTCGACAGCCGGTGTTCACCCGGAATTTGTACGGAATTCACCGAATGGGTGTTTTGTTTCTATTTTTCTATCTTTTTTTTTCGTATTCCAGCGGCGTCCGTAAATCAAGCTAGCTTGGAGGCGATTTGCATTTGGCGTGGCTCTTGTTTTTGCCTTCAAAGTAGTCGCGTTCTAGTCGCTCTTCTGGCACACCACACTCACATAAATTAGACGCACCTTCCATGCCAGTTGGCACTCCCCCTTATCACTCGGCTAGATTACGGGTGTAGGGTGTACGGCGTATACGGCGTATAAGGCATACAGGGAGAGGTGTGATAAACCCGACAACGGATCACTATTTAGTGGGGTCTTTGAAAAGTCGCCTCTCGCCTCTGCACTTGCTGCTGCTGGGAGGCTTATCTTTATGCTCGTGTTTTGGGTGGCACTTCCAGTTTTTAGTTTTTTTTTTTTCCTCCATTTCCAGTTCCAGCTGATAAGACCAGGTTTCTGGGATCTCATTGGGGCCCTCTATAGGTGTACTACAGGTATACATGGGTGTTTGTGTACTAAAGTGTTTTATTTATTTGGCAAACCAGTTTTTTGATAGCTTTGGTAAACATCTCTATTGTTGGCTTGGTGGGAGAATGTTGGCCAGCAAACAGGTGTTTTTTGTCGATAGATATAAGCACTGATTCGGGAAACTAATATAGATCTATGGGTTATCTAGCTTAGTGAATATTTTTCATAAATATTTGTTCAGGAGGACAAAGTTCTTTAAGAAAATATGCCTTGGTTTGTGTTTTTTATTAAATAGTTCCATGAAGATTCTTATTTTCCACAAAAAAAAAACCTTAAATCTTAATTCCTTAGATACTATTTATTTACAAAATAAAAGCCGTGGCTCTCTGCTTAACTTTTCTTATCAAAAAATCCAAAAAAAAAAAAAGCGGGTTATTAGCCCATAATCATAACACTTCCATAACAAATGTCCCCTATCCTGCAATTAAGAGCAATTGCATATCGTTATCGGGCCTATCGTTGATTTATGAAAGACCCTCCAGTGGTGGATCAATCGACGTCTTGCTGACAAGTCTCCGGAGTGCCGAGGTGTGACTGGAATTCCCAAGCGGGATTCTCGTCGACGTGCCAGTCCTCGCGAATGAACTGCGCCGCCCGCTCTCCGATCATCACGGTGGCGGCGTTCGTGTTGGCGCTGACTACCGCCGGCATGATGCTGGCATCCGCCACCCGGAGGTTCTCCAATCCATACACCCTCAGTCGGGGATCCACGCAGGCCTCGTGGTCCTTCGAAGGACCCATTTTCACGGAACCCGACTGGTGGTAGCACGTAATGCTGAAGTACTTGGCGTAGCACTTCCAGTAGTCGTCGCTGCGATACGGCAGGACATCGCACTCCTCGATGGCCACATGGGCTATGTCGGCCAGGTGGTTTTGGAAGGAGCTAGTCTGCACCAGGGTCTCTAGATATCTAATCCCTCGGAGCAGGGTCTCCACGTCCTGCGCTTCTGTCAGATAGTTGCTGATCAGAATGGGCTTCTCTCCCACCTCCGTGCTCCTCAAACGCACCTCGCCCCTGGCCAGGGGATGCGAGAGCAGCACGAAGACGCACAGCAAGTGCGAGTCCTTCAGGTAGTCCTGCAACTGCTCTATGTACTGGTCCTGGAAGGACAGGCCCTGCGTGAAAATGTTCAGCATGTCGTGCCGTCCGCGGCGGAAGAACAAGTGATGGAACTCCGTGTCCGGATAGGGACTCTGGTTGCTCGTGTTCGTGTTGACAAAGGCCACCAGAGAGGTCGGCCCGTGGGTGGCCAAAGGACCGCGCCGATGCATCAGGTATTGGTAGATGTCGTCCAGCATGTCCTGCTCCTTGGGCAAGGGAGCCTGTCCCTCGTCGAGTCGCAGGAAAACGGGAATCACCACGTGATCTTGCAGGTTCTTCCCGACGCCTGGTAGATCCAGTTGCAGCGGGATGCTCAGGTCCTGGAGGTCCTGCGCAGGACCTATGCCAGACCGAAGGAGCAGAGCTGGCGAATCGATGGCTCCTGCGGAGAGGATGGCTTCCTTTTTAACGAACACCCTCTCCTCGCGTCCTCTTCTCACAAAATCCACTGAAACCACGCGGTCTCCTTGGACGTTGATCCTGGTGACCTGGGCGTTCTTAAGGACATGCAGATTAGGACGACTGGCGGATACTGCTCCCAAGTAGCCCTTGGCCGTGCTCATCCTGTGGCCATCTCGAATGGTGCCCGGCACGTCGGAATATCCCGTCTCGCTGCCCTCCTGAAAGGACTTGACATACGGAAGTCCCAGCTCCCCGGCTCCGGCCAGGATCAACTGGTGTATGTCCTCGTCCTGGCGCTCGAACGGGTTCAGGCTGACGTAGCCCCTCGGGTGACTGGCATTTCCCTGCGGGGTCACCGACTTCTCGAAGAAGGGCAGGACCTCGTCGTAGCTCCACCCCGTATTCCCCAAGGCCGCCCACCCATCAAAGTCCTGGCGGTTTCCTCGCACGTACAGCATGGCGTTCGCGGCCCCCGATCCGCCCAGCATCCTGCCTCGCGGCCAGTAGCAGCGCTCGTCCTTCATGCCCCGGCAGGAGGCGTCGCTCCGCTCCACAAAGTAGTTCCACACAAAATCCGTATGTTGCAGTCCAAAAAACAGCGATGGGAGCTGGGAAGAAAGTATTACAAAATTATAATTAATTCCATATACTTTTCATTCCAAAAGTTTGGGTTGTGATCTTTGACTAAAACATGTTGTACTCTTTTCAGCGCTGAAAGCTTATTTCACAAAAAGAGCTTTCATTATGCTTTGGAGGTCTTGTTTTTGGGGAATAAGGGGGTTAACGTTACTTCAAATATCGGGAGAATGCATGGAAGCCCAATATGTGCCCCAGCGATGGCTATATCTCGGCCAGTTTTTATCCGATCCTTGAGCGGGATACCTTAAACGATTTCTAGACCGATTCTCTATCAATCTGCATCAAAATCTAGCAGCGAAATATTTTTTAGATTTTTTGTCAAATTTTCTGAGGGATCCCCTTCAAATATCGGGAAAATGCATGGAGGCCCAATATGGGCCCCAGCGATGGCTATATCTCGGCCTGTTTTTATCCGATTCTTGAGCGGGATACCTTAAACGATTTCTAGACCGATTCTCTATCAATCTGCATCAAAATCTAGCAACAAAATATTTTTTAGATTTTTTGTCAAATTTTCTGAGAGATCTCCTTCAAATATCGGGAAAATGCATGGAAGCCCAATATGGGCCCCAGCGATGGCTATATCTCGGCCAGTTTTTATCCGATTCTTGAGCGGGACACCTTAAACGATTTCTAGACCGATTCTCTATCAATCTGCATGAAAATCTAGCAACAAAATATTTTTTAGATTTTTTGTCAAATTTTCTGAGGGATTTCCTTCAAATATCGGGAAAATGCATGGAAGCCCAATATGGGCCCCAGCGATGGCTGTATCTCGGCCAGTTTTTATCCGATTCTGGAGCGGAATACCTTAAACGATTTCTAGACCGATTCTCTATTAATCTGCATCAAAATCTAGCAGCGAAATGTTTTTTAGATTTTTTGTCAAATTTTCTGAGGGATCCCCTTCAAATATCGGGAAAATGCATGGAAGCCCAATATGGGCCCCAGCGATGGCTATATCTCGGCCAATTTTAATCCGATTCTTGAGCGGGATACCTTAACCGATTTCTAGACCGATTCTCTATTAATCTGCATCAAAATCTAGCAGCGAAATGTTTTTTAGATTTTTTGTCAAATTTTCTGAGGGATCCCCTTCAAATATGGGGAAAATGCATGGAAGCCCAATATGGGCCCCAGCGATGGCTATATCTCGGCCAATTTTAATCCGATTCTTGAGCGGGATACCTTAAACGATTTCTAGACCGATTCTCTATTAATCTGCATCAAAATCTAGCAGCGAAATATTTTTTCGATTTTTTGTCAAATTTTTTGAGGGATCCCCTTCAAATATCAGGAAAATGCATGGAAGCCCAATATGGGCCCCAGCGATGGCTGTATCTCGGCCAGTTTTTATCCGATTCTGGAGCGGAATACCTTAAACGATTTCTAGACCGATTCTCTATTAATCTGCATCAAAATCTAGCAGCGAAATGTTTTTTAGATTTTTTGTCAAATTTTCTGAGGGATCTCCTTCAAATATCGGGAAAATGCATGGAAGCCCAATATGGGCCCCAGCGATGGCTATATCTCGGCCAATTTTAATCCGATTCTTGAGCGGGATACCTTAACCGATTTCTAGACCGATTCTCTATTAATCTGCATCAAAATCTAGCAGCGAAACGTTTTTTAGATTTTTTGTCAAATTTTCTGAGGGATCCCCTTCAAATATCGGGAAAATGCATGGAAGCCCAATATGGGCCCCAGCGATGGCTATATCTCGGCCAATTTTAATCCGATTCTTGAGCGGGATACCTTAAACGATTTCTAGACCGATTCTCTATTAATCTGCATCAAAATCTAGCAGCGAAATGTTTTTTAGATTTTTTGTCAAATTTTCTGAGGGATCCCCTTCAAATATCGGGAAAATGCATGGAAGCCCAATATGGGCCCCAGCGATGGCTATATCTCGGCCAATTTTAATCCGATTCTTGAGCGGGATACCTTAAACGATTTCTAGACCGATTCTCTATTAATCTGCATCAAAATCTAGCAGCGAAATGTTTTTTAGATTTTTTGTCAAATTTTCTGAGGGATCCCCTTCAAATATCGGGAAAATGCATGGAAGCCCAATATGGGCCCCAGCGATGGCTATATCTCGGCCAATTTTAATCCGATTCTTGAGCGGGATACCTTAAACGATTTCTAGACCGATTCTCTATTAATCTGCATCAAAATCTAGCAGCGAAATATTTTTTCGATTTTTTGTCAAATTTTCTGAGGGATCTCCTGCAAATATCGGGAAAATGCATGGAAGCCCAATATGAGCCCCAGCGATGGCTATATCTCGGCCAGTTTTTATCCGATTCTTGAGCGGGATACCTTAAACGATTTCTAGACCGATTCTCTATCAATCTGCATCAAAATCTAGCAACAAAATATTTTTTAGATTTTTTGTCAAATTTTCTGAGAGATCTCCTTCAAATATCAGGAAAATGCATGGAAGCCCAATATGGGCCCCAGCGATGGCTGTATCTCGGCCAGTTTTTATCCGATTCTGGAGCGGAATACCTTAAACGATTTCTAGACCGATTCTCTATTAATCTGCATCAAAATCTAGCAGCGAAATGTTTTTTAGATTTTTGTCAAATTTTCTGAGGGATCCCCTTCAAATATCGGGAAAATGCATGGAAGCCCAATATGGGCCCCAGCGATGGCTATATCTCGGCCAATTTTAATCCGATTCTTGAGCGGGATACCTTAACCGATTTCTAGACCGATTCTCTATTAATCTGCATCAAAATCTAGCAGCGAAATGTTTTTTAGATTTTTGTCAAATTTTCTGAGGGATCCCCTTCAAATATCGGGAAAATGCATGGAAGCCCAATATGGGCCCCAGCGATGGCTATATCTCGGCCAATTTTAATCCGATTCTTGAGCGGGATACCTTAACCGATTTCTAGACCGATTCTCTATTAATCTGCATCAAAATCTAGCAGCGAAATGTTTTTTAGATTTTTTGTCAAATTTTCTGAGGGATCTCCTGCAAATATCGGGAAAATGCATGGAAGCCCAATATGAGCCCCAGCGATGGCTATATCTCGGCCAGTTTTTATCCGATTCTTGAGCGGGATACCTTAAACGATTTCTAGACCGATTCTCTATCAATCTGCATCAAAATCTAGCAACAAAATATTTTTTAGATTTTTTGTCAAATTTTCTGAGAGATCTCCTTCAAATATCGGGAAAATGCATGGAAGCCCAATATGGGCCCCAGCGATGGCTATATCTCGGCCAGTTTTTATCCGATTCTTGAGCGGGATACCTTAAACGATTTCTAGACCGATTCTCTATCAATCTGCATCAAAATCTAGCAACAAAATATTTTTTAGATTTTTTGTCAAATTTTCTGAGGGATCTCCTGCAAATATCGGGAAAATGCATGGAAGCCCAATATGGGCCCCAGCAATGGCTATATCTCGACCAGTTTTTATCCGATTCTTGAGCGGGATACCTTAAACGATTTCTAGACCGATTCTCTATCAATCTGCATCAAAATCTAGCAACAAAATATTTTTTAGATTTTTTGTCAAATTTTCTGAGAGATCTCCTGCAAATATCGGGAAAATGCATGGAAGCCCAATATGGGCCCCAGCAATGGCTATATCTCGGCCAGTTTTTATCCGATTCTTGAGCGGGATACCTTAAACGATTTCTAGACCGATTCTCTATCAATCTGCATCAAAATCTAGCAACAAAATATTTTTTAGATTTTTTGTCAAATTTTCTGAGGGATCTCCTGCAAATATCGGGAAAATGCATGGAAGCCCAATATGGGCCCCAGCGATGGCTATATCTCGGCCAGTTTTTATCCGATTCTTGAGCGGGATACCTTAAACGATTTCTAGACCGATTCTCTATCAATCTGCATCAAAATCTAGCAACAAAATATTTTTTAGATTTTTTGTCAAATTTTCTGAGGGATCTCCTGCAAATATCGGGAAAATGCATGGAAGCCCAATATGGGCCCCAGCGATGGCTATATCTCGGCCAGTTTTTATCCGATTCTTGAGCGGGATACCTTAAACGATTTCTAGACCGATTCTCTATCAATCTGCATCAAAATCTAGCAACAAAATATTTTTTAGATTTTTTGTCAAATTTTCTGAGGGATCTCCTGCAAATATCGGGAAAATGCATGGAAGCCCAATATGGGTCCCAGCAATGGCTATATCTCGGCCTGTTTTTATCCGATTCTTGAGCGGGACACCTTAAACGATTTCTAGACCGATTCTCTATCAATCTGCATGAAAATCTAGCAACAAAATATTTTTTAGATTTTTTGTCAAATTTTCTGAGGGATCTCCTGCAAATATCGGGAAAATGCATGGAAGCCCAATATGAGCCCCAGCGATGGCTATATCTCGGCCAGTTTTTATCCGATTCTTGAGCGGGATACCTTAAACGATTTCTAGACCGATTCTCTATCAATCTGCATCAAAATCTAGCAACAAAATATTTTTTAGATTTTTTGTCAAATTTTCTGAGGGATCTCCTGCAAATATCGGGAAAATGCATGGAAGCCCAATATGGGCCCCAGCAATGGCTATATCTCGACCAGTTTTTATCCGATTCTTGAGCGGGATACCTTAAACGATTTCTAGACCGATTCTCTATCAATCTGCATCAAAATCTAGCAACAAAATATTTTTTAGATTTTTTGTCAAATTTTCTGAGAGATCTCCTGCAAATATCGGGAAAATGCATGGAAGCCCAATATGGGCCCCAGCAATGGCTATATCTCGGCCAGTTTTTATCCGATTCTTGAGCGGGATACCTTAAACGATTTCTAGACCGATTCTCTATCAATCTGCATCAAAATCTAGCAACAAAATATTTTTTAGATTTTTTGTCAAATTTTCTGAGGGATCTCCTGCAAATATCGGGAAAATGCATGGAAGCCCAATATGGGCCCCAGCGATGGCTATATCTCGGCCAGTTTTTATCCGATTCTTGAGCGGGATACCTTAAACGATTTCTAGACCGATTCTCTATCAATCTACATCAAAATCTAGCAGCGAAATATTTTTTAAATCTTTTGTCAAATTTTCTGAGGGATCTCCTTCAAATATCGGGAAAATGCATGGAAGCCCAATATGGGCCCCAGCGCCCACAAGACTTCTTTCTTATTCCTTTCATTAACTTTTTTCATAAACCAATTCGTGTCTCTTCAAGGTTTCAGACATAAAGGCCTTTCTCCTCGATACTTCTCGAGTTTTAGTTTATAAACAACTAAAATCCTACGAAATAATACAAAAATATTTAAACAACAACGCCCTTCTCCTCACTTCTCATTGGGAGTACCTAAGCCATAAAGTTAAATCATCTTAAAACGGCATTTCCTACGGCCTTACTTCTAAAATATCTTTAAGTATATTTATTTTAAGATTCTTTGTCCATATTTTAAACCACTTTCGTACAAAAGCCCAAGAAAATGGGCTTGGTATTTCTTGGTAAGAATTATCACATTATAAGAAGTAAAAATTTTAAGCCTTGTATTAACAGTTTAATTAGTTATCTGCTTAAAATCCCTTAACCATAACCTACCTCGGATTCCACGGGGGGATCTCCGCCAGCCTCCAGGACCAGTACCCGCCAGTGGGGATTCTCGCTGAGCCGGCTGGCCACCACAGAGCCGGCAGATCCCGCTCCAATCACCACCATATCGTAGGGCTGCTCCAGCGGGCCGGAGTAGTCCTCGGGCCAGAGGCTGGGCGGCGAGACCTGGCACTGGGCGGAGAGGAGGGACTGCACCAGCAGGCTGACCATTCCGGCGAACAAGCCCGTGGCCGGAGAGGGGCACTGGGCGCTCCAGTCCGGCGTGGAATTGTGGCAGGCTCCTTCGGCGACGAACGACATCTCGCGGATGCGTATCTGTATCTGGGACTGGAGTGCACTCGGGGCTGGGGATGTGCTTTTATATGGCGATAAGAGACCCGGGCACAGTGCAGCCTCCCCCTGAACGGACGCCCCTGTGCGATTTTTTCGGCATGTGCCGAGGACGTTGACTCACGAATGTGAGCTTGGAGATCACGAATGTGGATCAAACAAATCCAGTTTCAGGGGATGGCCAGTTTTGTGTTTTTATTTTATATTTTTAACAAAAGTTTTATTTTGATTTGTTCAACTGAGTGCTATGGGATTCTAAAATAGATGTTCCCGTGGTTTTAATTTAACTTCCGTTTATTAAAATTAAGTGGAAAACTATCGTGGTTTTTTTTATAAATCTTTTTTTTTTTATTTAAAGGTCGATCTACTTTTATTCAAAAGTTGTTAAACAATTAAGATTTTATCGGAAAATGAGAATGGTGCCAAAACAAGTCACTTTTTTTGGGGCGAGAGAACAGGTTTACTTTTTAGACCAAAAACTAATTCAAGTTTTTTCTATAAAAATCCTAAAACAATTAACATTTTTAAAGCGTTTTTTTTATTTTTTAAAATGTTTTTATATAAAAATTTAAAAAATACAAAGCCTTAGATTCTAAACTAATATTTTGGATCAACAGCAAACGACCTTTTTTTCTAAAAAATATTTTCATAAAAAAAAAAAACACACTTAGCTTATTTATTTAAAATATTTTGTATTACATCACTTGTTTTACTGTACCATGTCCTACAGTGGAACCATAGAGATAATGAAAGCGACCTGATTACAAGCACAGATAAGTCAGAAATCTCCCGATTTTCCGCAATTTATCGCACAATATATTAACACACTGTTGTCACCAGATAAAAACGTGTATCATAAACTCATTTTTAGCACTAATCTAAGGCACAAACAAAAAAAAAACAAGAAAACAAACAATTTAGCTTAACAAAGTAATTAAGAGAGTTGCTTAAAAATGCGCTTAAAAATTAGAGATAATTCGAATCTTTTTTTGGGGGGGGGGCGAGCAAGAATTCACTTTGGCGCCACCTGTCGGTCAGAGCCCGCTGTTCATGGCCGTGCGTATAAACGTAACGGGGGCGGGGGGCACGGCATTGGCAGCGGCGGCGATCAGGTTGCTAACGGGGGTCAGATTTAGACCAGCACTGAGATCTAGGAAAAATGATATATTTTATAAACATTAAACATTTATTTAAGAGTTGAAAATTAATAATTTTAATATTAAAATTTATTAATTTTAAAGCCTCTATGCTCCAACCAAGAGCTTTAAAAACTCACCCGAAGGATCATTAACTGGCAAGGGATTGGCTCCAGTTCCAGTGCCAGTTCCAATACCAGTTCCTGCTCCTTTGGCAGTTCCCGCAACAGGTCCCGCACCAGTTCCAGTTCCACTTCCCGTTAGTAGGTCCTGCGCAAAAAAGAACTGCTGCGGTGTGGCCAGGCTCTGGCTAAGGAGCGCCAGTGTGACCAGTAGCCTTATAATCGCCGGACTATTCGGATGCAGCGTCATCTTGCGTTCAGTGGCGGACGTGAACTGGCCAGCCACCTCGCCCGGCACTCGCATGAAAAGTCTCGAAAAAACCTTTTCCGATTGCCGATATGCGATTTGTGCGATTTAAGCCATGGCCCACTGAATCAAACTGGTCAAACTCGCTAACCGGCCGGGCCGAGCCGAGCTGCCATTTGCCATTTCAGTTCACTAACCGCTCATAAATTACCGTCCGCTGTGGTGAGAGAATTGTTAGACTGTTAAAATACTTCTTAAGGGCGAATGGGTATTGAAAAATGGGTATTTTTCAAAAACAAATAGACTTTAAACCAATAAAGTAATCACTTAAAATAGTGCCATAAAGAAAGAAAGCCTTAAACCCACTTCAAGTGGCTTTTAATCTCTCCAATAAAAAGACAATCGCAAATGTTGATGTTCCTCAATCACCCAACCAGCCGGCCAAGATAACCCGGGGGGAATCATAAAGCAAGACGTTGACCCAGTAAACAAAATAAGAATACAATGTGTCAGAGAGTCATTTACAAACCCAATGAACAACCCAATATACCCCATCCACTAAGCGGTCGAGCTAAAAATTTATAAATAACAGATTGCAAAATTGCTAAAGTTCAGAACCGCTGGGAAATAATATCCAGCTCAGCGCGACTAAATGGAGAAAATCAGAATTGAATTGAAAATGGAAAACTAGACAAGTCCGATTCCGCATAATGATTCCGCAAAAAGGCAAAACAAAAGACCAAACTGAATGCCAAGATCATTACCAAAGCAAATTAGCTGACCTGTGGAATGACAACAATGGAACGGGGCGAGATACATAGTCGGTGTGGTATGCCTCTAAATGGTATGGATACTGGCGGGCAAATATTTTAAATGGTACTTGCTAATCACAGTACTTGATTCCCAGGCACTTGGCTTGATTGGCTCTAAATAGGCCATATGTTGGGCCCTATTAGTCGGGTATGTTAGTTGGGCTTGGGAAAGGACAAGTAACTGAGACAATGGAGAGCCATTAATGCCCAGTACTTGTTGGATTTTCTTTCCATTTATCAAGCTTTGATTTATATAGGTTTAGGGAAAAATAATTAGAAGCTATTAATAACTGATACTTGTTAGATTTAATCTAATTTTAAAGAATTTTAACTTTAATTTTCCTTCAAACATGTAGCTTTAAGAATAGAAAGTGATCCAACTATGGGCATCTGTCTATAGTACCTAGTATTTGTCTATATAACTATAGAATCAGGAAGGAACACAGACAGTAATGCCAGACAGTAAGTAATGCCTATTTACATTACTTTTTCAATTTGATAAAATATTAATGAATAAAAAATATATAGCTTTAGACCAAAGTCTGTAAAGACAGTTATAATACCTAATACTTACCGGATGTTTTCTGGTTTTGAAAAACTCTGGTTATTTTCATAGATGAAAATAAAATATTAGAATTAATAGATAATACTATAAATAGTATTTCTTATTAATAACCCCATATTTGTCTCCTCTTCAGAATAACCCTTTTCGAAAGTTTTTAATGAAAAATATATATATGTATTTCCGAAGAAGAGCTAGAAGTCAATAGCATACAGAAGGCCTAGCTCCAACCACCATTCCTGTAGTGGTGCCAGTCCTGCTTGATGATGTCCGCCCCCCTCTCGGCCAGCATCAGGGTCGGAGCATTGGTGTTTCCGGTGGGGATGGTGGGCATGATGCTGGCATCGATGACACGCAGGTTGCGGATACCGCGCACCCGCAGGCGGGGATCAACGACGCCCGAGGGATCCGAGAGCGGGGCCATCTTGCAGGTGCCCACCGGGTGGTAGATGGTCTGGGAGTAGAACCGCGCCAGGCACTCCCAGAAGGCGTCGCTCAGGTACTCCACCTCCGGGCAGTTGCGCCACTCGTAGATGTTCATGGTGGCGTTGATGGCGCGCATCACCGGGGTCTGGGTCAGGCGGTGGGCCATCTTGAGGCCCTCGACCATCACGGCCATGTCGTGGGGGTCGTCGTAGTAGTTGGCGTGGATGCGGGGGTGGATTTTCGGGTCCTTGGACAGGATCTGGAGGTAGCCGCGCGACCTGGGCCGCATCACCAGCGGAGCGATCACAAACGAGTCCTGGTAGATCATCGGCTCGAAGGTGTCCGCAAAGTTGTCCAGGGTGATGGCCGCGCCACGGCGTCCGATCATGCCGCCGTCGGCGCCGTAGCCGTAGCTGCCCAGGAAGAGCTGGACATCGGGCCAGTCCTGGCGGGGGTCCTGGTAGCGGGTGCTGAAGAAGCCCATCACCTCGCTCACCGGCATGGCGTAGAAGAAGCTGTCCTTGCCCTGCAGGAAGTCCGCCACAGCCTCCTCGTTCAGCATCTCCGGCACGATGAATGACAGGTGGCGGTTCTGGTGCGCATTGAAGGTGTAGATGGCGCCCGAGGTGGATATATGGTCCTGCAGGTTGCCCCCTACGCCGGGCAGGTGCTGCACCACCGGGATGCCCAGCGGCTCCAGCTGCTCCCGGGGGCCCACGCCGCTGACCATCAGGAGCTGGGGGCTGGCAATGGCGCCGGCGGAGAGGATCACCTCCCGCTGCGCCAGAACGCGATGCTTCCCCAAGCCGTACTCGAAGACCACGCCCACGGCCCTCCGGGTGTCCGGCTCGATAAGGATCCGCTCCACGAAGGCCTTGAGGACGATGTCCAGGTTGGGGCGCTGCCAGCTGCGCCGGATGTAGCCCTTGTTGGCGCTGCACCGGAGGCCGTCCCGGAGGGTGCCGTGCGGTGGCGCGAATCCCGTCTGGGAGCGCCCGTTGAAGTCGCCGTCGGGATGGGCGAGGCCCAGCTGGTGCGCGGCCTGCATGAAGATGTTCAGCAGGGGCGAGGGGAACCTGTGGGGGATCTCTCCGTTATACCAGGTCCTTGGACTCTCCAGCCTCCTTACCTGTAGCGCTCCACGGAGATGGGGCCGCCGTGCCCGTGATAGGGATTGTGCTCGAAGCCCGGCACTCGCATGTCCTCCGTCTTCCGGAAGTAGTGCAGGACGTTGGCGTAGTCCCACCCCGGGTTACCCAACTCCGACCAGTGGTCGTAGTCGCGGCGGTTGCCCCGAATGTACATCATGGCGTTGATGGAGCTGCAGCCGCCCAGGACCTTGCCGCGCGGCCAGAAGCAGCGCTGGTCCTCCATCGCCAGGCAGTACCGGTCCGAGGGCTCCGTCGAGTACTTCCAGTCCCAGGGGCTGCGCTGGAACACCGGATACAGCTGGGGCAGGTCGAGGAGCAGCGGCTCGTCGCCGCCCGCCTCCAGCAGCAGGACGCTCCAGGCCGGGTTCTCCGAGAGGCGAGCCGCCAGTACGCAGCCCGCCGAACCTCCGCCAATCACTATGAAGTCATAGGACTCCCGCAGCTTTTCGATGTAGATGGAGCGCACTCGGTGGGCCTCATCCACAATGTCGGGTCGCTCCTCGACGAGTCCCTTGTTCAGCAACAGGATGACCATGGCCGAGGGCCCGAGGGTCAGCAAGAAGCGCCACATGGCCACGAAAGTGTTCATCGCCGTCATCGCGCAGAAGTCAACTGACTCGAATCGTAGAGTCACTTCCACGGGAGCCCTCTCTTTCCGGATTTGCTGAGGCAGCTGCTGCGAAATTCGCTGACCTCTTTCACAGTCCACTCTCCCGTAGCCCTTGGGGCTTCAATTCTTTCTAGAGTGCATTGACCCATATACATATAGGTTCACTCCAAGCCAGAAATTTCTGCAATCCCAGTCGAACATTTGGCCAAAAAAATGAGAATCTTACACAAGGTGTTGGGCGATTACTCAAGAATTTTAAGGGGGGAATAGGGTTCATTTGTTGCAAAATAAATATTATATTATATATAATAATTAATAATAATGTTAATGATAGTCTAGTATATTTTATGTTTATATATAGTATATAGTTTATACCATGAATTGGTTCTTTTAGTTTAAAAGCTATGATTGGACTTCGTTGCAGTTCTATTTATAGTATTTCTTGTTACATTACCTACGAAAACTATAGTTGAATAACGTTTTGTTCGGATTTTTAGCTTATCGTTTCAATATTTTTCTAGTAAAATGTCTAATAACATTTTTCTAATAATATATACAGATTGAAAGACATTAAAAAAAACCCTAATTAGTACCATAATCTTTCTTCATATTTTTTAACAACCAATAAACAACCTTTTCGAGAAATAGTTAAGAATATAATCTTTAATTTGTATGATATATTAAAAAAACGCTTTCCAGAGATACCTGGAAAATAGTTTATTGAGAATTTTGAATTTTGAGAATCAGAAACTGAAAATCTGTCAAATCAGTCGGTATAGCACTTTTTCAGATGAGTACCGACTTCTAAAATTATATCGATGGCGGTGATGATTAAAATATTTAGATAAATATTTGTAATTATTATTAAAGGTAGAAAAGTTTACAAAACTCAACTAACTTTGTGGGTATTTCACTGTTTATATTGTATTGGACTCTGGCTGTTTAAATAAATTAAATTTATTATATTAATTTATAAGGTTATAAACCTTAAAATATTATTGATTTATTTTAAAAGAGATCTGTATAAAGTTCTATAGATATTATAAAAATATAATTCTGCATGAACTCCCCATATAATAATTTCCTATCAACATCTTTAGGAACGTCATTTCAATGTCACTCAAGATAACACTAAACCATTTAATCAACTTCTCTGATATTTTCATTGTATAAATTATTATCTCTATATAGCTTTTTTCTTATTTCTTTAAAGCCCAAACAAAACCATAAACAAAAGGCTTGACCAAAACAAAACAAAAAATAAAAACAAAACCCCCAAAAGTGCTAACAATGCCAAAAATTTGATAAGCGTGTTTACAGAAATTCCAAAAAGAAGAGAGTTTATTAAACGCTAATTGCGAACTTGACACAAAGGCAAATACTTTATTCTTTTAAAACAAAAACAGTATGTAGTCTTAAATTAAAAAAAAACTTAACATTGCTGGAACACTTCATTGTTTTCTTGGCGATCCTCCAGTATCAGTTGGGCGCCCCTCTCGCCGATAATCATGGCGGGTCCGTTGGTGTTCCCGGCTGGCAGTTGCGGCATTATGCTGGCATCCACCACCCTTAGGGCCTTGACCCCCTGAACCCGCAACCTCTCGTCTACCACACCCTTTCCCACCTTTCCCAGGCGGCAAGTGCCCACGGAGTGCCAGGCTCCCACGTAAAAGCTACGGATGTAGCAGAGCCAGAAGTTATCCGAGTCCGGAAGATACTTGTTGCACTCCGGGAGAGGGGGGAGCCACAGGCGGAGGCCGCAGTGCCGGAAGGAGGGAGTCCCTGTCAGGTTTTGGATGAACCTCACAAAATGCAGGAGAACCTGCTGGTCTATGGGGTTCTCCCCGTAATGGTTTTCGATTCTGGGGGAGTCCGAGGGGTTTCTACTTCGGAGCCGAACTCTTCCCCTGGCCAGGGGCTTTAGAAGAGACCCCATGATCTGCAGGAGGTCTGCGCCCTGTAGAATGTCCTTCTGAGCCTGAACCAGTTCGTCCCGAAAGCCGAGATACCCGAAACTGCCAGAGCTGCCCTTCGGCAACAGAGTGTGAGCCACGACATGCAGATCGGGTTCTGCTGTGCGGGATTTGGGCATCCTCGCGTTGATGAACCCCATCATGGAGAAGCCAGTGGCCAGAGGTCCTTGCTGGCTCTCCAAGAGGTACTTGGTCACCGAAACGGGCGCAGTGGGCTGACTCACTCCCACCAGGGTGCTGTTTACTTGGCAGTTGCTGCCGAAAACCAGATACAAGGGCAGCATGCCATGATCCTGGAGGTTAAGGCCCACTGGCAGGTCCTTGATGAGGGGAATGCCCCATTTCTGGAGCTCTTCCCGAGGACCTATCCCCGAGAGAAGCAGCAACTTGGCGGAGTTTATGGTCCCAGCACTTAAAATTACTTCTCTGGAGGCCCTTGCGGTGTACAGTCTGGAGTTAAGGGAGTAGGTAACGCCTATGGCTCGGTTGTCCATGAAGAGAATTCTCTGGGCCTCTGCCCCACGTACCACCTTCAGGTTGGGCCTTCGGTTCACACCATCTCTGGCCAAGTACAGGCGCCCACTGCTGGCCCTGCGCGCCTGGTTGAGGGTCACTGGGACCCGGTGGGTGTACCCGTAGCTGGAACCCGCTATCAGGGGTCTCTGGACCTTGGGAATTCCAAACTCGTGGACGGCAGAGTACACCAAGTTGGCCAGCTTGGAGTTCAGTCTGTCGACTTCGAAGTAGGAGAGGTTCAGTGTCCCGAGGAGCCGTCTGTAGGACTTTTGCACCTGCGACCAGCTCCAGAGGCTAGAGTTCCAGCTGTCGAAGTTCCTGGGGGTACTGGGTATGAATATGTTCCCGTTGATGGCCCCCGTACCGCCCATCATGCGTCCATGCCACCAGGAGCAGCCCAGCGGCGGCTTCATGGCCCGACAGCAGCTCGGGTTCACCTCCGCCCGGTCCAGGAACATGTAGCGCTCGTCCTGGTGAAGGGAGCCACTCAGGCCGAACATTTCCGACTCCAGGGGAGGCAGGTCGCCCGCTTCCAGCAGCAGTATCCTTGCCCCGCACGTCTCACTCAGTCTGCTCGCCACAATGGAGCCGGCACTGCCCGACCCGATCACTATATAGTCGTAGGACTCCTCCTCCTGGGCAGGATCGTGCTGCAGGGGCCAAGCGGAGCTGTTGGCCAACGCCAGACTGGCCGAGTCCAGGGCCGAGGCCACCGCCTCCATCAGACTCAGCCCGTATCCATTGCTGTCCACCGTGAACTGGCCCAGAGCCCCGCTCGGCGACAGGACCATAGCCACAAAAGCCAGCAGAGTTCGCCGTACACCTCGGTCGCCCATCTTAAACTGATTTTACGGCCGTGTGCTGCCGTGCAGTATGCTTGGGAGTGTAAGATAGCCCCAGCATTATCACGATTATTAAATTTAACATTTTACTCCACTTTCTGTTTGTCCAGTCATTATAAAGATAATATAGCGAGTGGGAGGGATCTTCGGGGGAAGTCGAAGTTGGTGTACTCTTTTGAAAGCTTTTGAGAATATTTTTGTACTTCAAATTCTTTTGTATCTTTTTATGTTGTCTTTATATTTAAAATATATTTCTATTTTTATGGTTTAGGAGATCCTTACATAAACCAATAGATAGGCCCTCTGTCTCTGCAATTCTTTATATCTTAGGCTTTTATCATTTGATTTTTGAGAGGAATACCATATCCTTCGTAAGAATTTTAATACTATTTTTATTGTTTAAAGATTTTGTTAAAATTTATGTAGATAGACCCCTAAAGAGTCTTAGATCCCTCATATATGGCCCCTATATACATACATATCTGTATTAATCTCTATATCTCATGAGATGAGCATCCCATTCCCAACTCCCAGTTTAATTAATCAAAAATCTGCCTAAAAATTAAAAAGAATATATATTATTTAAACTTTCAGAAAATCATAATACCCGCAATAAGGGTATACTCCACACAAACTCTGAATTTCTTGACTGAAACACCTGGGGCGATAAAAACAGCACACAATTGTTATTTTCGGTGAAGCATAAAAACAAAACATAAAATAAATTGTATTCACTTTTTGACAATATTAATTTTTATGAATAATTCTGTATTTGTTCGCGATTTTGTTTCTGTTATTTTGAATCTCAAGAGATCTCTCAATTCTGAGACAATAGAGGGGGTTTAAAAATATAGGATTTAAATGAAAATAAAATCAAATATTTTCAGAGCTTATATTCCTGTATTACATGACAAATATTATGCAGCTTTATAAAGCTAAAAATTAATCCCCTGTAGTAATTAATTTTAAGCTGAAATCTATTAAAAGTAGTGTGGTTTTATTGCATTTTCATAAATTTAAAAATAAATACAGGGTTTGGCTTAAATATACAAAAAAAAAAAAAAAGAGAATGTAAGGTTTTAATGTAAATCATTTAATTTTAAAAATTTAAAACTAAGTCATGTACACTATTCGAGTATAAAGACATTCACAAGCCAGACACTCAAGATTCATACTCAGTCGGTCATTCAGACACTCGGAAACACTCACAAGCACTCACAGGTTAGATTGTGGGCTTTTTGGAAAGTGACTTCTCAGAAGAATCGTATCTGAGAGTTCTTCCAACAAACCAACAGTCGGAAACACCCAAAACTAAGACCCTACCACTCCGTTCTAAGACTACACGATGGTGTTTTTGATCCAAAACTCCTTGATCATGTCGCTGCCCTTCTCGGCGATCATGATGACCGGGGCATTGGTGTTGGCGGAGACCAGCTTGGGCATGATGCTGGCGTCGATGACCCGCAGGCCCCGGATGCCGTACACCCGCAGCTTGGCGTCCACCACGGCGTCCTTGTCCCAGTAGGGGCCCATCTTGCAGGTGCCGACCGGGTGGTAGATGGTGGACGTGTACCGTCGGATCATGCACTCCCAGAAGGCGTCCGTGAAGAGCGGCACCTGCTCGCAGCCCGGCCAGCGGATGCTCGAGAGCCGCGAGCCGAAACGCTGCATGGCCTTCGTCCGGGACAGGGCCACGGCGATCTTGACGCCCTCGATCAGCGTCTTCATGTCGAAGTCGTCGGTCAGGTAGTTGGGGAAGATGTACGGGTAGTCGAAGGGGTTACCGCTCCGCAGCCGGATGCTGCCCACCGACCGGGGCCTCAGCAGCATTGGGATGATGCTCCAGGCGTCCCGGTTGTTGATCGGTTCGAAGACGGCCCTGTAGAAGGACTCGGTCAGGCCGTGTGCCTTCCGCAGCTGGGAGCCCCCGTCGGAGTTCGTGGATCCCGACACGAAGTGGAACTCGATGTCCGGCCAGTCCATCGAGCTGTTCGCATACTTGGTGTTCACGTAGGCGAGTCCCTCGACTCCGCCAAGAATGGTCAGAGGTCCTTGCCCGAACACGGCGTACTGCAGGACCGTGGACATGGTGTGGAAGCGGTTCTCGACTATGGAGACCGGCTGGTTCACCAGGAACGTCAGCCCGCCCAGCCCGATGTGGTCCTGCAGGTTCTCGCCCACACTCAGCTCCTTGATCAGCGGTATCCGGTGCTTGGCCAGCTCCTTCCGCGGGCCCACGCCGCTGAGCATCAGCAGCTGGGGGCTGTTCACCGAGCCGCCGGACAGCACCACCTCCTTGGTGGCCCGCACGTGGTACAGCTTCTGATCCTTGACGAACTCCACGCCGAAGGCCAGCTTCGTCACCGGATCGATCATAATCCTGGTCACGTGCGAGTTCATGGAGATGTGGAGGTTGGGCCTCAGCCTGGCCGGGCGCAGGAAGGCCTTCGAGGTGGAGCAGCGTGATCCCCGTCGGGTGGTGCCTTGGGCGATCATGAATCCGGTCATCTTCTCGCCGTTCAGGTCCCGGTTCTCGTAGCCCATCTCCACGCCCGCCTCCACGAAGCTGGCGGCCAGCGGGGTGTGGTAGGGCGCCTCACCCACGGTCAGGTATCCGCCCGTGGCGTGGTACGGCGTGTTGGCCAGGTACTGGTTGGTGTTGTCCTCCGACTTCTTGAAGTAGTAGAGGGCGTCGCGGTAGGACCAGCTCGGGTTCCCCATGGCCTCCCAGTTGTCGTAGTCGTGCTTGGATCCCCGCAAGTACAGCATGTAGTTGAGGACAGAGCTGCCGCCCAGGACCTTGCCACGCGGCCAGTTGCAACGTCCTCCCTGCATAGCTAAGGGGTGTGGAATACCAGGATTAGGAACGGACGAACTCACTCCTCGAATGTCAACTCACCCAGACACGAGGTTCCCGAGGGCTCCGTCTTGTACTGCCAATCGACCTTGGACAGCTGCAGGTAGCCGGCCATCAGGGGCACGTCCGTGAGCTCCGTTTCATCGCCGCCAGCCTCCAGGAGCAGGACGTTCCAGTTCTCCACCTCCGTCAGCCGGTTGGCCACCACCGCCCCCGCCGACCCGGCGCCTATCACTATGAAGTCGTAGTGGTCGAGGATCTCGTCGCCGCCTATGTCGCTGGGCTTGGACTCCGGATCGATGATCTCCTCGTACTGAAAGTAGGCCACCGCGGCCATCAGCATGGGGATGAACCAGCTGTTGCTGGTGGCCGCCGTGACAGCTCCTCCGATCGCCGAAGCGGCTCCCGCAATCGCCGAACTCATTCTGTGTCTGGGGCCTTAGGTTTTCGGGGCTTTTTCGGGGTCTTGGGCGGAAATAGGTCGCTCGTTCGGTTTACTGGCCAACTTCCAAGTGTTTTCGGCGGCGTGACTGCAATGACAAGTGGGTTGCTGGTCAGTTGAATGTCGAAGAAGTGCTTAATGGAAATTGGATAGTGCCGGACTGGCTCAGCCAGGCAACCGGGTTACCAGGTGACAGCAGGGTGCGATTTTCATGCTCAATATTTTGATCACGAGTCCCCCGCCCCCGGCACACACCTGGCATCCCAGCGATCGCAGCGATTTCGTAACTTGGAAATTATTATGCATACTCTATACTATGTACGACATGTCCAATTTCCCCCATGTCCAAGGGCCGTAACTCTGTTGTGCTAATCGTGAGCAAGATCTGAAAGCTAATTGATAGTCTCTCCCTGAATTAGGGTAATACTTGTGGGGATTAATCGTCAAAAATAGACCTTCAAAAAAAAATTAAAAACCTCTTACTACACATGCTCTTTCTATATCCATACGAACTTCGTAACTCTCTATATATCCCATAATCCCCCAAAAGCTAAATGACAATCTTTCCCCGGATTAGGGCATTATCTTTAAAGATGGTAACCAGAAAAAAACATTTAAATAAAATTTTAAAAAATATATCGGTTCAAGCGGAGTTGAACCTCTTACCAGGCTACTTTTTGCTTATTTCAGATCCTTAAGGGTAATAAGGGTAAGAGTAATACTTTTAAATCAACAAAATTGAAGATAAAACAAATAAAAAGACATTAAAAGTACATTTTTTTAAGAAGAGGCGAAGAGGCTCGACCTCTGTAGGCTTACAACATGTATTTATTTCAATCCCTCTCCAAAAACCCCGTAACTCTATTGTGATAATAATGATTATATAACCTAAAAGCTATTTACATAGTAGTGTCCCCTTAATTAACTTTTTTTTTCAACTTTTGGGCATGTAATTGAAAAAGGAGATAAATATAAATATTTTATAAAATGTACCTCAGCGTAGTCGAACCTCTTTTAAGATCTGTCCCATTCAGAATATGTATCTTCTTTTAAGTCAGATTAGAATAATATTTCTGAATATTTTGAAGATTTTAACAGAAGAAAATAAAAAAATAACTATCTGGACAGATTCGAACCTCTCACCAGTCTTAGTCTTCTCTTCAGCCCCATTAGGATAATAATACTCTTAAGGCTTAACAAAAAAAAAAGACTATTAAACAAAGGAAACTTTTGAGTAAAATTTTTAAAAACCATCTAGAAAGACTCGAACCCCTCAGTCTCAGTCTTCTCTCTCAGTTTCAGTTTCGCTTCGTTTAGTTTAATTAATTCTGTTTGTTTTCAATTATAAAATAAATATGTTAATTTCCCTTTCATAAATCTTTCGCGTCACGTGCTCTTCATTACTGGCTGATGGATTGTATCGTAGAGATACCGGAGAGATGTTATAAGAAAGAGGTGTAATATGAGAGTTTTGGGGTTGAGGGGCCTCCCCCACAAAAGTGAAATCTTCCACGCTATTATAAAACTTTACTGGGCACCCGAAAAAAAAACAAATATTTTGAAAAAAAAAAAAATGGAAATCTTTAACCAAAAGCCGAACCAGCAACTTTTCACTCCCGTGGCAGCCGCGACATGCAACAATTGAGATGCACAATCCACACTCGCCACACCACAGCTTCACTCGAACTTGAGACGAGCTTGCAACCAGTTTGACAAAGTACAGTGGGACTTCTATAAGTGGAATGATCTATAAGAGCATTCATGTGCGTTTTTTGAGAGGGAGGGTTTAGAATCTAAGCCTAAGCATCTACCTACCAGAAAAAAGTATCTAAAGCTGTATTTAATAGTATCTAATAGTATCTAAAAGTATCTAAAATATATTTATATTCCTAGAATTCTCTAGGTGAGTCTTGTTTTAATTATAATTAGCAGATCTTTGTTAATAAATAAATACATTTTTTTCCAAAGGAAATTGTTCTAGATAGAAGCTTAAGTTTAGATCTTTAAAATGCTTATACTTTTAACAAGAAAGCAAAGCTAACTTCGGGCGGAGCCGAAGTTGATATACCCTTGCAGTTAAAACCGGATATATATCGCAAACATCGGATATAGTTGGCCGATCCTTATGGGAATAGGAATATATAATCCAATATTTTACAATACAAAATCTAAAAAAAATCCCAAACTTCTATCTTCAAAAATACGAAAGTTGATATTTCTACCAAGTACCATTTCCGATCGTTCAGTTATATGGCAGCTATAAGATATAGTCGGCCGATCCTAATGAAATTTGGTAGGTCGGATCAACTGACCAAATATATAATCTGTACCAAGTTCCAGCTTTCTATCTTCAAAAACACGAAAGTTGGGTCATTTCCGATCGTTCAGTTATATGGAAGCTATAGGATATAGTCGGCCGATCCTTACGAAATTTGGCATGTCGTATTATTTTGCCAAAAATAGCTCTCATGTCAAATTTGAACTCTCTAACTCTAAAAACACCAAAGTTATACCATTTCCGATCAATCAGTTATATGGCAGCTATAGGATATAGTCGGCCGATCCGGGCCGTTCCGACTTATATACTGCGTGCAAAGGAAAGAAGGGTGTGTGCAAAGTTTCAAGACGATAGCTTTAAAACTGAGAGACTAGTTTGCGTAGAAACAGACAGACGGACAGACAGACAGACGGACAGACGGACAGACGGACATGCTCATATCAACTCAGGAGGTGATCCTGATCAAGAATATATATACTTTATAGGGTCGGAGATGTCTCCTTCACTGCGTTGCACACTTTTGGACAAAATTATAATACCCTCTGCAAGGGTATAAACAGGTGATCATCACTTGACAAAAATATAAAAACATTTAGTTACGATTTTTTAATAAAAATTAGTTTTCTAGGGCTAATGTTTTGTTTTTTGTTTACTAAGTTTAAAATTTGTTACTGATATTTTATAACACGTAGGCTTAATTGTGATGTATAATCTTCAATTATACTAAAGTATTGATTATAACTAAATTTAAATGTTTAAAAATACTTCTCATATTTAAAATTGGTCTCTAAACTTTGTTTTATCAAAACCATATATTATATTTAATATTTAAGATCTAATCACAAAACAAGTCTTGTAAAATATTGAAACTAAGTTTAAAAAATATTGTCAGTGTTGTAAAGCTAACAATGAAACCCATCTGCAAGTTCGCGTTATGCAAGCTGGACTGTTAAATTTTTTTCTTAATATTTTTTTTTTTTATTTATGTTTCCGTTTGGCTTGTTAGGCTTTGGCTTTTCAACGAGAAGTTGGGAAGAAATAGGCATTTCCTCTTGCCTGCCAATTTTTTTGCATAATAAAAGTCTAGTAGGCATTTAGATGTTGTTGTTAGTTAGTTGCTAGTTGTTGTTGTTGCTGCTTCAACTGGTGGCAATTACAAGTGTTGTTGTTGTTGCAAACAGGTTGCTGATGGAAGAGTTGAATGTGCTGCCTGCCGCCGATCAAGTTCAAGGTACAAAACAAAGCTACCAAGAGACGCCAGTGCTGCGACTGTGACGCCGGCAGTGCTGCCTTCAACGAGGCACTTACAAAAAAAATAGAAAAAACACACCACACACTTGGAAAAAAAAAATTGGGTTGGTAAATGGTACGGTAAACACTTGCCAAAGAGAAATGCATAACAGAAAGCAACAACAATAGAGCAACCGTAATAAAGAAGAAGAAAAGAGCGGCATGAATCACTTTCGTTGAGAAAGCTTCTGCGTAGGCGGCGCTGTCGCTGCCACAGTCGCTGCCGCTGCCGCTGCCGGCGTTTGGTTCAGAATTTTTGTGCGTATTCTTTTTTTTTTTTTTTTTTGTTTAAGCCTTGTTTCTTGTTCTTCGTTTACTTTGATTTCTTTTTTTTTTTACGATTTTTTTGCGTTTGGCACACTTTTTTTCGCCCTGTGTTTGTTTTCTTTTACTTACACACTCACTTGAGCTTGTTCTCTCTTTTTAACACACTTTATTATTTTTTAGAATTTTATTTTGATTTTTTTCTTCAGTTTTTGTTTATTTAAACCGTTTTGAGGTTTTGCGCATGCGCGCCTGGCGTTTGAGTGGAAGAGCAGGAGGTTTCTGTCAAAAAAATACAAGCGACCTCACGCTTCGAGGTTCGCTGGCCGAATAAAAGGCAAAAACAAAAAAAATATAGACAACTCCAAAGACATGGCCACTCTCTCTCTTGGACTCTCTTTCAAACTCTTACTCCCTGTCTCTCTCTCTCTCTATCTCTCGCTTGGAGCGACTCCAAGTGGGCCTGGCTTCCTTGGCTCAGAAGAGAGTGATTGATGATTGAGCCCTTTTGACAGTTTGTCGGTTAGTTTTCCGCCTTCAAGCCGGACAATTACTTCCTGGACGTGCAGTTATATCTCTTGGATCGACTTTGGACTTAGTGACGTGTTTGCCGGCACGTAGACCCATCACACCACACCAAACCACCTCCACACCGACACACGCATTGCTGGCGAAATGCTTTCACTCTTACTATTTGGTCAACTGGCCAAAGTCTGGGCCAAAAAGCTTTTTCGGCCGCCATGCACCTGGTCAGAGGTGCCTACCACATGGCAACACCTTTTTGTGGGTCACTGTGACGTCAGTCTTACCAAAAGAGGAAGTTGTAGAAAAAGGCTTGGTTTTTTTAGTCTAAAAGAAGCGTTTTTTGCATGAAAACCTCTCTTGGGTGGACAGTTTGTGGAGTGAGCCAAGTAAAATATACTAAAACTTGATAAATATGACAATTACATAGAAAAACTCTGTTAAGCGGGCAGGGTAGGGACCTAATAATCCCAAAATTTTACATTTTAAGTCCCCAAACTTTTAAAACTTCTGTAACTTTAGATAAAGGGCCACCCTCTCTTAAGCGGACAGGCTAGAAAGTCAATGCACACCAAATTCTTTTTTCAAAATAACTTCTGCAACGTGCAAGAGTCAACCAACCTCCCCTAAGCGGACAGTGTATAGAGTCTATATTATGGTATTAAAATACCTACAAGTACCTACCTAAAATTTAGCAAATAATATAATTTAAAAGCCAACCCCTGCATATAAGACTCTACAACTTTAATAAAAAATCCAACCTCTCTTATGCGGACAGATTAATGCCTCACTAATTATCTATTAAAAGTAAACTTATAGACGGTCTGAAAGTCAAAAATACCATCAAATATGATAAATAAGCAAATAAAAATGCAAACCTCTCTTAAGCGGACAGGATAAAATACAAATGAAATGGAATATAATTTTATAACCTCTGGAGGTATTATAACCTCTGGAACTATAACGAATTAATCAACCTCTCTTAAGCGGACAGGTTATAGCCGCGATAAACCGAAAACTTATTTTTATTTTCAGATATTACAATTAGAAAGCAACCCTCTCTTGAACGGACAGATTTTTTTTCTAACCTCACTTTTTGCCATTTCTCTCCAATTCCAGGTGGCTGCTGCGGTTCTACCAAGAAGCGGACAATTGTGGGCGGCTGGGCGTGGGCCTGGTGGCTGGTCACCGATGTCCAGCGTCTGTCCCTGAACGTGATGACCCTGAATCCGATGTGCGAGAATGTGGAGACCGCCCAGGGTGTCCCCCTGACCGTTACGGGCGTGGCTCAGTGCAAGATCATGAAGGTACGATTCGAAATATACGTCGATCGAAATGGAAATTTTTGGGCAACCCCTTTTTTTCTCTTCTGCACCCCAAAATCTGAGCGAAAGTGATTGAAGCTTGGCCGAGTTTTCTTTTAGGTTCTATTGAGTTCTATTTCTGCAAGATTTGTTCGAGTTTGATTTTTGTTTTCGATAATTCTCGATATATAGATAAATAATATTAATCCTTAGTCGAACTAGAGCGCCAAAAAGTAGTGAGTTGGTATCCTGCCTGCACCAGTTATTGGATTGTTCATATATATACATATATATCTCCGTATCTATTTAACCAATTTGTATGGAACTTGTTTTAATCCAATCTTTGGCTCTTTTTTGTTTTGTTTGTGCATCTTTCCTCTCGTAAAATACAAAAATACACACCTTATATACCTATGATTCCTAAACGTGTTCCAAAGTAAACAATCGAAATATCCTGAAACCCATCGAATGTATATTTAGCCTAGCAAGTGCTCTCAATCTGAACACCGCCAAGTAAGTTGCGATCATCCATCCCGGCGATTTATCTTAATTTTCTAAAAAAAAGAAAAAAAATATTTTAGTAGATATAGTCTTAAATCACATGTAGAATTCATATCAGTTGGCACAATATTATTTATAGTCTAGTTTTTGTTTCAGATTTTATTTAAGCTAGATGATGGCCAATTCAAAATTATAGTTTAATTTCTTTAAAAAAAAAAACAACCTCTTACCGGACAGTTCTCACTTCTACTGATCATTTCAAATAAATAATTTTATTTCTTCAAATATTTAATCCAAAACATAAGTATGTCCTTATAAACCACATAGTTTATTGTCTTGAACCGATTTTCCCAATCCCAATCACTATGATACGTTAACTATGAGATAGTCTCTCAGATAATGAGTGAAACAGTGTTGTATAACAAGGCCATTGTTAACCCTTAAACTCTGACTAGGGCTTAAGGGGTTATATACAGTTGTACCGCGCAAGAATATGGAATTTTATCGATTTTTTTTTGACACCATAAAAAATATTTATGAAAAATGTTTTACCGACGTTGTTTAGTACATGTTTCTGGGTACCTAATTAAATTTTTTCATAAAAAAATATTACATAACAAAAATGTTATAGCCGAATTCCCGAATCGTCTTTTTTCGATGGTGTCTTGCGGTGGACAGGATTTCTCGAAAACGGTTCATCCGAAATCAAAAATTCAAAAAAGTTTAGTTAGTATATTGTATTGTCTAGTCCGTGAACGAGGGATTTTTAAAAATTTTGATTCAAAAAAAAATGGCGACGTTTTTAACAAAAATGTACTTTTTCAGGGTATAAGATTTTCGTTTTTGTTCTTTAAAAAAGGAGTTTTCAAAAAATGGAAAATCCCTCGTTCACGGACTAGCTAATATCATAATAAATAAGTGGTCAAAATTTGGTGTTGATCGGATTAGTATTTTTTAGTAATCGTGTCCACCGCAAAGGTAACTTCCCAAAAAAAAGATTCTGAGATAATCGCGTTTAAAGTTTCAAGTTTGTTCAAGTTTTATATGCAGATAGTGCGCTATAAATAGCTACAGCTTCGGTTCTAATGCTCCGATCATTATGCATTTTTGTGAAAGTATTCCCAATAGAATATACTTTAAGAATATGCAAAAAAAAAAAAATCGATTTTTTCATATATCACAACTGTATATAACCCCTTAATTAAGCCTACTGAATTAAAATTATATAATGTCCTCTATAATTGTTATCAACATGTTTATATAATTGAAATTGAAAAAAGTACTCCCATACATACTTTAAAGGTTAAATATATTTAAAAAATTAATTTGCCAAATCACTTTACTCTTTACAACACTGGAGACTACCTTATAGTTATTGTTTCCTGCCCTACCACACTGTGAATAATTATTCCAATTCATTTGAATTTTTGCCATTAATTTTCACACTCCAAAAATTAAAGCACTTTCAAATCACTGTCTTGATAACCCACAAAAATCACAGACTGGCAATTATGATCGATTTCTTAGACCACAAGATAGCCTGCCTCAAAATTATTTGATCACTTTTAATTAATTTCATTCGATTTTGCAGTCATCTTCGTATAAAAGTAACGATTATCATAATGACGAGGTACGTTTATTATTGCATTTATATGATTTCCACCTGGGTTTATTATTTATGTTTTCTCTGGCCTAATCATCTAATATTTAATGTATAATATTTATGTTATATGCCATGCACTTACCCACACACCACACACACACACCACCTCCCATCGAGCACAAAACCAGGAAAAAGTTAAGGAGCCATTATCCATATTTTAAATATTATAAGCATGTGCTTTATTTGTGCTTTTTTTTTTTAAAGATTATTGTTTGTGTATGGCTTTACGTTTTTTGGTTTGCATAAAAAATTTCATTCAATCATCATCATCAGAAGCTGAGGAGGAAGAAGAAGGAGAAAGAAAAGTACAATCTGCAAATTATACAAAAGAATAAAAAAAATTATATATATGTATAATAAAAAAAAAATATAAAAATTTAACGAAGCCTTGTTGATCTTTGTATTCTACTCTCTTTTTTCTCTACTTTCTTTTCACCAAAAAAAAAAATCGACAATCGAAAAAAACCAAAACCCTGCGACCGATCGTTCAACGTTCAACTCATCAATTAATCCGCAACTAACTGTAACTGTATCCGAAATCAACTAAAATTAAATCAAAAAACAAAAAAAAAAATCCAAAACCACACACACATGCATTTAAAAAAACAAAAATCATTACAAAACCGAAAAAAAATTATAAAAATGAAAAAAAAAAAAAATACTGCTCCTCTACCGTTACTGCTACTGTTACTACTACCGTTACTGCTCTGGTTGCTGCTGTTACCGTTACTCCATGTATCGCTCTATATATCTATATATATATATACATATATATCTATTTCTGTCTCTCTCTCTGTCTCTGTGTGCATGTGCGTGTGTGTGGGTGAAAAAATTTAATAAAAAAAAAATTGGTATAAAAATTGAATAAAAAATAAATAAAATAAAACCCAATTGGATCGAACCTGCAAAACCTTCAATCACACACATGCACACCAAATACACCCACACACCACACTGACACACTGACACAATGACGTACAAACCCACACACACAAACACAAAACACCTACAGATGATGAATGTTTATTATTTCCACCATCAGGCCGACGAACTTCTGGGAACTGCCAGCGAGCAATTCCTGGGCAAGAGCGTCAAGGAGATCAAGCAGACGATCCTGCAGACCCTCGAAGGACACCTGCGCGCCATATTGGGTGAGTCATCACTTTTATTTTTAACCGTTAACTATTTTAATAGAGAATTACACTTATTTAAAGCCTACTTTTAGGCTTCAAGTGTTCCAAAAAAAGCTTCCAACAATAAGGAGGGTTTATAAGGTTAATTCGGTGGCACAGCGAGCAAGATACTGATTAAATTAAGCGTAATTTAATCAATTGAATTTCCATTCAAAAATTAAACATTCGAAGAATATTTTTGTAAATCATTGAGAAATATTGAAAATTAACCGCGTTATAGGGAATCTTCAGAGGCGCCGGAAAGAAGTTGAATCATCCCAAAGCAAAAAAAATAATAACTGAGGAATTAGTTAAATTAGTTATTTGTGAAATTTCATGACCGAAAAATTGAAATTGGTACAGTAGATTTTGCGTAATCGAGTACTGAGACTTTCAAAATTAGACATTTCAGGGCCACACCGACATTTGCTCCGACTGTCATATAATTTGGGATGGAATATTTGATACAAAAAATATTTTAAAAATGCCAAAAAAATCCTTATCTTACCCTACCTTTCCTCCCAAAAAAAAAACCTTTGTTTTTATAGTTTTACACTGTTTTTTTTATATTTTTGAATGTTGCTGTAGTAATTTGGAGTTAAATATGTTTGTCCAATCTGCTTTTTCGTTTCCTCATTTGCAGTTCGATTGAAAACACGTTTATGATTTTCTGTTCCTTGAATTTGTTTCTTACTTTGGACACATCCTAACTAGATCTTATCCTTGATTTAATTTTTCTTCGAATTTCCTACGATTTTTTCATCATTTTGGAGGTTTCAGTATTATGATATACTTTTGAAAACGATATTCTGAGGATAGTTGCGCTTGAAGTGTATCTAGTCTTTGGTTGAGATCCTTTTTCGTCGAAAGTTCTTTTTTGGGAGTGTGAGTGTGAGAGAGAAAACAAATAAATTTGGAATTTAAACACCATTTTGAATAACGATTAACGTGAGGACTATCGATTAACTATCGATCACCGATCATCGCTTGTAGTACATCTCCAAGTGGGGCTGATCGAACATGTTGATGGCGTAGTCCAACTCATCCAACTGCCGTTCAATGGCAATCTTCCGGGTGCGCACGCGCAGGGTGGGCTCCGAAACTGGCAGATGGTTGTACTCCTCGATCAGCTTGCCGTACTTAAACTGGGCGTCCTGCAGCGCCGCCTGGCGCTCCTTGGGCGTCAACGGGGTGTAGCCCTCGTATTGAGTGGGCTCCTGCTTGGATGATCCATCTTTCTCCTTCTCCCGCTCTGGCTCCCGCTCCTCCTTCTTATCCTCCTTCTGCTCCCTGGCGACCAACTGGGGTGGCGGCATGACCTCCATCAGCTGGGACTTGCGACTCGCTTGACTCACCACCGACTTCTTCGAGGCGGTGCTGCGCCTGGAGGCCAGCGACATGTTGGACCTGACAGTGGCGTTGGAGCGAATACTCTCCTGGGACGGGGATCGCATCACCGATTTCAGGGTCTTGGCCGAGTCGCTGCTCCGGGCACTGAGAGGGGTCTCCTGTTTCTCCCCCACCGATGACTTCTTGCTCTTGGTACTCATCCTGGAGACGCGAGAGCACACGGACATGGTGTCCTCGGCCTGCGGAGGGGCTACGGCGGGCGCACTCTCCTGCTTGGCCTCTGCCTCCGCCCCTGCGGCCAGACGGTCCGCCTCCTGCTTGCAGTGGCACTCGTGGCAGCACTTGTGCCGCATCTGGTGCTGAAGATGCTGCTTCTGCTCCCGCCTAGGGTCTATCCAGCCGCCCTGGAGCCGTGCCCGCTCCTGCTCCTGCTGGTCGCGCTTGTGCAGCTCGCAGCCGCAGGGCGGCGGCACCCGGCGACGATGGTTGTCCTTGAAGCCGTACGGATGGGTCAGGCCGCTTCTCAGGTCCTGCGTCTCGTGGGGGGCGGCCTGGTACTGGCGGGTGCGCCGCTGGATGGTCTGGCTGTGGGGCCGCAGCTTCTCCGTGTAGTGGAGCACGACCGGTCGCCAGAGGGGCACTCGGCGGGCGTTGGCAGCCGCCAAGCACCTGTTATTGGTCTCCATGCGGGACACGTTGTTCTTGTTCTCCATCAGGAAGTCGCGTCCTGCGTGCTGCCGCCGAAGGGCCGCCATAACACTCACCCTTTGCCCTTTATTCCCTTTTATTTTTTTTTATTAATTCCAAGATTGATAAAACAGCGAAACAAGTGATTCGTTTGGATGATTACATAAATTAAACTGAATAATGATTGAAACTTATTCCGGAATCGAGACAAGAGACTATATATGTTGTTTTTGGTTTTGGGGTGTGCGTTAAGGTCCGAGTGGAAAACTAGACTGAGCTCCGGAAAGCCCCACCCTGCCACCAGAATCCAAATGGAAAAGCAAGGCCTACTTGTGATATCAGAAAAGAGCTTACACCAATCCCAATGAGTGCCGGGCTTATGAATATAATTATGCCACTAAGTACTGGAAATGCCTTTTGAATCGACAATTAAAGGCCCGAAAAGTGCAGGGCAAATGGGTTTTTCTTTTGTGAATAAATCAATAATGACCTGATTACCTGACTGTCTAGTTCTTTTGTTTCCAGAGACTGCACTCTCCCCTCAAAAACTATTTCAAGTTCAGAGTGTCGGCGGGTTCTATTCCGACCGCCCGGCGACCTTGGCGGGCAATCTACACGAGGCTTTCAATTAAACATAATTCGAGTCGAGGGTTTATGGGCTCATCGAACTCACTATAATTTTTTTTTTTTTATTATTTGCTCGGTTGTTTCAATTTACTGGGCCCAGAGACAGACCCGATTCCATAGCCGAATCCGAGCCAAAGTTTTCAGTCCCCGGATAGCTTGAGCTCGAGCTCGAGACACGCTCGTGTCAGTTGAGAGGCGCATCGCGAAACGTTCGGTTTGTTTGGAAAATTGCTAAAAAAAAAAATAAAAAAAATATAGTACTAATAGTACTACAATGAAACTATAATATTGTAGCTTTGCGTGTGAAATAAATATGTAATGGTTCCCTGATGATCTCTCGATTTATAACCACTCCAAGTTCTCATCATTTTTTTGCCCGTGACATCATTGTGTGATAAGAGCGATTAGAAGTGATAAGACTGCGACAAGTGACGTCAAAACTAATACAGAGCCCTACACGCGGAGCACTATACATTTAATTAAACACCAGACCAGATACTATATCTGGCCTATAGGTATCTGGTTCTATAAGTAGAACCCGCTACCAGGCCGGCCGAAGCAGTTAGCCACCAGTTAGCCAGCATGTCCGACGTGTGGATGGGTGTCTTCAAGGTGGCCATGATAGTGGGCGTCACCTCGCTGGTGGTCACTCGGTAAGGTCATCGATTGCACAGAGCCAAGAACCAAGAGCCACCCCTAACCTATAGCACTCGAAGAAATCGGAAGATACTATCTTATCAGTGCGACTTAAGATATTAAAGGGGTCTTGGCTTTTTTTGCATAAATATTATGCCTGACATTGCTTTTAAAATAGTATCTCTTTTTTTTGCAATTTACTTGGATCTTTATTGTAAAATAAAACTACGTGCTTTGCTTGAGGAATTGCAAGGCTTCCGGAGGTTTAATTCCGATTGAGTTATGTGATTTGAAAGCAAAGTATTTTTTGGTTTTTTTTTCTCTGTGGAGGACAAACAAACACGAATACGAATGTCCTTTGGCTTTCCAATTTTAATATTCGATTACCCGATTGTGTCCTTGCAGGAACGCTTACAGTCGAAGAGGTGTACAAGGACCGCGACCAGTTCGCAGCCTTGGTGCGCGAAGTGGCCGCGCCTGACGTGGGTCGCATGGGCATCGAGATCCTCTCGTTCACCATCAAGGACGTCTACGACGATGTCCAGTACCTGGCCTCCCTGGGCAAGGCCCAGACGGCGGTGGTCAAGCGCGACGCCGACGCCGGCGTGGCGGAGGCCAATCGCGATGCCGGCATCCGCGAGGCCGAGTGCGAGAAGAGCGCCATGGACGTCAAGTACTCGACCGACACCAAAATCGAGGACAATACGCGCATGTACAAGCTGCAGAAGGCCAACTTTGATCAGGAGATCAACACGGCCAAGGCCGAGTCCCAGCTGGCGTACGAGCTGCAGGCCGCCAAGATCCGCCAGAGGATCCGTAACGAGGAGATCCAGATCGAAGTGGTGGAGCGGCGCAAGCAGATCGAAATCGAGTCCCAGGAGGTCCAGCGCAAGGACCGCGAGCTGACTGGAACCGTGAAACTTCCCGCCGAGGCAGAGGCCTTCCGCCTCCAGACCCTGGCTCAGGCCAAGCAGTAAGTATCTTAAATAGTATCTAGTATCTTAAATCCACTAAATCTAAATTGTGAATAATACCAGGAACAATCTACGGAAAGCTGAAGCCCGTTTCCTTAGAAACAGCCACAAACAACCTGTTTGGTTTATTGCAATTACAGAACTAGTTTTTTTATTACATTCTAGTCTAGTTAGGGTTCTAGTTTATGAAATTCTAGCCCCAGTTTACTTCTGATGGGTGCTTTTCCAATAAAACAGCGTAATCTACCCTGCAAGTAATAAAATTAACGCTTTCAAAGAATCTAAAGTTTTGATACTCGATTACTTTTTGTATTCCTACCGTAATTATACCCTTGCAGAGGGTATTATAATTTTGTCCAAAAGTGTGCAACGCAGTGAAGGAGACATCTCCGACCCTATAAAGTATATATATTCTATGTGAGCATGTGTGATATGTGTGTGACATATATGTGATATGAGCATGTCCGTCTGTCCGTCTGTCCGTCTGTCTGTCCGTCTGTCTGTTTCTACGCAAACTAGTCTCTCAGTTTTAAAGCTATCGACTTGAAACTTTGCACACACCCTTCTTTCCTTTGCACGCAGTATATAAGTCGGAACGGCCCGGATCGGCCGACTATATCATATAGCTGCCATATAACTGATTGATCGGAAATGGTATAACTTTGGTGTTTTTAGAGTTAGAGAGTTCAAATTTGACATGAGAGCTATTTTTGGCAAAATAATACGACATGCCAAATTTCGTAAGGATCGGCCGACTGTATCCTATAGCTGCCATATAACTGAACGATCGGAAATGACCCAACTTTCGTGTTTTTGAAGATAGAAAGCTGGAACTTGGTACAGATTATATTTTTGGTCAGTTAATCCGACCTACCAAATTTCATTAGGATCGGCCGACTATATCCTATAGCTGCCATATAACTGAACGATCGGAAATGGTATTTGGTAGAAATATCAACTTTCGTATTTTTGAAGATAGAAGTTTGGGACTTTTTTTAGATTTTGTATTGTAATAAATTGGATTATATATTCCTATTCCCATAAGGATCGGCCAACTATATCCGATGTTTGCGAAATATATCCGGTTTTAACTGCAAGGGTATATAAACTTCGGCTCCGCCCGAAGTTAGCATTCCTTTCTTGTTTGTACATATTAAACTCTGCCTTAAAAATGTCCCTACTTGAGGTCATATCTTTGCTTATTTATAATAGAAACCTTATACTGGCTTTTTGTAAATCTCTTAAGGTTGTATCTTTACGATTTAGCCACATATATATGTACATAGAGTAGATACCTTCTAAAATATAGGTATGCAGGTATAGGAGTTCAATATTCTTAATTGTTTTTTTATTAATTTTTAGTGGGTTTACTTTATCATAGTTTTTGAAAATTGAACGACAATCTTATTTATTCAATATATTTTAATCTTTCAATATCTTTTGAATATCTTTTCATATAACTTTTAATTCTTTTAAAAAATATTTTGAAAACATTTGGGAAAACGGAAACTTTAATTGTGATATTTTGGTTTAGATTGGTCTGATTTTAATGTCTTAATGACTTCACAATATAGGAATCTCTTAAAGAAAAATACACAAGCCTACATTAAAATCTGAGACTCTAAAATTTAGAGCCTAAAGAGCCTTTAGAGCCTTTAGAGCCTTTATTGGATAATTTTAAAAAAGTTTTAAAGTTTTAGGACAAATTTTCCTTACTTTTCCTGAGAATTTAAGGAATTTGAAGCTCAAGACCTGACTATAAGTTCTATCAGGAAATTACTGAGATATTGCAATAAAAGATATTGATTTTGAAAATCTTTAGAGAATTTCATCTTGAAATTGTTTAATTTTGTAAAATTTTAAAAAGATTTTCTATTAAACAGATAATAATATTAATTTGATAAGAATATTAGTTAACCATTAAGGATGATGACCTCTATATAGATACGTTGAAACCTTTTAAAAGATCTTGAAGATTATACCTTGGAGTACACCTTAATAAAAAAATGATCGCATCTTACCCCCACAGGTGCCAGACCATTGAGAGTGCCCGTGCCGAGGCGGAGCGTATCCGGAAGATTGGATCGGCAGAGGCCCATGCCATCGAGTTGGTGGGCAAGGCGGAGGCTGAGAGGATGCGAATGAAGGCCAATGTCTATAAGCAGTACGGCGACGCTGCCATTATGAACATAGTCTTGGAATCACTACCAAAGGCAAGTACTTTTCTGATTCTCTGAAATGGAACTTCATTAATGATCCATCCATCCCCACAGATTGCCGCCGAAGTGGCTGCTCCGTTGGCCAAGACCGAGGAGATCGTCCTGATTGGAGGTAACGATAACGTCACCAACGACGTGACCCGCTTGGTGGCCCAGCTGCCGCCCTCGATCAACGCCCTGACCGGGGTGGACCTGTCCAAGGTCCTGTCGAAGATACCCGGGGCCAAGGCGTGAAACCTAATGGAGTGGGACATCCAGCAAATGGCAATGACAACGTAACGCATCGCGCAATGGAATTGTAAACGATAGGACGGACTAGGACGCTTAAGAAAAAGGATCAAAAATCGGATGGAGATGGAGACTGGAAGGGTGATGGAGTGGATTAGAGTGTGGGGCATTTGTAGATTAGAACGAGAACTCGGGAAATCGAAACTGAAAACTGGAAACTGAAACATGGAAACTGGAAAATCGAGAAAATCAATCGAACGTAGCAAAATGTACTCCGATATTATATTTATATGTATATGTATAAATGTATATGTATTTGTATATGTATGTGCACACATATGCGTACACCTGCATGTGGGTGTCCTTTCTCTGACTGTTTGTGTGTGCGTGTGTGTGATGCACGACCGTGTAACAATCAAAAAAAAAAAAACAAAAGAAAGCGAAACCAACGGTAATCTCAGCTAAAGTTAAATATGCATTTCGTACGCAGCATTTGGTGGCCTTTTCTCGCAAAAAAAAAAAACAAAAAACGAAACAATATCGTCAAATTTGTATAACTTTAAACTCGAAAACGAACCAGATTAAGGCAAAGTTTTAGCAATTTATTTACTACTACTATTATATATATTAGTCACACACACGTACACTCAGAGTTCTTAGTTTGTAACAATATGCCACACCGTGTGGCGCGAGTCCTGCTGCAGCCCCCTCTCTAGCTCCTTGTGCTTCTAACTGAACTTCAGACTCCAGACTCAGACTACGACTACTGCCTACACTATAATTTCAAGAGAAATCTAATTAAAAGCCAAAGAGAAAGAGAGGGGAGAATCGAGTAGAATAATATCATAAATCGATCGAGACTTTCTTCAAGTTCAAGAAAAAGTTTAAGCCCAAGGACAGGGCACCTATTATTTCGACAAAACTTTCCAATATTGTTTAATGTGCCATTCTGCCATTTATAATAAAAACTTAATTTTTCAAACAAAAATCTCTTACTTTGTCTCGATCGATGGATGGAAACTCTATGGCTGTACTATGCAGCGCCAGGATCGTGCCACACCATACGCTCTTCCATTACCCATACTCACACACATCAACTAACACACTCACAAAAACAGATATTTATTTTCGATAAATTATATAAATATTTCTTTGTTATGGTTCGGCGAGACCCTAAGTAATTCTCCCATTTTGTAACTGTCTCGTCCTTTTGAATTTTTTGTGTTTGTAGTGTGTTTGTAAGCATTTAAAAATTAACAAAACAATTTTTTAGTTGATAGCATAAACAACTAAGCATACAAAATGAATATTTTTGTTATTTATTTATATAACACTTAACTGGAATTTAGTTAAAGCAATTTTTCGAGTCTTTGAGTCCAGTTCTTTCTTATATATATTTTTTTGCTAGAGTAATTAACCCTTATTCTTTTAAGCACACATCACAAGAGCTGATCCTTGAAAACAGAATACACCCACACCCATTAGACACACACACACACACACACACTCATAAAAATACTTTTTTTTCTATTGTATATTAAGTGCAAGTAATTTACAAAACACAACAAAGGTCAACAACAACAACAACATAAAACCGAAGAAGAACTAACCAAAATGCTAAACCTAAATCAAATCTAAAATTTTGTGTATTTTGTCGTAAATAAATAAATTTAAAAAAATACCTATTTATATTGATTTAATTCATAGATATTTTGAAATCATTCACGTTGTCTAGTGTGATCCCTTACGTTGTTTGTAATCCTTGATTATTGTGTAAGAATCAAGTTCGATTTCAGGTCATGTTTCAGGCCCTGACACCACATTACAATCCACTACTCACGACAACCACACTCACGATCCACAAACCACATACGAAACACACCATCGGCGCAAGCAAACGGTTCGTGTTTCGGGTAAATGTGTCTCAAAAAGAGCTTTTAAGCTTTTGAAACGTTTTCCGAAACCAAAGAAATGCTATATGTATATGAATTGCGTAGAACGTGCGTAAAGAATATTCTTGAGAGCTTTTGCTACAAGATTTAAAGAAAAGTTTCAAAACTTTTCTTTAAATTTTAAATTTTAAAAAATTTTTTAAGTTTTGAAAAATAAATTTTCTTAAATTTTTAAAATTTTTCTTAAATTTTTAAAATTTTCTTAAATTTTTAAAATTTCTTAAATTTTTAAAATTTTCTTAAATTTTTAAAGTTTTCTTAAATTTTTAAAATTTTCTTAAAATTTTAAAGTTTTTTTAAATTTTTTAAAATTTTATTAAATTTTTTAAATATTTCTTAAATTTTTTTTATTAATTTTTTAAATTTTTCCTGAATTTTTTAGAATTTATTAAAATTTTTCCAGATTTTTTCCAAGTGTTTTACGTTATATGTAAAAATATTTAAAGTCCATTACGGTGTACGACGTAAGGTTAAAATATGCCCTTTTCTATGGGTCGGGTGTTGGATTTATACTAAGTCCAGTACGTCATATTTTTGAAATTTGCGCCTTATCGCATGCGAGAGTTTTGCCAAAATGAAAAAGTGAAAAAATCGCATGCGACAAAATCTGAAAAAAATCTTAAAAATTCAGGAAAAATTGGAAAAACTCAGAAAAAATTCGGAAAAAATCGGGAAATTAGCATACTTTCAGAAACTTTCCTTTGCACGCAGTATATAAGTCGGAACGGACGGGATCGGCCGACTATATCCTATATAACTGATTGATCGGAAATGGTATAACTTTGGTGTTTTTAGAGTTAGAGAGTTCAAATTTGACATGATAGCTATTTTTGGCAAAACATTATGACATGCCAAATTTCATAAGGATCGGCCGACTATATCTTATAGCTGCCATATAACTGAACGATCGGAAATGACCCAACTTTCGTGTTTTTGAAGATAGAAAGCTGGAACTTGGTACAGATTATATTTTTGGTCAGTTAATCCGACCTACGAAATTTCATTAGGATCGGCCGACTATATCCTATAGCTTCCATGTAACTGAACGATCGGAAATGGTATTTGGTAGAAATATCAACTTTCGTATTTTTGAAGATAGAAGCTTGGAACTTTTTTTTGATTTTTTATTGTAATTAATTGGTTTTATTATGATGTAATCATAAGGATCGGCCACCTACATCCGATGTTTGCGGTACATACGGTTTTAACTGCAAGGGTATATCAACTTCGGCTCCGCCCGAAGTTAGCTTTCCTTTCTTGTTTTAAGTGCTTTTTGTGCCGAATTGAATTTTATGTAAGTCATAAAATGACTTAATAATCGGTGGTGTGACCCCTGACCATGTTGGCATGACCCCTGGCCGGAGGCTGTAATAATTTCTGGTTCTTTGGGAGCCACATCCCACGGAACTTGTTCCGACCAGGCTGTACACTATGGAAAATTTTACCACTTTTTCTGGACAAAATTAATATTTTATCTCAGAACCGAAGCAGGATTTTTAAATACGGTTTTTTTTTTCAGTTGTTTTTTTTTACATTTTTTGTTGCTTAAAATATTTACTTTAATAATTTTATATTAGCTAATCTTACAAGTTGATTAGTTGTGCCTTTTTTTAAATTTTTTTTAATAAATCGTAATATCGTATATATGTGCATGTATGATATTCACATGCACATGCATCCCATCATGATTGGCATTATCTAGACGCAGGGGGTACACCTGGACTGTGAGTTATTTTATTTCGCTTAGATATTTTCTTTGAAAAATTTCCTTATTTTAATTCACGTATATTCCTTTTTAAAGAATGGTTTTTGGCCAGAAAAGGCCCCCTTGGAAGATATGAGGTGGTTGTGATGTATTACCCAAATGTGGTTAGAGACCTTAGGTGCCGTGATCCCACAGATCGAGAGAGGGGTAGATAGGCCTTACCGAGGATTAGGTCATTCCTGAACCTTAAGGGCTTAGAGATTAGGCCAGGTGGCCAGTGATCACGTAACCATTAAGACTTTTAAACCCTTGCACTGTACGAGTTCCAGGTATCTTGGTATCTTGCATCTAATCTTGGTCACACTTATCTAATCGAAGTAATAAACTTATATTATATATATGAAATAAATGTATGATATACTTGTAAAGGGGAATACCACAAATTTATTGACACTTTTCAGTTTCATGGCTTATAATATACAAACAGTTGGTATATATTATAAGAATATAATAATACTGAGCTTAAAACTGGTTGGCAAAGTCCAGAAAGTCGGTTTTGAAAGCCTCGTCGAAAACGAATTCATTGCCGGAGAGGGTAAGCTTGAGGCTCACATTCGGATTGTCGACCTCGTCCAGCTTCTGCCAGATCTGCTCTAAAAAGCGGTTCAATTGTTTAAAGCTGGTCTGGTTAGATCGGACGTGAGACTGATAGAAAGGGGATATTAATTGGCTTAAAGACTTAAGGTTATATGTAGTTTAGTTTGGTGGTTACCTCGAGCAAATCCTCAACGGACTCGACCTCAATCCTTTCGGAAACACATCCATTATCCTCGAATTTGGCTACAGCCAACTGATTACCTCCACAAAAGTAGGTCTGAAGGACCCACGAAGGACAGCGAAAAGAGGTTCGCCATTTCACATAGCTTTTAACGACCCTTACGGTGGTCAAAGAGCACTTTTCCAGCTCCTCGGGATCAGTGCTGTGGATCAGTAAATAGGAATTATTATTATTTATAAATTGTCTAAATTCAACTTACAGATCACCGAGCTTTTCGGTGTTTGTAACTCCAACAACCTCGCATGAGTAGAGCAATCGGAATTTCCCAATTCGAGCGGAGAACATTCCATACATCTGGTCCCTCTGGTCTACTGGGGCATTCGTATCGGGTAGTTTTCCTGGCTCATCTAGATGAAAATTTTAAAACACTATTTAAATTTAAAAAACCATTAAATAACTTACCACTAAATAGGTACTGGCGTGCCTTAAATGAGTATGAATCACGGGCGGAAGCTTCAACATTTTCTTGTAGTATCCTTAGAAAGATACATCCTTTAAACCTGAAGGCCTCCATTGACAGATCTTTGGTAAATGATGTCCTTGGCTTGGCGGTAGTTAGCGTTAGTAGTACTTTGCGGGAGCAAAAGATGTCAAAGTCCTGCCGAATAAACGCCAATTTGTCGACGTGCTCAAAGTAGTACTGCACCATGTCAAATTCACCGGGATAATCGTTGTTCCGATGGACAAAGGTCTCATAGTTTTTGGTCAGATCCAGGGGATACTCCTTATCCTCAGGCACTCGAAGGTATTTTATGGTTGATGTCGGTAAAAACTTGTGACTTTCCGGGTCGAAATGCAAAAGGCTTCGCAAACGAATGTTGCTGAACTCCATTATTTCTTGATTCTTGATTCTGGCTTATTTTTAAGAAAAAGATTACAAATGATTTATCCTATTTCCTAACTTCCTATTTCTGGAAGTTTCTGACTGGTTTATGTGAAACCCTTTCTTGAGTTATTCCACGGAATGTAAAAATATCCCCTTTTGCACTTCGTTTTCTTTTTAAGAATGTGAAAACAATTTTATTTGACAAATTTTAAATGAACGAAAATTAATCGGTTTTGGCCAAGAAGCGATTTGAACCAACAATGTTACTGTTTGTCACTGAACTGCTTCGGCATTTTGGCGAGCTATTCTTTAAGGGGACCCCCCCCATTCTCGATTTTAAATTTTGACGATTTTCAATGGGCTGGCAAATGAACATAAATTATTTTTTAGGGTTGTAACTGTGCTTACATATATTAAGACACAAAAAGGAAGAAAATCATTTCACAGAATTTTTTTTTGTTTTGTTTTTGTTGTTGTTTTTTGTGATCAAAGAAAAGTCCTTCTTTTCGGCGGCGCATGTGATTTCCGCTCACTGGAACATCTGAATCCAAAAATTCCAACGGGATTAGAAAAAGTACATGTTTGGCTCTCGTATGAACTAGGATTATTAACTTCGCTCAAAAATTAACAAAATGGTGGACCTTTGAAATTTTTTTTTTGAAATTTCCATTTTTTTCAGCCACAAATCGAGTTGAAAAGTAAGGAAGATCTTCACCGATTCGATTTATCCTAGTTCATACGAGAGCTATATATGTATAGAATAACGTGTTAAAATTTGGAACCGATTGGATTAATAGTTTTTGAGTAACCTCATGCGCCAGTCGTAAAAACACTGTTTCAAGAAAAACGCGTTTAAAGTTTTGAGATGGCTCTCGCCGTCGCCTGAGGCTTCCACCATAAAGCGGCTATATCTTTAAGAGTTTTTGAAATTTTTACTTGAAATTTTCAGGGAACATTCTTGAATAGTTACAAGTTCGAATTAAATTAAAAAAAAAAAATCGATTTTTTAAAACCGAGAATGGGGGGGGTCCCCTTAAGTAAACTGCATTTATTGATAAGCAGCATTGATAAGCCATCTAAATACAATATTGAATGTAACACAACTTTTATAAACACATATGTATAACCAGGCCCGTCGAGAGGGAATTTCGGGCCCCCATCGGATTATCCAAGAGCTCACTCTGGCGAAACTGCCGACACAGAGTCTTACCGGATGCCCGTGCATAGCCCCATAGGTTTGCCGCTTTAAGATCCAATTACGATGTTCGATGGGCACGATGGGCATCTCTTGGGCATCTCGTCACCTGGTTCCTCAGCCAGAGCAAGGTTATGATCTGTTACAAGTTCTTCCTCATTTGCTCCTCATTTGGCAGAGCTTGTTCCAGAACCCTCTTGGATGCATTTTCTGCTTGATATGCTTGAAGTGGAGCATACTCCTCCAATTTTTGTATTCGTGAGTGCATAAGTACTTTGTTCGGCAGTTGATGTCATCACTGAGCCTGTATTTACGGAGTTTGGGTCGTGGAACGTAATGATTTCCCCTCATTGGGGAATTAGGTTGGCAATCTTCCTCCATAAGTGGTTCCTCCATATTACTCCATAATCGAATTTCCAAGACTCGATCCTGGTGCAGCTAAGGTAGTCGATACTATTAGTGCCCTGCCCTAAAGTATGCCCCACCAGATTGTCTTGAAGAATTTCAGGAGCTCTTTAAAGTATGCAGTTGAGATCCAATGGTTTACTGTCCCAGGAAACAGGGCTCTCAACAACAGGTGCTCCCGGTTTCGGAAACGGCTCTTGGGTTACCTTATGGTACAAGCCCATGGTTCTATAGAAAGAGAACATATAGTATAGTATAGTATAGTATAGTATGTGGATATATTTTATAAAAGTTAAAATTCTGATTAACGTGGCCTGCACGTTTTATGTAAATATAATAATTTGCAAAGTTTGCAAGATTTTTTTTTTTGCCTTTTTCAAACTGAAATTGCACAATCTGCTGCATTTTGTTTATACCAGGAAAGATCTATTTACGTATAGTACTGTGTTCAGTTTGATAAACAAAATTGGGGTAGGTTAAATAGATTTACAATTAGCCATTATCACGACCTGGTAGTATCTATTACCTGCCACTTGTTAGTTAATTTCTAGTTCATGACTAACAAGTATACGTATTTCACATGATATATCAATGGAAGACATAATCTTGGGACGTGTTCTTTTAAAGATATTTCCTCTATGGAAAATTCTAGAAGCAAAAAATAAATATTCTAAAAATAATATATCAGTTTTCTGATTGGAGAAGATTCTGGAAAATCGGAAAACTACGTTTTAGGGTAGGTGATGGGGGTTGCTACCCTTCGTCATTATTTTGTGGATACCCCAAACTGCCAATTTATTTATTTCACAAGACGAAAGGTAATTTTCTATAATTTATATTGTTGTGACTGCCCCTGGCTCACCCTTGACTCGTTATCGATCAAATTCACTTGCCAATGCAACAGCTGTTTGTTTGTTGGGGCTTCTTTTTGTATGGGGTGGGGGGGGGGGATGGGTGGTAATGGGGGTAATAAGGGGGTTGGAACGACCCAAGAGGGGTGACACGCAATCAAAAGGCACTCACTCATTCACGAGTGGAAATTTCCATTGCAATTTTTCGAGGAATGTACATATTGCGGCTTCTCTTAACCCAACTGGAGCTTCAATCGAAAAGTGTATTTTGTTTTAATCGAAATTTATTCCAGCAATTGTCTACATTTTTGCAGACAACTTTCAAATAAATAAAAATGCATATCAATTACCATTAATTGATCAAACCGAATCAGCTTTAGTTTTGGCCGATTTTCATTTTCACTTTTTTTTTTGCCAACTTTTCCAGCGCAGCCGGAACGACCCCACCGGGCACGAATGGGTTTAATGGCAGTTGCTCTCTCTTTCGCTCCATGCGATTTTTCGTTAATGCAAATGGCATTTGGATACAAAAACGAGAGAGAGAGAGGGAGAGCGACAGCGCGGGTAGAAAGGGGGGGAACTGACTAACTCACTTACTCATGTTGCCTGTCTCTGTCTCTGTCTGGGTTCTCCATATATAATTGCATTGCCAGCGCAAAATAAGAACACACTGGAAAAAAAAATTCAAAGTAATAAAATATTTAAAATTGTTTTAAAATGTTTTAAAATTATTATTAAAATATAAAATTAAAGAGTCACAATATTTATAATTTTTATATTAGTTTAATAAATTTTTGTAGAAGATTTTCTCTCAGTGTTGAAGCTCAAAAACGTCAGTGTCCTCTTTGGTTTTTGGTCTGCGGTCGTAATTTGTAAAAAAAAAAAGCTAAAAAACCAAACAATTGCATGACAGAGCATAACTTTTCTTTTTTTAATGGGTTTTCTTTCTTAAAATTAAGCACAGGATATACACGTAAAAAAAAACAGCAGGTAAAGTGAAAAAAGGGGAAAGTCACTTTGTAATACACTGGAAGAAAGTTCTATAGATTGGAACCCACTATGAACGATTCACCACCACTGTGTCCACTGATTGCATGGCTCCGGGTCCGGAGCTTCCGTTTCCGTTGCTGGTACCGTTATTGGCAGGTGATTCGTTTGTAGGGGAGGAGGGGGGTAGCCCCACCAGCTTCTCACTTTCCCGCCACAACCAGTCGGCGGTGTCGGTGCTCCTCGCCCACGGCACCAACGGCCAGCGAATACAATCCGAATAGTAGCCGCCCGTGGAGCCCTCCATCGAGGGATCGAGGGCCAGCTTTAGTGTTGTTTGGGCACCAGCTTTGGGCGTCTTGATGAGATAGATGGACAGCACCTCGAGGGCGCTCTTCATCCAGGCGGGGCCGGAAAAGTGGCGATTCAGCTCCGTGCGCACCACTCCCGGATGGCAGCAGTTCACCGTCACGCCCGTATCCTTGAGCATAGTGGCCAGTTTGCGGGTAAACAGGATGTTGGCCAACTTGGACTGGCTGTAAGCTCCAAGGAACTTGCTGTACTTCTTCTCGCTCATCAGATCGTCACGGTTGATCCGCCCCAACAGGTGGGCCGCCGAACTGACCACCACAATCCGGCTGGGGGCACTCTGCTTGAGGCGATCCAACAGGAGGTTGGTGAGCAGGAAGTGGCCCAGGTGATTGACGCCCAGTTGCTGCTCGAATCCGTCAGCGGTCAGGGAGCGGGGACAGGCCATAACGCCGGCATTGTTGATCAGCAGATCCAGCCGGGTCTCCTCGGCCTTGAAGCGTTCCACGAAATTCCGGACGGACTGCAGCGAGCCCAGGTCCAGGGTGCGGTTGAAGAGTTGTTGGTTTTGGCTCTTCTTCATGATCTCCAGGCGGGCGGCCTCGCAACGTCCCGGATCCCGACAGGCCATGTAGACTCTAGCTCCTCGCTTGGCCAGCTCTAGAGCGGTCTCTTTTCCAATACCCGTATTGCATCCCGTAACGATTACGACCTGGAATTAAAAATGATATTATAATAGATCTGGGGACTAGAGATGAGATCCCTTACCTTTCCATCTATTCTGTTGGTCTTGCGGTATATGGGTCCTTGGATGAACTTGCGCAGCAACCACATTATGGCCGAAACGAAGACGACTATGAGAAGAATCAGCACAAACCAGGCCCAGAATCCCCGGAAGCAGAGAGTCTTCTCAGCAGACTCGGCCGCGGGATCGAAACCAGGTGGAAAGGGTGTGCCTGATCCAGATCCAGGTGCTGAGGACATAGCTACAGGTAACCACTATGTCGACTAATTCTTCTCGGGTCTCTCTTCTCAAGATCTGAAAGAGTGGGGCGGCGGGCTGTGGAGGGAGGAAGAAAGAAAGTTTTTTTTAGAGAAATGGGAAATCATGAATTTTAAGTGCACCTGCCCTAAACTGGTTTTGGTAATTCAGATAAATTCTGAGATTAAATTGAGGAACTCTGCCCGACTATTTAGGTCATTTATAAAGTAAGAAAATAGTTAATTTTAAGCAAATTTTTAATAAATAGTTTAATTGTTTACTTTAGGAATCAATTCCAGTCATTGTTATTCAAATCAAGCTTCAACTTTCATTTCCATTTCTTTCTTTTTTTTTTTTTGGCAACTTACCTGTTTGGGAATTGGACTTTAATGGATATTTTCCTAAAATTGGAGAACTATAGAAACTGGAGCTCTTTTTTGGATCTGGAGCTGGTGGTGGTCAGGTGCCGATTTCGCACATTTCCAGGGACACAGGGCTTTCGTTTGCTCGACCAGTTAGTACGATAGGCCTATATGATAACTAGTGGGGGCTTCTACTGGGTTCGTGTCCAAGCGAGGCGCGAGATCTTGGCCAACTGACTGCCGCGGTCTTGGACTCCAGTTGCTCGGAGAGCTCAGCCCGTGTTAAGGCGTCAAAAACAACCTGTCTGTTATTAACATGAGACGCTACTAGGGTGAACTTTCGTGACCTACATAAATATATATATTATAAATATTATTAAAAAAAATTAATAAAAAATCTTAATTATTAAATGGTTACCCCTTAACCCCGCTGATAAGTCGTATAAGTTAGTATTTTTATTATCTGTTGAGGTTCATCCTAATGCTTCTCAGTCGACGTCGCTGCTGCTAGTTGTTAATGTTGTTGTTGTTGTTTTTGTTGTTGTTGTTGTGGCCAACATACCAAAGAAGAGCTTCAATTTCATTTCTTACCAATTTGGCTTTCTGGCTCTTTGCTTTTCTTATGCGAGTGCACAAGAAACTTTCACTGGTTACCCCCCCCCCCCCCCTCCCCCTCACCCCTTCTGGCCAATCTCCAATCGCTTCGTTTGTTTTGCTCCGTCATTCTGCCATTCTTCAAGCCAAGCTCGTGCCCCGCTTCGCTGCCTCTGGTGGGCACCTCCTCCTTTCCCACCTATTGTTGTTTCTTCACCTTGTTCGCGAATACTCTTTCTAAAGGTATTCCCAAAATATCGGTAAACGGGGAGAGTTCTTGGACGGATCTAAAACTTTTGCTCTTCTTCCTTCACGGTCTTCTTGATCCTTTTTAGTTGTTTTTTTTTTGTGAAAAAGCTTTGTTTTTCTTTTTTAATTTAAAAATAAAAGAAATATAGATTAAAGAGTGATTAAAACAGCACTTAATCTTTTATTTTTTTTGGGGATAAACTGAACAAGAAAGGATAATTAACAGAAAGGATCTGAAAAAGTAAGTGCATTTCTGAGATGAAGCTTTTCAAGTAAATTCCGTTTTTACCGAAATAAGGGTAGTTTTTTTTTAAATATTTTATAATCTAAAGTTTTAAACTAAAACCAATACATCATTTTTTTGCAATCAACAAAAAAAAATTGCATTTCTAGACGTCATTAGACAAGCCCCATTCAAAGAAAAAAGCTTTATGACAGAAAATAATAATTACTGTAATTTTAATATACGTTATTAATAAACTTTAGTTATAGAATTTTACTTTTGACGCAAAAACACAATAATCAATAAAAAGAAAAAGAAAATCAAAAGCAACCAGAGTTGAATGTCCTTGACACGAGCCGAAAAGCAGAGTCGCAGGGGTCACGGGACCAGCTGCCGGCTTTTTCTCACGTTTTGTTTTGCTGGAAAGAGAGGGGAAAACAATTGTAAAAGAATTTGTAAAGAATCTTAAGACTAAAATCTTTTTGTTAAATCATTAAAATATAATAATTTCCAAAGAATTTCTTAACTTTATTTTCTTAAAAAAAAAAAAAAACATAAAGACCTCCATACCTTGAAAAGGGGGAGGCAATGGGCTATAAGAGAACCAGAAAGGAGAGAGCAAGAATGGAGAGTGTGAGAGAGAGAGTCTAAGCAGGGAGAGAAATAGCGCAACTTTGACTAGGTCAGGACATGTGGCGTCGTCGTCCTGCTCACCCCCTTTCTCCCCCCTCCTTTCTGCATTGTTTAATCGATGAACGGTAGAGCGTAATCCTTGCCATCTCCCTCGCTCCCTCTCTGTTTGCATTGGGGGGCTTTGCGTTGGGAATTTTCCACTGCACGATAATGGGCGAAATCGTTGTCGAGGGGCGTGGCAGGCATTGTTCAATTGAGAATATTAATTCAATTCCTGATTGAGGCGAATATATTTCAATGAGATGAGCATGAGAACGAAATAAAGGGCCACGTGATAAGAAATATAGGGTTTTTTTTCTTTTTAATTATTATTATTATTATTATTTTTACAGTGTTTTTAATTCTTATAACTCGAGGAGTATAATTGAATGAAAACAAGACGTGGATGAATTAATCGGAGCCCCATTATAAAACAAAACATAATACAAATCGTTTTCCATTGTATCTTCTTCCAATGGGGGGGGGTGAGGGGATCGAACTGGAAATTGTTCAATTCAGCATCACGTTGAATGCGGCACGCGCGGCACTAAATGTAGCATGGAATGGTGGTGGGGCTAGGGGGCTAGCGGGGGGTACGAGTCACAAAACCTGTTGCCTATCTTAGAAACTACAAAACAAAACACCAAAAAAAAAAACAAAAACAAAAACGCTTTTCATAAAGTGATTCATCCAATTAGTCAATCGAATAGTACCATATAGTACCTATAGACAAGACTTGGATTTATGGATGCAGAACATTATAATATCTGCGATGTTTACGCTCGATATCTTTCCGGCTATTTATGGTCATGTGAACTTGAAAAGCTGCCGCATCGTATCGAAAACAATGTAGTAACCGCCTGGAACTGGTTATGGAACACGCCACAGATAAGAACCAATAAGGGTTTCATAATAAAAGAACTGATCTACACTTTATAACAGCGTTTCAGATCTGAGAACCTAAAAGATAGAAGATACATTGATAATATTAAGGTGGAATAGTGTGTTTAGATGAAATATATACGAGGTATACCATTTATCTCAGAATCACTTGAAAGATTATAAGATCTATCTAAATCTTCTATCTCTAAAACTGTAAAATAAATATTAATTAAGAAGAAATATTACTAAAGATAGTAATATAACAGTTACTAATGATAATATACCTTATATATTTGAATTTCAGATCAAAAAAACTCAAAAAATATCAGATATATTGATAATAATTAGGTAGAATAGTGATTTTAGATGAAATATATACGAGATAAACACTTTATCTCAGAATCACCTATAAGATTATTAGATCTATCTAGATCTACTATCTGAAAAACCCAAAAACCCTAGTAATTAGGTAGAAAAGTTATTAAAGATAATAATATTCACTTAATATCTTACTTTTAGCTCAAAAACCCTAAAGATATGATACATTTTATAAGAAATGATATGAAGATATATCTAGAATCTGAATGTATACCTTCTGAAACCCTAAAATAATAGATAATAATTTAATAAAGATAATAAATAAAATATAGATAATAATATAATAGTTTCAGATGACTTTCAGAACTAAAACCCGAAAGATATGTTAAATTTTATGAGAAATGACGATAAGATCTATCTAGAATTTAGAATCTTGAATTCTAGAAACTTCTTAAACACTAAAATAAATACTAATTAAGAAGAATAGTTAGTTTTATGTAATAATGATAGTTACAGATAATAATATACATTATATATCCGACTTTCAGATCAAAAACGCTAAAGATATGCTGAATTTTATTCGAAATGAATATAAGATCTATCTAGAATCTGATAGATATCTGCATGCATGAACATATAACTTCTGAAACTCTGAAATAAATACTAATTAAGTAGAATTGTTATTTTTAAATGGGATTGCAACTGTGCAAGCAAATACATATATGTATATTTTTCTTTTTTATATAAGAGGCAAGACCTTCAAAGTTATATACTACATATATACAAATACTGTCGAGTTCTGGACCTTTTCGATTTAAATTTCTGGGTCTATTGTGTGAGGTACCCATTCCCATTACCATAACGCCACTGGATGCGGTCGGGTTGCACAGCTGTTCTTTATTTAATATGCAACATTTCGCTTCCGCTAATTTGCCGCATGCGCGAATCAGAACAAATCGAAATTGAAAACGTCAACGCACAGAAATTGAATCAGAGTAACAGTGACTGAATCACAATCAGCTCTAACTGGTCACAGAATCACAGATCGTATAACCGATCGTTCATAAAAAAAAATATTCATATGTATGTCGATATATTCATTTCATGGTCAATGTTCCATCGCATTCTAGGGTTTCTTTCAATTTATGGATCTTTTTCGACCCGTGATCGTACGTACGTACCCCTTTCGAGTTCTTAATTGAAAATTTCCAAACGTTCTCTATATATGTATGAGAATTTTTCATATATATGTACATATATTTCACGTAACAATGACATAGATTTTATCTTTTTCTATCTTTTCTCAGCAATTCGGTTCGACGCCACTGTGTCCAAAGGTCAAGGTTATTGAGGCGGCAGAAGCCGTGACGCTCTCAATTCGGGCACTCGAGTGTGTGACTCAAAAAAGCAAACGTATGTATGTATACACGGCGTATACTTAACGCGACAGTGATCGCTCTAGAAGAGTACTTTACAAGAGTACTATGCATTTTTGGATTCTTTTCTTTCTTTTTTTTTTGTATGTCTTTTTGGTTTTCTTTTTCGTTTGGTTGTTTCCGCATACCATCAGCCGTGTCGGAGGGAGATGGGTAGCTAGTCTAATTGCAGCGACTGAATTGGGGGGTGCCTCCCAACCCCCCGCCCTGCGCCCGCCCACACATGACGCATTTTTTGCGCACTTGGCTGCAGTTGCAGCTTTCTCCTCTCTCTCTCTCGTGCTCTCTCTCTCTCTCGCCGACATTTAAAATAGCTTTTCGCGTGCAAATGAAATTACATACATATGGTATTCTTGATTTTTATTCTTTTTTTTTTTTATTTAATTTAGTTTTTTATTATTTTTTCTGGTTGCCATTCTTTTTTCGTTTACTGTTGTGTATGCTTGTGTAATTACAAAAAGTTACTAACTAAGAAATAAAAAAAAAATAATACAATAAAATAAACCGAAAAATAGCTTAAATGTAGGTTTTTTTTTCGTCTCTAGGTACATTCTTGTATACATATTTATATAGATATGTATTCATATATACATATGTATATATTTTTTATTTTATGTGTATATAATATTTTAAGTCTGTTTTTCAGCTGCTTTTGTTTGATTTAACTTGCTCTGTTAATTTTTTTAAAATTTAATTTTGTGTTTTTTTTTGCTTGTTCGCAATGCTTAAAAAGTATATTGTCAATTGCTCTTACTAATTATGCAATTACAGTGTATAAATAAACACAAAAAATAAAATAAAATCAAATCTATTTAAAATCTGTTTTTTTGCTTAATTGTTTTGTCTAGATTTTTGTTTTCTTGTTTTTGTTTTTGTGGATTTTGTTGTACAATGCAATTGGCAGTTGCAATTACTGTTCTCGTTACAATATTATATATTATGTATATTTAAAAAAAAAATGGTTATTTAAAAATAAAATAGGGGGTTTTTTGGAAGCCTGATATACACACATACAAACATATATAAAGTTTTTTTTTGTTAATGTTTTTTTGTTACTTTTTGTATGTTTTAATATTACATAATTAGTTCGAATTAATTATACCGTTGATTAAATAAAATATTCTCAATTATTTATCAACAACCGTCAACGTTTTTTTTCTATTCTAATCCAACTCTCTGCTTTCTGCTTTCTCCTTTCTCTTCCCATCTCCTGCCGTCGTCGTTTACTCACTCCCAGTCTGTCCTCTCTCTCTCTCTCTGTCTCTGTAGCTGGCTGGTAGCACTCTCTGGTAGGGATCACCTGTAGTGATCTCAGGTATTAGTGGTCCTGCTCTCTCACTCTCTCTCTTTCTCTCTAGCCCGGTGAGGAGGTGCAGCGTCGCAGCCGCATTTTCAGCCGGCTGCCGGCGCTACCGATGCTGCTGCTGCGCCTACGCTTCCCCCCCGTTAGCTGCTCCATGGAGCTGCCCACCGCAGAGGCGGCCGCTGAACCCGAGGCCTCGCCATCTCCGTCACTCTCCCTTCGGGAGTGAAAGGGCGAGTGGGCGAGGAACTTGCAGTAGCGCCGGAAACGTCGCGACAGGCGACTAACCATGCCCCTATGATCCTTGCCGCCCTCGGCTAATCCTGCCTCCTCCCAGCTGTTGTTGTTGCCGCCAATTAGAGTTGCACTTCCGCCTGTATTGTTATCGTTGTTGTTATTGTTGTTGTTGTTGATATTGTGGTTGTTGTACTGTTGCTGTTGTTGTTGTTGTTGCTGTTGCGGTTGTTGCTGCGAATTTGGAGCCTGTTCTCATGACCGTTTGCCGCTATCCTTGCGGAAGGATTTGCGCAGCTTGTCGACCAACCGGAGATGGAATTTGGTGTAGTCGTTCGAGGATTCACCGCCGGTGGCGCCACTAGAACTCTGATTTTTTAAATTCAGCTGCGCCGCTGCCTGGGCGGCCGCTTGTCGTTCCAGAGCCGAGGCGGTGGCCGAGCGACTGGGCGGACTGGACCGTGTGGGCGATATCATTTGCATGTGTTGCATCGAGCCGTGGGAGCTGCGGGAGGTGTTGCGGGGAAAGGCGCGCGAACTGTTGGAGCGCTGCATGTGCAAACGATGGGAATTGGAGCCGCCGCCGCCGCCTACGCCGCTGCCGCTGCCGATGCCACCACCAAAGTGCGATGGACTCGCCGCAAAGCTTTCCGACTTGCATTCGGACACCTTGCGGCGCCGTTGCGAATGGGGGGCACTGCCCGGTGGGGCGGGTGTGCCGAGGGCAGAGGCCAGGGCCGTGGTGGTACCGTTACTGCTGGCATTCGAGCACTCGGACGTCTTGCGGGACCGCGTGTCCTTGTAAATGTCGTAGTTGTTCTTCATAACGGGCATCATGAACGCCATGGTTCTATCTTTTTTTAAACACAAAACAAAAATAAATAATTCGAATTCGCTTTCCGTTTTGCCGCTTTTCGTTTTATATTTTTATTTTTAAAAATAAATTGTTTTTTTTTTCGTTTGGTCTGCGCGCCGTTTATTTTTTTTTTTTTTGTGATTGACTGTCGGGACCCGTTAGCACGCCAAGTACGATGGGCAGTTTTTGACTATTTTTGCGAAATCGGCGAGCGGCGTTGCCTTATATAGTCGGCGCTCTCCCGCAACAGCGACTCAACACAGTGGGGTGGCTGAGAGCATCCAAGTGTTAAATACCATTAATTAACATTAATTTCTCAATCACGGGATATCGTGTTGAAAAGGATATAAATACAATTAGTTGGATTCTGTTGGATTGATTTAAACCTCTTGAAAATATACTCTTTTTTCTTAATTATTTCTTAAATCTACTTATTTCTGTCTAGTAACCCCATTGTGCAGTTCTGTTGTTCTCACAGCAACTGTTAACCGATTACAACATGGGCATTACAGCATCGGTTATGTTACAGGGAGTTAGTTTAGGAATTAATTACTCAAGAGTTTGCCCAAAATATGTTTTAAAATTATTAAAAAAAAACATAAAAATATGTATTTCATTAAATGATGTCATATAGAAGTGGAAACTCGTTAAATCAATGTAACAGAATCGGTTGAATCGGTTAACAGTGGTTCAGAGAGTCGCGCTTGGAGAGCGCCTGCGCAGAGAGAGAAAAGTGCCTACGTGTATTTGTGCGCGGCGTCACTGTAGTAGGTTTACACGGCGAACAGATAACGCGAACTTTACAAAAGGTGAAAACAGGTCAACGGCTTACCTTGTAGAACTGAAAATATTGCAGAAATTACAATTGTGTTTCCAGGCAGCTTGTCAGTCGTCTTGACGTCGTTCTTATCTCTTAGATATCTTAGATACTCGTAGCCCATAATCATGATTGATTGCCAACGGTGGGCTGGTTAAGCTTTGAATCGTGATAAGAGTCCAATTCACAAGTCCAAGTCGCATGCAAATTGTTTAGACCCCGGATTTTAAAGAATAAAGTCCCCCAGATAAAACAAAACTGTATTTATATATGTTTTTTTTTTTTACTTGTCACTTTAATGAATAGTTTTCAATTAACGTTCTGTATGCCTTTTACATCAAAAAGCATCGTCTTCGTTTATTTGAAATCGTTAAATGATGAGAGTGCATATATATTTATTAATTTATTTCCATTTGCTTTGCCCATCTGGTTTTTTTTCGGTTTTTTTTCATATGAATGCATTAATTTTGATAACAACAATTATTTTATAATTCTTCTTAATTAAACGTTCACTTTCCTTCGTCTTGTTTTTCATTTAAATGCATTTTTTTTAACAACAACTTTTCGTCTTTTGTTTTTCTTCTAAGTTATATATATAAAAAAAAAAATTTTATTAAAAAAAGTAAGAAAAAATGTATTCATCAAAACAAGATTCGGAAGCTGGAATGAAACTTATGTTTAAATGCATATACATATATGTATGTATGTAAATCCATCTATATAAATGTATGTGCGAATATATATGTATATATTATAATATATATATTGTTGAAATTATTGTACAATTTGTTTAAGATCATTTATGGATTCATCTATTATATAAAACATATATGGTGCATTTTGTGCATCTTCACCACTTTCAGCAGGAAAAAAATAAAAATAACTAAAATTATATAATCCGAATCGAACTCTGTACTTAGTTCTTCCATAAGTGATTCGATTTTTTGTTCAGAGTTCTTAAATTTCTTCGTTAAACTCGTTCAGTTCTCTGCAAAAAGCTCCCATTTTATGATCCTTTCATGCTAATTATGTTTTTTGTTTTTTTGTATAATTTACCTATAAGTTTTTCTTAAATTTGGATTTTTATATTAATTTTAACTTTAGTTTATTATGTTTTTCTTCATTTAGATGAACGTCCGTTGTCCGCTAAGTTCAATAGATTTTTAGGAATTTCAAAGACTAGCTAGGTGTTTATGTTTTTTTTTGTTTTTTATTAAATTTATAGTTTGATTTAGGTTTCGTTTTTCTTGGGATCAGATAATTGAAGGAATTAATTCGTGATATCTTTGGCGCATGAACCGAGGGGTAACCGACTTACTCAACCGGTTAGTGGCCCCCAAAAAAGAATTTTTGGAAATGTTTTCGAAAACAAAAAAAAGAATCTTTGAAATTCGCAATTGCCGCCTATCTCGAATGGCATTTTCTTTTTGTGTGTGCTGGCAGTTGTGTTTTCATTTCTAAACATACATATAAATATTTAACTTTATAGATCTGCAATAAAAAAAAAAAATGCCATTATCCTTTTGTATCCAAATACTGTCATCTAGTTTCGACTTAATATTTACAACAAACTAACTAATACGTTTCCTAAAAACGTCCAACTAAAGGCTACTTTATGTGTGGGCATGATCGAACCTAAAACGAATACAACACTCGTCCTTCGTCCTTCGTCCTTTTTAGAATTCTAGAATCTAGATTTTAGATGTAAATCTTTATATATAAATATTTTGTGTGGGTGTATGAGCAACCATCACCAGCCGAATAGAAAAAAACGAATAGAACTCGTTTGTAGATCGTTATTCAGATATATAATATATAGGTATATATATTTATATATTAGTAAATAGTATTATGGGTCTGGGGGAAATCGGGGGAACCCCAAAACACACGTTCTGAAAGTGTAAGTCTATGGGTTCTGGATTTGTCTGAGCGAGTTAACAAACTACACACAAAAACACCGACTTAAAGCTACAATCCCATCCGATCGGATAATGTCCGTCGAGTTTCGATCATACAACATCGTATTAGAGAGATCACATACATATATATATATATAATATATATATATATATATATTTTAAAATTGCCAGCGAAATGATTAGCGAAAAAAAGACCTCTGTCTATATGGATTGCTATTAATGTATCTAGTATCTGGTAGAGTGAGTTTTTTAGGTTTTTGCTAGATTACCATTTATATATTTTATATATATTTTTATAAAAAAAACATTATCCTATCCATCATCATCATCATATACATGAGCTCTATGTAGTACCGAGTATTGTATTTCAATATGTATTATGGGTTCAGATTTCAGTTATTATTGAAGTCGAAAGGAAACACTTCTCCACATTTTAACAACCACTCTGCTTGAGGTACATTAAGGATATAGACCTGGGGCCTTATAGTTTAGTTTAGTGAGTATAGCTCTCTACCCAGAAGATCTACATAAGAACAGAACCGCTTTACTTTCTGTCCGGAAACTTGCGATTACGAGAACTGGATCCATTGTCCCGCCGACTGAACTCTCCCATTTGGTTCTGTTCAAAGGATAGATAGATATATAGGGTTCATTGGAGTTATAGCTAAGATGTCCTGACACTCACCCTAGAACCAGCACCTCCTTTGACATTATGACCCAACAGGGAGTGGGTCTCATCCGCATATATCCTGGAAATGATATATCTTTTAAAGAAAGAATCTCTCATCTAAGGACTTGAAACTCACCTGCCCTCTGCCGAAGTTTCAGGATCGAGGAGCGGCAACATGTCCTCGCCATGCTCCGCCGATGGCAGGGACTCGCTGCCCGTTCCAGTGCCAGTACCAGTGCTGGTGTCTCCTGCACCGGCTGTCGAGGATTCGTCCCGCTCCGCCTCATGGCACTCGCACTGGCAGTCCTCCGGCTTCACGTAGTTGTAGTGCAACTTGTCGCCTCCATCCGCTCCTAGTTTTGATTGCTGCTGATGGTGGTGGTGGTGATGGTGACCCGAACCGCTGCGATGGCCGCTCCCGCAGGCCGAGGAGGAGCTGGTGGTGGTCACGGCGGCGCCCCCAGAGGCAGCACCAGCCCCTGCCAGCGATTCCTTGGGCAGGGCCGTAATCCGTTTGGCGGGCTTTCGCTTCTCCGGGATGTTCTCGAAATCAATCCAGTGCCCCGAGAGCTTCCGCTGGGTGGATGCCTTCGGCTTGGGCTCCTCCAGAGTGGCGCCCGCCTGGGGCGGAGGCGTCACCACCGGGAGCAGCTGCTTGGCGGAGTCTTTGCGCTCCAGGTTGTTGTTCGCCCGGAGACCCTCCTCCGCGAACTCGAACCACGACTTGCCGCTGGCGTTGGAGGTTCGACGGGGTGACTTGGAGCTCTGGATGCGCTCCTTGCCGGCGGACTCCTTGCGCGGCAGGCTGATACGGAGCTTCTCTCCTCGCACGGGTGCTCCTCCAGCTCCTCCTGCCCCTGCTCCTGCAGAAGCTCCTGCTGAAGCTCCAGCGGAGGCAGCAGTGGGATCTACACTGGAAAGATATCCAGCGTTATCCTGCGGCACTGGCACTGGGATGCCTGTGCAGTACTCCTCTATGTGCGAAGGATTCAGGGGAGTGGTGGACCGTGGCCTGTCCACCGGGCAGGTCTTCAGTTCCATATTGGCGCGCTCCCTCATCGGGATGAGGGGCACTCCCTGGGCCCGCTCCTCGGGCAGGGTGGTCGGGATGTAGGGCAGCTCGTCGTCGAAGGATTCCTGCGAGACCAGACCGGTGCTCTCGTGCTCCTCGATCACGCACACGTTGCGCGGGAAGTGGTGATGGTGCCGCTTGGCGGCCTCGTCTCCCGCCGGCACCGCCGTCGTCACGGAGGAGCTGCCGGCCATGTCCGAGTCCCGCTCGCTCTCCGACGACTCCACCGGCTCGTGGTCGTCCGTCGACTGGGAGTGACGGCGCTCCGCCGGCGGCGAGGACAACGCCGAGGTCATGGCGTAGGAAGTGGGCGGTAGCTCGGCGCTAAAAGGCGTTGAGGATGGGGGCGTGGCAGCACCCGTTGTGGTTGTCGGTGTGGTGGAGGTAGTGGCCTTGGAAGTGGATGGAGGCAGAGGCTGGGTGGCAGCTGGGATGGGCGTGGTAGGCGTGGCTCCGCCAGAACTCTGACTTGTTTCACCTGAAAACGGATACAGGATGAAGGATGAAGGATACGGGGATTAGGTGAGTGACTTACGTCTTGATTCCGTGATGCTCTGCCGCTTGGGCTTCCTGGGAATCGTGGCGGTGGTGGGCTGACCCGCCGGCACCTCCGGCTCCGCGGGTAGGTTGTCCTGCAGCTTGAGCCGCACGTTGAAGTTCTCCAGATACCGGGAGTGCCGCAAGTCTGCCACCGGAGCTGGGGCGGGAGCTTCATCCCCCGAGTCCCCGCCACGTGGCTTGTGCTTGGCGCGCATCACTACGCTCTCGCGGAAGCCCGCCGTCCTGGCCCCCGCATCCGGTTCGTCCTCGGAGGAGGAGCAGACGCCGCGGGGCGGCGGTGGTGGTGGGATGGAAGGTTCAATCCTCCGGATGACGGTTCCCTGGCGCTGCAGGCCGTCGGCACCGATTGCTCCGCCGACCGTGGCCTCCGAGGTGCTCGAGTGCTGCTCCACCTGCTCGGACAGCTGGCTGGACTGGCTCTCGGTCTTCGAGATGCTGAACTGGGTGGAGAAGATCTGCTCCTGGCTGCCAGAGCCCAGACGCGTAGCGAACAGCAGGCGGCGACGTTCCTTGGCCGCCGCCGTCTCCACGTCCGGGTGGGGAGCATTCACGGTGGCCACCGTGTGGACCAGCTTCGGTTCGCAGGCGCTCTGCGTCGACTCCACGGATGGCAGTCGCTGGATCTCCGCCTGCTCGCGCTGCTGGGCGAGATTCGCCGCCCGGGCACTGACCACCGAGCCCACGGAATCGGCCGTGGTCTCCTGCGAGTCCTGGGAGCTATGGCGCTGCACTTCCAGGCTCCAGCTGGCCCCAGTGCCGCCCTGGTCGTTGGATGGCGGCATCGGCGGCTCGTCCTGGCTGGGCAGCGATTGTATGGCGTCCAGATCCGGTCGCTGGGCCACCTTCTTGTGGGCCACCGGCCGGAGGGCGGCGGCAGCGGCGGCCAACTGGCTGGCCGTGATGTGGGTGCCCGGCGGGGCGGTGGCCACGGCGGAGGAGGGCAGGACACGGTGGGCGGGCAGGGGCGAGGGATCCACAGAGGCCTGGGCGGCGCTGGCCAGCTGCTGGATGCCCTGCAGCAGGGTGCGGGCCTCTCGCTCCTCCGGCGGCGTGTGCAGCGGTATGTGGATGTAGCCCTCCACCGGCTCATCGTAGTAACGGAGTCGGGATCCCGGACGAGAAGGTGGTCGGCTGCGGTTCTCCGACCCGGCAGACCCCGGCACTGGTGGCGGTGGTGGTGGCACCGGTTCCACACTGGCCTCCACCGGCGAGGAGCTCTTGCTGCTCTGACTGCCGCGTTTTCCGGGCTTGAAGATGGCCAGCACGGACTTCTGCTTGCTGGGTGTCACATTCTGGGAGCCACCGCCTGGTGCTCCACTGCCACCGCCCAGTCCTCCCGAGGCGGTCGAGGGTCTGTCTTTGCTTTTGCTTCGCGAACGTGCCGTTTCGCGCGGCGAGTCCGGAGAGTCCTTGCCCAGCCGGAACAGGGAGCTGAAGGAGCTCTTGCGGGACACGGAACCGCCGCCGCCTCCGGGGCCAGTGGCCGGCGAGGGCGAGCGGCTGGTGAAGCGCCTGCCCGGCTTGGGACTCGCCGTCGGGGTCAGGTGCATCTCCTCGATGACGGTGGCGGCGGCTCCGCCACCCTCCCGCTGTAAGCTCAGGGAGGCCGGCTTGGAGTAGACCGGAGCCAGTTGATTGGGCGCCTCCACGACCCGTTCATTGGCGGCGATGCCCTTGTCGCTGTACATGTGATCCGGCCGGAGGTTGATCCGGATGTACTCCGTGCCGCTGGCGGTCTTGCCCACGACCATCTGGCCGGGGCTCTTGGTGCTCCTCCGTTGGGCGCCAATCGTAGTCTTGCCCGCCGACTTGGACTCCCTCTCCCCGTTGGCCAGCGAGTTGGCTTGCCGGCTGCGCCGCGACGTCGAGGAGCTCGGAGCGGAGCTGTGCAGCTGGGCGGGTGGCAGGACCTTAATGCCCTCGGCCAGGACCGCCTGTGTGGGATCGTGTTTCCGCGCCAGGAGCAGCTGTTCCAGCAACGCCGCATTGGCCGCCACAGTGCCCGCTCCGGGGACACAGTCTCCCGGACCGTGGGCTGAAGAGGCCGCCGTGGAGGCGCTGCTTGCCCCACTGGCTCCTGCCCCTCCGGCCCCACCGGCCAGTTCCACGGGCTTGGGGCCACAGAAGGAGGTCTCGAGGAGCATGCGATGTGGCGAGGGGGAGCGGGAGACCCCTGAGACGGCCGACAAGCGACTCACTGCCGATCCCTGACTGCCAACGCTGGAAATCCGACTGGTGCGGCCCGAGATGCACAGAAGGGCGGCCACCTCCGAGCTGGCCGAGTCCTTGCGCTGGTGCTGTTGCAGGTAGCTCTGGTGGTCGTCGAACTTGAAGATGTGCGGCGAGGAGCGTTTGGCCTGGGAATCAGAAAACCAAGAAATGGCTATAGACTGGAAGGAAGACCGGACGAGGATTCTAGAGGTGGAACATTCATTAGAGATTCTACAAAAGACTAAAAAAAAAGGACTAAGGACTGGCAGTCCTTCCAAAAATAGACCATTAGGGGTATAGTTAGATTCGGCCAGTGCTTAGGGTATAGTTAGGTTAGGAACAGGCCAGTGGACTCCAGAGGACTCCAGTCCCCCCGATTGAGAGAAAAAGAGGGACTATAGAAAGGGGGTAATCCTATTTACAGATGAAATCATTCAAATAATTATTTTACAATCATTTCTAGAATGGATCTTACCAATTAGGTGCCCCACTTGCCACAATTAACACTGTCACGTGTCCAAATAATCAATTGAAGCTTCTGGCAATTAGCTCCAGGATTAGGTACTTCCTCCTCCACCAAAAAGGTAAAGGTCCTTCCTTCAATTGATAAGTTTCGTCTTTATGGCAGCCCAGCAGCTGACAAAGTAACTCATTTCTCTCCCAGGGGGGGAGGTAGTCAGTCCGGGGGTAAATGATTCGCACAAAACTTTGTCCCACCAACTTTTCCATCCAAAAAACAAAACTTGGCCCAAACAATTGCTGCGCTGGGAAACTGCCAGGGTTACCAGAGTTAAGGTGGGTTGGCTTTGGGGGTGGCTTGGGGATGGCTTTCTGCACACTTGTCAGCTGTCATTCAGTGCTCGCCCGCACGATGAGTTTGCCCTTGACACCTCCACCCACAAACCAACCACCCAACCCCCCTACTCTCCTCTACTATCTATCTATGTGTGTGCTCCAACCCATCCCCATCACCATCCCCATTCCCACTTCCGTTTTTCCCATTTCCGTTTTCCCTTTTACTCATCCACCGCTTCCGCTGCTGTTTCACTTCCCAGGCACTTGAATGCAATTTTGCATTATTAATTGAACTTGTGATGCGGTTACCCCCCTATACATTTTTTGTCCTCAGCCCCCCCCTGTCCCCTGACCCCTTTGATTCCATCAATGTCATACAATGTCCTGTTCACGGCTTTGGAAAATATTGGAAACTAACCGTTAAAAATGAATTTGGGGTCCTTTCTCCAAGAGGGGTTTCTATTGATGGGATATTTGTTGAATGGAATATTTGATTGGGAAGTCCTTGACAGGGATTGTTGGGATTTTAATCGTTTAACAGTCATTTATAAGTGGTGGTTTGGAGATCTTAATAGATATAGATCTAGGTAGAGTAATCATATTATTCTATCAGACAGGTCTTATTAGCAGGTCTTCACTCTAGAGTATCATTATGAGAAGTACAAGATAAGTACTGGGTATGAATAAGGTTCCTGAAAGACCTCTAGAATACCTCAGGAAGTCCTGTAGAATACCTCTAGATCTCAAAGACCCTCTCTCTGTAAAGATTATATTGTGAGAAGTGCAATAAAAGTACTGGGTGTGAATATTTTTACCCCTATTCCAACTTGTCTGTATGAGGAGCTCTATAGTATCTCTTGAAAATCTCTAGAAGACCTCTAGAAGTTCTGTAGAAGACCTCTTGATCTCTAGAACCATACCCATTGAAGGATGAAAGGTTTTATAAAACACCTCTCTGTAGAAGTCATGAGAAGTTCAAGAAAAGTATTGGGTATGAATAGTTTTAGCCTTGTTCTAAGTTTCTTGTATAAAGAGCTATAGAAGAGCTCTTAAAAACCTCTAGAAAACCTGTTAAAGTTCTGTAGAAGACCTATAGATCTTAAAGGCTATAAAGGCCCTATAAACACCCTCTCTGTAGATATTAAATTATGAGAAGAACAATAAAAGTACCGGGTATGAGTAGCTTTACCCTTACTCTAGGTTTTTTCTAAAAATAGCTTTAAAAGATCTTTAGAATACCTCTAAAGGACCTAAAAAGGAACCTTTAAAAGATGTGTAGAGATTCTACAAAAGACCTCCTACACCTCAAAGACTATATCCTTTTCATTAATCTGTATATATTTTTTTAAGAGAAACCCTAACTGATCCTCAGCTCACCTGCTGCTGCTGTTGCTGGATGCGTTCCTGCTCCTCCTTCTTCTGTTCGGGATCCATGAAGTACAACTCCTCCGTGGAGCTGCGCAGCTCGAGGGCGCCCTCCTCCCGAAAGCCGAGACCGATTGTTTCCTGTAGGGTGCCAGTGCCGACCTTCAGAGCATTAGTTCCACATAACCACATAAACCAGCCAGTACACACACACATATCGAGTATTTCGTTTTGTCAGAGCGATAGTTTTTTTTTTTTTTTTTTTGATTGATTTCCGTGGGGATTTAAGGAGGGTGGGGTATGGGGTATGGAAATTGGGGGGTGCAGAAGCATGCAAGGATGTTGGAAAAGGGGGAGTCGAGTTTGGAGAAGCCAAAAAATTCGGAAACGGAATCGAAATCAACAAATCAACAGCCAATTTTGTGTGCAGGATTTTTTTTTCAAGGATGGTTGTATGGGGTTTTAAGGATATGGAGGAGGTAGGTGGAGGAGGAGGAGGAGGAGGTCGTTGAGGGCGTGTTCGCAGGACAAGTGTGTGTGCAAAGGGGTGTAGCGAGCGCATCACAGAGTGTTACAAACAGAGAAAGAGACAAATGTACACATAGTATGTAAGATAATCACATGATGAAGTGTATAAATGGATAAAGAGGATAAAAAGGATAAAAAGGATCAAAAGGATTAAAAGGATAAATGGATAAAAAGAATAAATGTATCGATAGAAAAATAAGAAAAATAATTAGCAACTAATTAGCACTTCTAGAGAGGCATTTTGTGATGAAAACTTCCAATTAAGGATAATAATTAAGGATATATTTAAAAAAAAAATAAAAACTCACTAAAAGGACATATATATCTAGCATATATATAGTCCAATCTATCACCAACTTCTACCCTCAACGATCAACTCACCTGCTCGAACACATTCTCGGGACTACTCTCCCGACTGTCCTCCTCGTGATGCGACGAACTGGACGCCCGGCTTAGCTCGATCCTGGGCGTTGAGGGCGTGGTCAGGGTGGCTGCGCCCCGGTATGTACCACCTGGTCCGCCCCCTCCACCTCCAGGATGGGCACTGGACGGCAGGGGCTGACCCCCTTCGCTGCTGGACACCAGAGTGGTGGTGACCGTCGTGGTGGCCGTTTTCAGGGGTGGCGGTCGCTGCTTAGCCTGGACAATGGTCGCCGAACAGGTGGCCGAGGACATGGACGACGACGAGGAGGAGGAGGTGGATGCGGTTGCTGTGGCGGTTGCGGTGGCGGTGGCGGTAGCGGAGGCGGTATTTGGAATGTTTCTATTCCGGTTGGCCATTTCTGTGGTTGGCCTCGTTGTTGTCTGTTTTTCCAAACTTTGTTCCATCATCTTTAAAGAAAAAGGATAAAGGATATTTTCGATACCAAAAAGGACTATGTAACAGGTATATCACCCTTCACCCAGATACCCCATATAATCCCTTAACTCCCGGCCAGACCTAATGACATATTTAATAATCCCTAGTGTTCTAATTAAAAACCACATGAGCTTCATACAATTGGCCCTCCCTCCAACTATGTCCTTGCCACATTTTGTTGCAAATACCGCCCTCTCGGGCTGCAATTCACAAATTGAAATCAAATGCTTTCACAAACGTGCTTTTTTTTTCGTCCTTTTTCTGGATATATAGCGTTTGTCGATTTCTCTGTGGATTTTGTCCTCAAAAACACCCACCCACATGTGTCTGTGGCAGTGTGTCCTTTTATTTTCCTTTTTAATAAAACGATGATTTGCTTTGTCAGTGTCCTTGCCCGACTTTTTATTGAGTTCTTTTGATTGAATTTCCATTGGGAGCGAGAGATATGCGACTTATATCCTTATAAACCTTGAAAAGCTTTAATATTTTTGGCTTTAATTTCGACCTACTTTTGGGCCAACAACTTTAATGGTCTTTAAGTTTTTAAGAAGCATAGTAACTCCTTTTTTTACAGAAAATACAGATCCTGAATCCTTTATTGAATAATCTATAGCCCCAAGACTCAGTCCTGAAAAGTTTCTGAAAACCTTAATGGTCTTGTTTTTTAGGCCATGACGATGCTGTTGCAGGGGAATATCCTTTCAAACAAGGACTAAAAAGGGGTAGGTCACAAGGATTGAATGAATTGTCGATAAAAAATAGGCTACACCCAAAAAATAATATTAAAGTCATCCAAGGACCCAAAAAAAGTTTTAAGAAAATCACTTGCTTTCGATAACATTTTGAAGGCTTCTGTGGGGGGGGGCTATTGGGGATTACTTGGGGGGGTCTATAGATCTAACATTTATTGTCTCTGCGGGACCTTGGAATCCAAATTAATTTAAAGTTGACGTTTGCAACTATGCAGCGATTTCAAATTGAAGGCAGCGCCCGCTGTGCGCCCCTTGAAACTCCCCATGCCCCATGCCCCCATGCCACCATGGTCATGCCTCGTGCCCCAAGCCAACCCGCTGGGTCCTTTAGTCTTTGTTTTTGTGGTGTACAGAAAGAAGAATAACGATTCTTTTCTTCTATTTTTTTTTTGGATAGAACGTAAGGCAAGTGTTTTGGGAAAAATCATAGCATAATTCTAGGCATACGAATTCAAGAGAGGAAGAGAGTGGAGAGCGAGAATGGGCTAGAAGGGGGAAAGTACGAAAATGAGAATGAGAGAGCACAGGTTTTTGGTTGAATGGGAAGAGAGCTGGAGAGGCAGTCACATAATGTGTGATTAGATTAATTAAAATTTAAATAAAAAGCAAAAGGGAGGTGCCACCCAACAGTACAAAAGGCAGAAGGAGAAAGTACATGGGGGGGGTAACATGGGGGTGCAAGAAGAAAAGGGAACTGGGCCGGGACCTGAAAGAGCCGCGTGCTTTCTATTTAGTTCTCACTTACACACACACACATACACTTAAAGCAAAACTCACCGCGAGCCCAAAAAAAAAAAAGGTCCCGTCTACGCTTTCTAGTTGTGTGTGTGTGTATTGCTTGCCGCTATTGTTTTTACTTGATTAATTTTCTAACGATTTCCACACTAAACACACGATTGAAAAAAAAGAAAGAAAAAAAGCAATTTTCAATTCTACTTCTGACTTTTTTTTTCCTGTTTTTTGGCTTTACTTTTCACTCAGTTATCGGCTATTGCATGCCCCCCCGTTAACAAACACACACACACACACGCGCACACACTTATATACACTACACGAACCGACACGCGCTCTCTTTAGTTCTTGCTCCCCAATCACGCTCCGCACTGTTTACCGTTAGACTGCACGCACGCAGCGCCAGCGTCGTACTACGGGCAGCAAAAGCCCTGAAATGTATGCTACAGTCACTCGACTAGCATTCCTTCCAAGCAGCAACGAAAGCTTGTCTCGGCTCGGAGTTCGTACACCGAAAGCTTTGTCACGATTACGGTTCGTCTGTATTGTACTATAGCTGCTGCAGGGGCGAAAGGGATAGTCGGCAGGAAAGCTTTGCTTGGCTTGGACTCAGCTGTGTGGCCTGTGAAGCTTCAAGAGTCAACTGGATATGTGCTAAATATTTAAGTGTGTGTGTGTATGTGAGAGAGTTTGTGGGTGCGACTCTGAGGGGGAAAATATTCGAGGGCTACTAACTGTAAGCTTAGAGATGAGAAAATCTAAATAAATATGTTAATAATATTTAATTTAATTATTTTAAAAAGAGCTTTTTAGGTTTTGGAATATTGTTTTTAATAATCATTTTTATTAGGTGTCTCTATTTTTCTGCCCTCTATTGTTTTTCATTCCCTTTACCTTGGCCCGGCGGAATGTTTCATTTTCGGGTACTTGCTCTTTCTCTGCCTCTCTCTCTCCTCCCCCTCCTGCCGTTCTATCGCACTCCGTCACTCTCGGATTTTAACCGGTCTAGCCATCTCTGTTCCACCCATTAAATGTCTCTACAAATGACATTATTTTTTTGTGAGGGGGGCGTGGATGTAGAGGGGGCGTGTTGTAGGTACTTCACGTTTTGATGCAAAGGATGCGTGCCAAATATATGTATATATGTATGTATTTGTGAAACGCACGCCAAAAATTTTTAACGTTTTTCAGGCACTGATCCTGCGGCGCGTGTCACGGATATTGTTTCCAATTTTTGTTATCCTTCAATGTTGTTGTTGTTGTTGCTGCTTGTTTGTCGTTTAAGGTTCATTTTGTTTATTAGCCAAAAGCGTTTGGGCAGCTTGCCTTTTAAGTGGCCTTTTGCATGATTGCGGCATACTGACTCCTCCAAGCCCTCCCCTACCCACCAATACACATACATATACACATACACCCACCCAGAGATAGGGAAAATTTCATATTTCGGGTTTTGGAAAGCTTTGTAGAGCTTGTAGAGCGCCCACCAGAATGCTTTAGTTGACTCCATGTTTTGGTTAATTAATTTATGCCCTGCATTTGGTGTAAAAACAACATGCTGTTATGCAGGATAAGGCTTTCGAATCAGGCCAGGCTGCTGGTTGAAAATTTTCACAAAGCTACGGGGCGTATGAGCGATTTGTAGTTTGAAAACTTTTAGGAGAGAATAGTTAAGCCTTGAAAATTTTACAAATTAATTATAGTTATAGTTTCCTAAGCATGAACTTTATTAAAATATATTTAAAAGTTAGCCATAAAAGCCCAGTATTTAAATGGAATAACAGGGCGTATGAGTAATTTTTTGAAAAAATATTGAACTTACAGCCCTAAAAAGTAGTTTCAACTGATCTAATCTTATTTAAACTTGAAAATAATTATAGTTTATTACAATTTCAGAAAGAAAGCCTTATCGAGGACCACCCTACTATCCACTGGGGCAACCAGTGCTCTATAAAATATTGTGGCATGGCGTGTTTGTGGTATATAGGCTAAAGGACACTCACCGCTGCAGGATTGCCATGGTGATGGTGATGGTGATGCTGATGGTGATGCTGTTGCTGTTGCTGAGCATTTGTCGTGGCATTGTCCTCGAATGACTTTTCGAACGATGCAATTGGCGCTTGGCCAAGTCTTTTCTGCCGACGAGCATCCATTCCGAAGCCGTTTACCTCTTCCTTCGTACCGCTCCAAAACGTTTGGTTTCTCATTCAACCGGCTGCATGGCCTCAAAGTTCCTTTAATGGGGCACAAGGATATATACATATATAGAAGAATAGTGTGAGGCGGCAATACCATCTACATATATAAAATAAAAACGGATGGGAGGGCGGTGGCTCAATTTCATTTCTGGCATAATAAATGGCAAATATAATGATTTGAAGAACACCATATGATAAAAAAAAAAGAAACTACAAGACCCTGATGTAAAAGGGTCTTATATGGCGTGCTAACGGTTCATTGAACCGTATAACAACCGTTAGCGAACCGGAAGTGCAATAATAACATCAACAATCGATGAATATTTAAAGGCACAGCCCACGGTCAGCCGTCAAGTAATTGAAGGCAATACCCCCTTTATTTTTATATTTTTTCTAACTTTATCCTTTATCCTTGTAACCAATAGAATACTCTGCCAGGGACAATAGATTTTTATTGCCTATAAAATCAATTTGGCAAACAAATATTAATCTCTTCTCTAGTGCAAACAATTCATCAATTTATTGCCAAACTGAAATTGTGTCACTTCTATGTATGACGTCGTGCCAGATGCAAAAATATCTCGGAAAAATTACCTCATCCTGGGAGCCTTTTATGACTTCATCAATTCTCTCTAGAAGGACTCTGGAAATGAAATCTCTGCACAAACTGTGAGCCATGACTAAGAGCTATCCTTTGGGATGATGACGGCTTTAAAGTGGCAAATCCTTGACACACACTCAGGATCCCTCAAAACAGGACATCCGAGCGGAAAAGTAGATTTCATAGACCTTCGATTTCAAGGTATAAATCCCCTTCTTTAGATACATAAATTATTTATGAGTTAATATTCTGTATAGATTTGTTGATCCTTTAAGGACCAACCTGTGAGGATGAGAAATCAAGTTTTTCGCCACTGAAGCCGCATCGCAACCCGCTGTGGAGCTTCAATTAAGAACTTTCGTCCTTGTAAAATAATTTACTTAAAGTTTCACTTCCTAATTACGTAATGATATCATTGTTTAAACTTATTAAACTTGCCAGTTCTGTGTCCTTTCGCAAAACTATTTTTGTGTGGAAGTCCTTCAAATTAGAAAGGACTTTGAAAGTTTTGAAAGTATCGCAAGGATACCAGGATACCTAGTTATGGCCACTTAACTGTAGTGGAATATCAAATGAATGCATTAACTCGAAAGTTGATCAAACAGTAAATCCTTTTTCATTAATAAATTGATTTTCGCTCGACAGGACACTCTGTTTGCAATGATTTTTTATTGGTTTTTTTTTGCCCAGCAATCGCAGTTTTTAATAAACTTGCCCCGCTTACCCGAGGCCCGAGGCCTTTTTCCGTTTCACTCTTCCATTTACCTTGATAAAGTCAAACACCCACCCACCCAGGCCCAGGCCCAGCCACCCACCGTTTGACCTTTTATGAATCCCAGAGTTTAAAATTAAAACAAGCAACAAGAAGCGCCCAACAGTGGTTCCGGTTTGTTTTTTTTTTATATAAATATAAATAATATATATAACTTGTAACTATAAAGGGGAAATGAAAACTGTCATAAGCATCAAAAATCGATACCCGGGAGATGTTTTTGGCATTAAAGCCATGTCTTGGCCCCGTTGCGGAAGCTAGTTGTCCCAAACACACTAACAGGAACTGAGTTTTAAAAGAGGTTTCTTTAAGAAATCACAGAAAAAAAGATAACCTTAACATAAAAGGCTTATAAATATTCTGATTAAGAAATCACACTTCCTTAAATCCGTGCCATTATCTTCCTTTTGGCAAGCTTGGATTACAAATGGCCGAGCGTCTGGTGGCGGCCCAAAGCCTAGGCCTTGCCAAATATAAAAAAAAAAAATAGATAAATTTATATACATTGTCCTTCCCCCTACCCCGACCCAGTGACATTGGTGGTGTCTCGAGCCATTAAAGGGGGCTGAAGGATAGGGCGCAGGACGGGCCGGGGTGTGGTGACGCCGGGCGACGTCGCCGCTGTCGTCGCTGACAGAGTTTCCCACTGAGAGTCGCGGAGGGGGCGCTTGGCGGGCGGCACAAAGGCATTTCATTGACCTCATAAATTGGCCAAGAAGGGCCACTGAAAGAAATTGGGAGAAAAGAAAATGGGAAAATGTCTGGGAAATGAAAATGTGTTCCCTGCAAAGGCCATATCTCGGTCAATATCCATCCGATTCTCAAGCGGATTACCTTAAACGATTTCTGGATCGATTCTCCACCAATCTGCATCAAAGCCTAGAAATAAAATTTTCGATCCGATTTTTTCAAATTTTTTTGATGGACCCCCTGCGAAAATGGGGAAAATCGTGAAACTCCAAGATATCGACTTCCGAAGGCCATATCTCGGTCAATATCCATCCGATTCTTAAAAGGAATACCTTAAACGATTTCTGGAAGGATTCTCCACCAATCTGCATCAAAACCTAGAAATAAAATTTTCGATCCGATTTTTTCAAATTTTTTTGATGGACCCCCTGCGAAAATGGGGAAAATCGTGAAACTCCAAGATATCGACTTCCGAAGGCCATATCTCGGTCAATATCCATCCGATTCTTAAAAGGAATACCTTAAACGATTTCTGGAAGGATTCTCCACCAATCTGCATCAAAACCTAGAAATAAAATTTTCGATCCGATTTTTTCAAATTTTTCTGATGGACCCCTTGCGAAAATGGGGAAAATTGTGAAACTCCAAAATATCGACTTCCGAAGGCCATATCTCGGTCAATATCCATCCGATTCTCAAGCGGATTACCTTAAACGATTTCTGGATCGATTCTCCACCAATCTGCATCAAAGCCTAGAAATAAAATTTTCGATCCGATTTTTTCAAATTTTTTGATGGACCCCCTGCGAAAATGGGGAAAATCGTGAAACTCCAAAATATCGACTTCCGAAGGCCATATCTCGGTCAATATCCATCCGATTCTTAAGAGGAATACCTTAAACGATTTCTGGAAGGATTCTCCACCAATCTGCATCAAAACCTAGAAATAAAATTTTCGATCCGATTTTTTCAAATTTTTCTGATGGACCCCTTGCGAAAATGGGGAAAATTGTGAAACTCCAAAATATCGACTTCCGAAGGCCATATCTCGGTCAATATCCATCCGATTCTCAAGCGGATTACCTTAAACGATTTCTGGATCGATTCTCCACCAATCTGCATCAAAGCCTAGAAATAAAATTTTCGATCCGATTTTTTCAAATT